CTGTCCATATTTTTGCATTATCCCCAATATCATGTAGCCCACCATTATATTCTCTACACGAGACTCCCATAATGTACGTCGTTCCCATATGTGAGATGTCCCGATTCCAAGTACCACGGGACCTTGGAAGACTATGACAAAACAGATGTAGGGAGGAAAATCAAGAATGCTTGCCGCAAATTCTGAAATGGATGCCGTATTTTTAGAGACGGAAATGAAATTCAGTTGACTTGGACTCATTTTGAACGTTGTTTGAATCCCCTTTTGACAGCTTAATAGATCCCATGTAGTTTCGGTGATTGCGTAGAATGCCCTTGGGTTCTTTCACGGCATGAAAAACTTTGCACATATTAGACTAAGACTTCTTCCCATACCGCCAGCTAAATGCTTGCCTTACTGTTTCCACTCTCAAATTAACGTCCTCAACCTCTGCCGTAGTCTTATAGTGCCGAAGTAAATATATCCAGAGGGGATTGAGCCAAACATGAAAGCACCCAGGTTACAAGCGTGGTTGATTTCTGGAAACGTCCTAGTCTTTATGCATACAGAGCTGAACAAGATAAAACCTGCTGCTATCTATAACCGAGGCATCGATTTCTACAACGAGCGTGGGGTATAAGAGTATTTCAGGGTTGCTGAGCTACGCAAAAGGCTAATTAAGAAGCTACTCGCGCCCACTTTCATCTGTTCGCTACTTTGAAGGAGTTTGCTGTCCCAAAATATTCTCTGAGAGTAAGCGCCTGCCGCTGCCGATCCGAAGAATAGAAAGAGACTTTCCGAAAACCTAAAAGCCGCGAGGGCTCCAGCTAAGTAGTACAAGCCACTGGCGTCGATGAGAAGATGAACTGGGTTGAGATGTATAAGAGATGAGGTAATGATGGTGTGGTACCTCCCTTCTTCTAAATTGCGGGGCGACACATACCAATGTTTTATAAAATGGTCGCGAGTTTTCGATTGATCTTTTAGAACAGACTCGCCTGGTATAAATGCCTGTGATTAATAGAAGTACAATGATATAATAGCTCCACATATCGAAAACAAAAGTACAACATTTCTTGCGAATGGTATTTGGGTTCTGTACACGTTCTCTAAGTATTCCTGGAAGCCTGGATTCGGCCACTGCCCTCTTATTTGGATTCGAGGTTGTGGCAGTGAATGAGATTGAGGTTCCTGAGGTGCTCTACGCGCGACTGAGCTTCTCGTGATTGTATTTTTGGCTCTGCTCTTTTCGATTTTCTGGATGCGGTACAGACAGAAGAATTCAAGAAGGACTTGAGAGCTCCAAAGGCGGTGCCTGTGATTGGTGAGAAAGAGGCTACTGTAAAAATTTTGATCTGTCGGAACTCCTTTACAAGAACGGTACGAGAGACTCACGTACAGGCGCACGTGTGAGATTGCGGACTAGGGTATGGGGCCCATGGAGAAAATGAGTTCTGAGGGCGATGGTACGAATCATTTTGCTCGTAGATCTATCGCGGTAGGGTTGAATGAGGTGGGAGTTGCGTCTCAAATTGAGGAGATTGGGCTTCATATAAGATGTTGGTTTGCGAGGCTCATTGAGGCATCGGGTATCAAAGGCGGTGGGTAAGCACTGGCAGTACTGTATTTTACCTCGGAGGTACAAGTACCGGTAAGACTTGCCTGAACGAATCACAGAAGCGAGTGTTGTGTTAACGTCAAATAGATGATTCAATGTCAACTGGGTATTAAAAGATAGTGAAACTCATGAGACCATTTATGTCCGATAAAAATACTCATCGTTGAACCGTCCATCAAGTCTCAACAATTATTTTATTGTCCAAGTTTAACACAACCATCTGAAGACCCCCTGGTGCACCTTTTAATCTCTAAGCGAAACCAAGAGAACGATCCCAAATGCAATGATAATTCTCTGTTATACACCCTATGCTCGTAGCAAGTCTATTAATACAACCGACTCCATCGAGTTTTGATCGGAGTCACCGATAACGCGGTAGAAACAAAGTAGAATACACCATTCCAAGTCGTGCTTGGATGCTGAAACGAAGGATTCAAAAATAATATGTTCTTCAAGCCTAAGCGATATAGGACGAAGATTGCCATTAAATGAGTGCATATGGCCACCTTGACACGTCCATCCCCCCTTGAACTCGTCGCTTACCGAAGAAAAGCAACTTTGATACAACAAAACCCTAGCTTCCACACACATGTACTGTACATGTGACGTTTAATCCCAAACCAAGTAAAAAAAGCTTCTTTTCATTTAACATCAGAGGGAATTGAGATTGGCGTTTTCAGACACCATGAAATTCCTAATCAGACATGGTATATTAAAATACATAAGAGAGTACCAATCATTATACTGTGGACTTCATTAGTTTCTTTGCTCCGAGATATTCTCTGAATTTCAAGACAGCAGCCCCAGAAGTTCTGAAATAAGTAAAAGGTAGGCATTTCAGTTCAAAATCTTGATAGCATGTGAATATGGTGAAATTTACAGCGTAAAAATAGAATAGAATAGATTAACTAATAGCGTCTTAATCTTAGTTATTCTAATCAACTCGACCTCCTAATTAGGGTTAATCGCTTAATTAACTATATAATCTAATTAAATCGATTGATTCGGGCCGAAGCCTCGGACCGACGGACCGAGGGCTCGGAGGGTACTCGGCGTACTACGTAGGTGCTCGGCGTACTACGTAGGTGCTCGGCGTACTACGTAGAAGCTAAGCGAGAGCCCCTTGTACTTATCTTTACTAGGAACGTTCCTATAGAGTAGGAATAAGTCTCGGCGTAGCTCTATACTAAAGAATATACTATAATATAATTTATTTACATTTCTTATCTATAGGAACGTTCCTAGATAAGAACAATAAAGTATTTTACTATAAGAACGTTCCTAATATATAGGAATATTATTTATATATAGGAATACTAAATGTAAACAAGTCTTATTTATTAGTAAATAGTCTTATTTATTAGTAAATAGTCTTATTATATAACTAAGGACTTTTCTCTATACTTTAAATTAACTAAGGATTCTTTTATCTATTACTTTTACTTACTCTATCTTTTAAAGGCTTTACTTTAAGCTCTTAAATTACTATATCTTATTTATTTTATATATAAAACTTACTTAACTTTATACTTAATCTAAGCGATTAACTACTTCTCTTTAGAAGAGGCCTTATTAAGAAGGAGTGTCACGAATCACGTGCTCACGTGATACTTGTCATAATAAAGAGGCGCAACCCTCGACAGGCACGTCCAGGTTTCTTATAGGAAAATAGGGACGCTTAGGCTAGCTAAGCGGTCCAGGGATTTCCTTTGGTTACTGTCACATGATCGACTGGCATCAGAGGTGGTCGGCCTGACGACCTCTGAGGAATCAGAAAGGATCAGAGCGACGAGCACTGATTTAGGAGAACGAAGGTTCTATATAAGACTGGCACGTCTGCCATTAGATAGGAGCTTCGTGCTCAAATCAGTTATCAATCTTATCATATTAGTTTGACATCTTTGATACAAGTAATGAGTTCACTTCCAAGTGAACAACCCGATAGTCTTGCGACGAGCACTGATTTAGGAGAACGAAGGTTCTATATAAGACTGGCACGTCTGCCATTAGATAGGAGCTTCGTGCTCAAATCAGTTATCAATCTTATCATATTAGTTTGACATCTTTGATACAAGTAATGAGTTCACTTCCAAGTGAACAACCCGATAGTCTTCTTCTTATCATAGCATACCAACCAGCGAACACCCAGCCAAGTTTAGTTAGCCAGTTTGAGTATTCGTTACATAGAAACAGGCTCTCTAAAAATACTTTAGAGGTAATACTTAGCCTTAAGAGCTAGGGTCGCTTTATAGAGTAAGATAAAGAGGAAATACTAAGCGAGGCTTCTAAATTTAACTTTAGTTTTTAAAAACTAAGTTATTATCTACTAGATTTTTTCTTTTCTTTTTTCTTTTTATTAGTTTTTTAAAAGCTTCTCTAAGTATATTAGTAGTACTTTAAAATATATACTATAAATCTAATTAACTAGATTAAATAAACGCCTCTTAGTTTATTTAATTACCTAAAGTTCTTAATCTAAATCTAAATTATTTAATTATACTTTAGTTAATTACTAATTAAATAAGTAAGTAATTCGTTCTTGCGCTAGGTAAAAATAGTCTCTATAAAGAAAGTACTTAAATTATTATAATACGGGTACTCTCGGCTCTACTATCTAGTACTAGTATATTCTATAAAAGATGCTAGTTCTATTCGGATACTTCTAGGAGACTTCTAGGCCGATAGTTAGCTCTTATATTAGAGCTCTACTCGCTCCTAGCTAGCTTCTCTCTATATTCTAGCTTAGTTATTCTATATTATACCCTTGTCTTCTAATATTTAGTAGTAATACTAGGATCTAAGCTTGTCTTATTTGTTTTTTTAAGCGAATTCTAGTCGATCGCCTAGCTCTATATTTAAAGGTACTAAACAACATTTATTATTTCGCTATAAGTTATAGTTAGGCTCTCTTTTAAGCTATCTCTAGAATCTAGATCGTTACCTCCGCTAAATAATACCTAAACTACCCTACCCTATAAACTACTTCCGCTAGACTACTACTCGTTAAATATATATAAGGGAGTACTAGTAAAATTGCTCCTTAAGACTAGTTATAATTATAACCCGTTACTACTTTACTGCCCGGTTTAATCGAACCTACTAACTACTTTATTACCCGGTTATATATTATAACCTATTAACTGCTTTCAAAGGAGCGCTAGGTAACTGTCTTCCTTTAGTATAAAACCCACCAATTCTTAACCCTTCTCTATAGCACCTATGTTTCGGATTAATCCCTTTATTAGGCTTGTTAGTTAAAATCGACCGATTTCTATACTTGCGAATAGTCTTAACTTGCCTTGCAAAGCTAGCGGAAAAACACAAACCGACAAAGTCTGCTCTCACAGTACAAACCGAGCTAGCAGATACCTTACAAAAACACCCCCCTTTTACTTCGCTTACTATGCGCGGCTACGTACCCTTGGATGACCCAAAAGTTATTCTCATTGTATTCCAACTCAAATTAGCACTCTCACGTAACCTCGGAATTGCGAAAGAACTCGATGCTTCTACTCGAGCCCTTGTTTCTCAAATCATGTACGGAAACGCTCGCCCAAGCCCTGACCAGCCGATAGCTCCACCTGCTACGAAAAAAGAGCTTGAAAAGGACCTCAAAACACTCGGTTCAGTAGCATATTGTGGTTTGCAAGCTATGGTATGTTATAACAGGGACAAGGCACGTAAGGAGCAAAGGATAAAAGCACAGATACGACAAGACAAACATGCTTAGGATTTCGAAGGACTTTCAGGAACGAGGACACACATACATACCGACCCCACTGTCGCTTGCTCGCTCGCTCGTTTGCGATATATCACTTATTTAAGTTACACATCACATTGGGACGGATACATCACATTGCTTTGGATTTAGTATGGATATTGATGAATGGACACCGGATTGTGCTCATGAAGGGCCTTTCCGACCGACAAGGATTTAGATTTTGCATTTGGACTTGCATTTGGACTTGCATTTGGACTTGCATTTAGATATCGGCATATGCTGATAGAGAGCCACCAATTTGTATTTAGATTTGGATTTTACAGTACACTTATTTCACAGGGATTAGTAACGCTGGGCACCGTCTTTCGATTTTGTGGCGGCAGTTGTTACGACACGGGCACTCTTGGCTCCACTGTCTGGCACTAGCATATTCCATAGAGGGCGCTAGTCCTATTCCGGACACTTCTAGGATGCTTCCAGGCCGACAGTCAGCTCCTATATTAGAGCCCTGCTCGCCCCTAGCTAGCTTCTCTCTGTATTCCAGCTTATCTATTCCACATTGTGCCCTCGTCTTCTGACACAAATTCTTCAGTTCTCATACCTCTGTACTCATGTGGCTAAAAAGGTAGCTAACAGACTTTATCCCAAGCACAAGAGAACACCACGTTGTCAAACGGATAAATCGAGTTAATTACTCGGAGACCACCTAGAATTTGACATCAAAACTCCCACATCGCCTTGTTGAAATATTAGAATTGAAAAAGCCTTGCCACACAACATCAAAAGCAAACACCACTTGTAATAGCTACAGCAGTATTCTTATATGAATACCACTATAACGATATCAGTTCCCTCAAAGAAGCAAAAGAGCAAAAACGCCAAGTACAAAAACCAAGATCCACACTCATCATCCCTTCCTATGAAATCTAATGAACAAATCAGGTTTAATCCACAAGAACGATGATTTGCTCTGCTTGTCCCAATCAAGACTGTGATCTAACAATTCCAGATCGTATGTGTAAAGCATTCTTGCTAGCACGATTGCGATTTCAAAATATGCGAAGCTAATGTAAGTCAGTTTTTATAAACTCGAGCTATTGGAAATGGCTCAACGGATAGACAATAGAATCTTTACTTTTTGCCCATACACGTCCGAGATCCAGTTGAGAAAAGTTGGCTAGCATCTTTCTTATCAGTATTGTTCGGATCTAACCATCGTTCGGGTCTAAAGTCGAAAGGATCTTTTGAAGTAGCGTGGATCGTGAGCTGTAACGTGGGGATTTATGTAAATTTCGACCTGTAGACAAGTAGAGCTCAATATCAATATATAATGTTCCTCCTTATATATATTGTTACAATATGAATTTCTGAAGAAAGACTTACACAGCAGGAACATATCTACCAGCCACCATAGCTCCAGGACTCACACGCGGTAATCCAAAGGGCGCGGGTGGATAACGTCGAAGACCTTCAGACACCACGGCCTGCAAGTAAGGTAATTCTTGAGCCGCTGTGGCATTTATTTCAGAAGCACTCGTGAAACTTTGACGGATCTCATTACGAAGATTTCGGTAGACTGTCGGGTTGGTCAAGAGATGAAAAGTCACGGTCGCAAGAAAAGTTGCTGTAGTCTCAGCTCCCGCAATGCTGTAGTAATAAATCAGAGCTATCACAGTATACAAAACTTCGAGGCAGGGAAGAATTAGATGGACAACAAACACTAGCGTTGCAGAATGTGCTGTCAATTCTTCTCGGCTCACTTCTCCATTTTCCACCTTCTCCACGAAACTGGTAAAGAAGTCTTTTCTAGCGGATGTTCGTTCAAGTCGTCTGTTCTCACGAAGTAATGATCAGCCAGTCTGCTCCAAGTTTATAATGTTTCCAAATTATAACTTACAGAGCGACCTTATCACGACTAAACTGAGAATGTTGATCGCGTACCGCAAAAGTAAGGCTCGGTAGGAGTTTCTGTCCAATAAACGAGAGAATCCGAGAGCGGCGCAAATTATCGAACACTGTAAGCCAAAACACGTAACGTGGGAACAGCTCTTCCCAAGGATGTTGTTTCTCTATGATATTGCGTTAACTCTCTTTTCGAATGACAACTTGATGGGCCATCATACTGTTCTTCACAGATTCGAATGATTCTCCAAAGGCCATTTCTCCTAGGACATCAAACGTCAACATCTCATACCACCTCATCATATTTAAGCCTTCCGGTTTGGATCCATCGTCTCCTAATACCTGTAGAAACCCATCCAAGCAGGACTGCACAATCTCCTCTTGATCCACCAACGCTTTCGTTGAGAACACGGGAGCGAGTGATTTGTACATCCGAGTATGCACTTGTGGATCTCTCTCCGACAAAATACATCGTGACTTATATGCAGAGCCATAGATATCGTAGAAATCTGCTTTGAGCATGTTCTTGGGGCTATTGGCAGGTTGTCCGTATATCTCTTTCCAGGATTCTAAGGAGCCGCAGGAAAGTTCATTGGGTGACACGCGCACGATGTCGCCTAGGATGATTGAGAGTTAGCCCGAGTTTTTCTCAGAGCACGGATAGTTATTCTTGTCAAGTTGTGGCTTCACCATATTTATCGTGTACTTTGCGGCTCACAAAGTGCCACTTCCCACCCATAGTGTGCCAAGCTCTCCATAACTACCTTGAACATTAGTGGGATCAAATTCCATTTATGGACTTATGTGAAATGGAAGTATGCTTCTCCTTACCAAAGTTGACCGAGCTAGAAAAGGCCCTGGAAAATGGGCAAGGGGGTGGAGGTAAAGATTGTAAATGACATTAGCAAAGAAGTAGACAAAAGACACCTCGAACTAAAGCTGATGTTAGAGATTGAAGTTTGATTGAAGCTTCCAGCTAGGATATAATTGCTTACTCCGAGGAATAGAGTTGCAAAAAAGAGACCGGAGCCCGAATCCACTGATCGTCCGCGAAGAACCGTAGAGACGTGATCCAACCATGCTTGAAGTAAGAACATGGTAGCGTAATGATCTGGGCAGGAAATTCTCCAAAATTCAAAGTGATATACAATAGCCGAATGCTCTTTATTGTTTGTATTTCTCACGGACTGAGCAACGATCAGCCCTTGGATTTCAAAGTTTGGAGATAGGTATATTTAAAGCACCACTGAAGAATGGGAACACAAGATTTTATTGACAGCCTCACTGATGTGTCACAGCTTCATATCTAATGACATAACTCTTAGATCAAAACGTGGGATGTGGAAACACAGAAAGTTCCTTTGCTCAATCATCGTTCAACTCCCCATACGCTCCGCCTAATAAAACATAAAAAACGATCATCCTTTCTGTACTCACGTCTAAAACCACATAACCCAAAATAACAACGCGCAACCAAGAATCGAGTCCACCACGATGTTCTTCGTAGCAGGCCTCGTAGAGAATGCCTGACAGAATGAACCGAAAGTATGCGAACCAAAGATATTCGGTACCGAAACCGATCAGCTGAGCAGTTCATCCGTAACCATGGAATAAAATGTGTGGAGGAGAATAATTCCTTCGTTCTTAGCTCGCTGCAGCTTCCCGCTGTCACTTGGTTGTACAGTTGAGTCTGGGCTCTTCCATTGCGGCCAGGGAAAGGCATCCGAGAAACATGGTAGAGAAGACTCAACGTTACATGCGCGAGAACCCGAAACTTTCTCTTAGATGACATCTAAATAATACACGCGGATCTCGTTGTGTTTTCAATTATGTAGCACAGCTCGGACTCAGAGCAAGTGCAATTGCGATCTCAGCGTTTCAGCTTCTCAGTGAGTAATAAAAGTAGTTTCATTTTGACCAAATCACGACCGAGACCACTCTGCATGGAGGCGACAACCGCCTATGACAAGCATGGTAAAAATGAGTTCACTCCTCCAATGTCCAATTCTGTTATCTTATATATCATGCCGTCATAAAACATTAATCTAACCTGTGACCACACTCAACGCCGAAGCTTTATGCGTCTTCCCAATTATGCCCAACGCTCATGCTATCCTGCCCATACCAATACACGCAAACCCAGGGATCTATTCACATGACGCTGCATTCCCTATCAATATCTTTAGTCTTGTCCTTTTCCTTCGCCTTCCCTTTACTCCTGTCATGATGATGATTCTCATGCTCGGGATCTACGACCTCTCCTGGCCCTCTACTCTTATCTCGCTTTTTGCTTTTCTTCAGCTTTGGGGTGTTTTCTTCGTCCATTGTGATGTGAACCTCGTCAGTGGCATTTGGTTCTTGGGCTTCTGGTGAACTGACATTCTCCTTTTCGACAATTTCCTTTGTACCTTCGGTTTTGCTGATGAGTTGTTCTTTGCTGGCTCTCCAATTCAGTCTTGAAAGTGTCAAGCTCAACCGCCCTTCCCCTGCAGCGCTGGTAGGGCGACTTTTGTTTGTAGTTTTGAATCTCGCTGCAGCCCGTGACATTCTTTGTCCTGTGGTTTCTTCCCCAGTGGGAGTGACGGCACCTGGAGTCACAGGAGCTGAGGTCATCTGGGTGCTCTTGCTACTCGTCAAGCTCATATCGGTAAGTATGCTACCGCGGCGCTCCTCGGACATGTTAATACTTATCCTTGGTTCATCTTGTACTTCGGTTTCCGATGATAACCGATTGGAGTGATCGTTGGCGCCATCAAAATAACCATCCTGCATCCTCTCTTTCCTAGCTGCTAATCTTGGCGAGGAGCAAGTCACTCCGATGGTGGGGGATGTGTACGAAGGTGGTAGAATGTCGGGACATCTCGACGGCGTCATCTCGTAGGTTGGTTGGACTTGGTAAAAGAGTAGATATGGCATTTCCTCAACCATGGCTTTCTCAATGTCTACATACTGAACTCGTGGATCTGCTAGATCGTCAAACTTGATCCATCTATCTTCTGCATAGTGGGGTGGATGCATGTTGTTGCTGAGTCTCCGGGAAGATCCAATGTCGCCATCTGCTGCCTGGGTGGCCCCGCGAATGAATGAAATGTAATGACCGGAGTGAACAGAAGTGCCTCTATGGCATATAACGGATTGCAATGACAACTTGAAGTTTCCCATCAGAGGGCCGTCCTCGGAAATCATGTCTTCTTGAATGAAATGAGGTAGTTTGATGTCGAGAGGGATATCTATGAATGTGTCTTTCCTTGTCGCCTGGCCGTCATTTGTCATGGCGTAACGCTTCAAGCAGATTCCTAAAACTGGGCGTGTTTGCGAGAAGTGAGCTGCGACTTCTGCATCATTCGCAGGAGAATGTTTTGTGTACCAAGCTGTTTCACCGATTAGTACTGAATCTCGGGTATCAAGGGGAGCACGCCTAAAAAATGGCTTCATATCTGAATAAAATGGTGACGGACGTATTAGATTAAAGAATTGCCATGCTGGCATCAGCACTTCCTTTCGAAGAGAACCCCGGCGTACTGAATCAGGAGTTTCATTTCTGTCGTGGCCGCTCTTCTCGCCGTTCTTCTCGTCCTCGTGTATTATGCGATGCCGTATTATGCTTCCGTTGCGATTTAAAGTGGGTAGGGGATTGTGAATCTTAGGCGCGATGGGAGCAGCGGGTGCATGGACAGAGGTTGGAGTATCTGGGCCCCACGGCATTTCGGATACCTCGATATGCTGCGACTCTTCTTTTTCTGTGAAGGGAGACGACGCTGAGCGAACCGATGATCTTGTATTGGAGCGCTCAAGTCTTCGGACAACCTCAACTCGGTTGTTGAAGTATCTCTCAAGGCAATCTTCTAATTTGATTTGACGTGTATTGTCAGTATCTTCCGGCACCGCAACCTCGAGCAATCGCTCTTGTACGAATTTGTGGTCATCTCTATCGTCTACCTTGCCTGTATGGTAAATGTCCATCTTCAGGGTGAGCAACGGCAGTTCCAGCTTCTCCGTGATAAAGTGAAAAGCTTCGGATGTATCCTGCTGCTCCAGTTTTCCGGCATCCTCCCAACCACATGCTGCCATAGCGTCCTGGAGATGGCCAGTCTGCAAGCATTAGTTACTGTTAGTAGAGAAATGTCGTTTATAACGTACAACATCGGTCTGTATCAGCTTGCCTGTCCGTAGCAAATTTACCCACAATCGGATGAGGGTGGAAAGTCTACGTCTCGGCTCATCCTCGAAATTATTGTATAGGATGGGCTCGAAGCTCCCTAGACGGGAGAACATGGCAAACAGTAGGGCATCGAGATAGCATGTTACTCCTTCTCGGTTTTCTGCGCCTTGCATCTGTACCGATGAATCGTATGGTTTGATGATACCCTCTACGGATTCCTGGAACAGCAACAACATTTCGAATGCTCTATCAGCGTCCCCATCGGCGTGTCTCGAGGATAGGGAATAAGTAATCTGCTCGTCGCCTATGCTTGAATATCCGTGCTGGGCTAGTCGGTCTCGAATCTTTTGTATCTAAACCTTGTCAACGACCGAATTTGGGGAAACATTGTCTATTGACACCGTACTTTATTGCTCAGCTCCTTATCCATTTTCTTCTGCGGATCCGACTTGAACATGGAGAAGAGGCCATCGCTAGAGAGAGGTCTGATCTGTAGCAGGAAGCCAGGCCGATCATTAGCAGTTGTGGCATGAATTGTATGGCAAGTGGTTTCAGCAACTGGCACGCCCTTTCCATGAGGATTCGAAAAGGCGGCAAAGATGGAGCTCATAGGAAGAGAGACGTGGAGTATCTTCTTCGATATGAGCACTCGCATGCTGACAAGAGAGTAAGAGAGAGGCTACGCAGGCAGCGCCTTACCTTCCTGTCAACGGCCCCGGCCTTCTCCCTTGACTTCTCACGCTTGTGGGTGCCAATCTTTTCCCGTTTGCTGAGAAAACGATTCATGTTGCTGGCTACGAGCATCACCGGTTCGAAGGGTAGAAGATCGGGTGCAGGTGCAAGTGTAAGTGCAAGAGATAGCTTGCGGAGGGTGGTAGTTGAGAATGGCTATGGAGTATTCCGTACTCGTACTGTCTTGCGGCCGATCACTTTGGTGGGGTACCCGAACCAGGTACCAGAGCTGATGCAAGTACCTGTGTCCTCCCATTCAGCGGAGCCAGTGTGTTCTATCCCTACCCATGGCCTGGGAGGTTGTTCGAGCGAGATGCAAATGTCGCCAAAGGTTGCAATTGGCAAGTCGGGGGTGTAGGTGCACCGAGGTGCAGCTGTCTTTGTTGAAGTTGTGTTGGAAGCTGAATACAATAAATCAGGTACGTACTCGTAGGAGGGGAGGGATAGAGGGGAGAGCCCAGACAGAGTGATGACCCCTGTCGCAAGACGGGACCATCAGGACCCTGGAAATTCAGCCTCAGCCTCAACCTCAGCCTCAGCCTTGAAAAGAATTGCTGCCTGAGTGCCTAGCCTCGCGCAAGGTTTACCCGTAGTATCTCCCAAGAGATTTACTAGGTAGTTGAGATATTGAGATATTGATGAAGCCTGGAATTCATCTACGTCTTCAACATGGCTTTACAACAGCTGCCGTCCGCTCTTCGACAGCTTGCCCTTGCCGCGCGGCATACACGACCGGTCGCCAAATGTATATTCCCAATATCCCGGCGGTATGCTTCGAGTGAAGTTGCGCCAGCCCAGGAACAGGACGCTGTACCCGTGCCCGCACCCGTCCCAGAAGATTTCCAGGATCTCGAAACGGAATCCTCCTTCAACACCGAGTATTCTGAAAGCGATGTCGTCAAAAGTTTTGATCCGGTGAAAAGAGCAAAGAGAAGGAGGGGTCAGCTTCCTCCGAGTCGGTACGTTGGGTCAATTGGATCGATCCAATTAGGGCAAACAACTTACACAACACTTCAGATATCAATTCCGATCCCCAAGATACTACAGAGGACCTTTACATCCACATCAACCTCCTCCCACCTCCGATCCTGCATCTCGTCAATTCATCCCGGGCCCCTTTTCCCACACTCGTCTTGAACAAACATGGCAATCTACCATTGCCCCCGACATCATGACACTAGGTTACGTCCACAAACCACCGGGAACTGTCGACCCGGTGAAGTCAGAACGATTAAGAACCTGGGACGGCTCCTCGCCATATCATAAGAACAGACCTAAACGTGGTCCTAGAGGTCCAGAGGGTGTTCTCCGAATGATTGAGCAGGATATCAATTGGCGCAACATTCCCAAAATCACCGGTGTCACAGTCCACAGCATGGTGAAAGGAGCAATTGAGGATTCTTCTCATTTGCATGTAGCTGGGATGGTTCTTCAAAGTGTCACTGGAGTCCAACCCCAAGTACACAGAGCGAAGCATGGTGTGGCGCAGTTTGGAATTCGAGAGCGCATGCCTATATCTCTGACATGCACAATTCGGGGCAATATGGCATACGAGTTTATTGACAAATGTATCAATCTCGTATTTCCAAGAATCAAGGACTGGGAGGGAGTCAAAGGTAGCCTGTTTACTATGTCAAAACCTGACAATGCTAATGACATGCACAGGCTCTACTGGTGACAGCAGTGGAAACATAACCTGGGGTTACAACAGAGAGGGTGTCATGCTCTTTCCAGAAGTGGAGATCAACTACGATGTAAGCCACTCAACATTCAACTCAAAATCAAGAAGAAATGCTGATCATGACCTAGATGTACCCTCCGAGATTGATTCCAGGTTTCCACGTCACAGTTCATACCTCGGCAAAATCTGATAGACATGCACGATTGCTCCTTAGTTCAATGGGAGTTCCATTTTACGGGAAGCTGATTGATTAGTCATTATACAGGACTTGCGGTCTTGGTAGGTACTCCCAGATGAACTATGTAAATATTTGTACACTTGCTGTAATACATAAGAAAATCTATTCTTGACTCGTCACTTTTGCATGATCGCCTCTCCTCACTTTTTAGCGATGCTTTTCGATCTTTGAAGGCCTAGACATCTTGAGAAAGGGGCAAATCCAAGGTCGTAGCCCCTGGACGATTGGAGCCGCTGATTTTATTGACTTTCCTGCTCGAGAGCTTGTCATATTTATACGTTGAGAGATTTGTATGAAAGAGAAGGAATCCTTATGACGCATAATATAAATCTTAGTAGCAGAATCTTGATCTATAAAAGTCACAGAAGTTGCGAAGCTGGGCTCTAGAGTCACTGCAGTGCTTACATTTTGAAAGGGTCCGTTTCGTATCCATATAGTCCTTACTGTCTTCTTAATCCGATTCGTTTGCTCTGGTTCTTGAGAAGACTTCAAATCAATTATTTCGCTTAGTGGTTTTCCGTATATTTCATTTGAAAGGCTTTGCGGTAGATATACTATGTCACTCGTGTTATATTAGTAATTTCCTCAATGGTTACCATCCCTAATCTGAAATACAAAAGGATCCAGCAGAAATATAGGGATTTTTTGTTTTCATGCCTGTGTTATCGCAGTACGTGTAGGTAGCCGTCTTCATTACTGTATTACGTGTCTTATGTAAACTTCTGGCCTCCTGAGGTTCTTTGTTTAACCACAGAGCAGTGGCGAGCAGAGTTCACGTTAGTGAATATTAGTCTCCCAATCCCCAAAGTGAATTCATGAGACAGAACACATGCCTTTGGACCTCCAATGGACGACTATGTAACATTCAGGTCTCGTAGCCAGTAAGAGAGGCGGGCATTGCTCTGTACACGCCTGAGTTATAGAAATATTATTATACTAAATACCTTACACAACTAAATCAATTATACGAGTAGTCTAGAACAATTGTTACTTTTCAATTCTTATTATACTAGGTGAAATAGGACAATTAAGTTACTTATGCCAGAGTTTTGATATAATGACTTCTAATAGCGTGTACAAAGCAATGCTCGCCTCTCTTACTCTCGTGGGCCCTAAATACTTTGGGTTCACCTATTTTGTTTATCAGAACATACTGGCCAGTTAACGAACGTAGATGGCTTGATGGTAGTAAAACTTTCGATAGATACTGGTTAGTACCAATCGTGTGAGGAACGCATTCGCCTGGAGAAAGGGTCCCATGGAAAGTATAATCGCGAGGTCTCGACGGGGGACCACATTTTTCCCAGAGGACTCCATAGGGCTCAGTCAGGCTGAGTGCAGGACTTCTAAAGTGACGACGCTCTAGGAGAGTGCTGCCGGAGGTGTTAAAGGTACCAAACCAGAATTCAGCGCGCATAGCTGGAGTGATGTTTGAGTCAGCTACAGCGAGAGCAGGAAGGGAGTCAGAGAGGTCAGAATAGGGTCGTATTCCGTTCAGGTCAAAGATATCGAAGGGACAGTCAGGGTTGATGACGGGAAGGACTGGGGGATCACATCTGGGGAGACCGTCAAGTGTGTCGATAGTCGCCTGAGTGGGAAATGGGGTATCAGGAGTTTAGACTGGACCAGTCCCTTTACGCTGCGCCTGTTACAGCTTGAGTTTAGTTGCCTTGCTGATCTTGAGCTTCCATTCGGGCTTCTAGTAAGGGTGATTGGCACTAAGCTCATAGACCCGGTGATTATTCCAGGTTGCTACCGCAAGTGGAGGACCAGGGAAAGGACCCTGGGCATCAGAGTCGGAATCAGCCATGATAAGAGCTCTCACTGATATGCAAGAGGTTATTGATGATGTGTGAAGTATGGGGGAGCTGGTCGTGAGAGAATTGGAGGATGTGGTGGAGTATTCTAACTCTATAACGCTCGAAGAATAGCAAAAGAGACACTGAAAATAAAAGAAATCAAGGTAAGAAGAGCTTAGATACATAGGAATATACAAGAGCTAGGGAGAGGGAATATTATTTGTATACATTCAAAAGAGAGAAAAGGAGCGAAGGAACTAATTAATAAAGCGAAAGAAAGGAGAAGTATATATCCACTAAGATTGTAGTATAGATCTAAGGCAATTTTACTAACTAAAAGCGCTTCAAGTAAAATCAAAGAAAAACTACTGATTCTATTTGAATTTACTCCCTTGATCGTTTTAATTGTGCGGGTATATTGGTTGATTTAATATCTTCAGCTATACTTGCGCTTAAAACTCGTTATTTCGTTTCATTAACAATGAATATATCTGCCATCTAGCATATCGAGTCTTTTCGCTGTCTGATTCTAGCAAGATTTCAGCCAGCTTGATTTGAAAGTTCGAGTGTTCGATGTTTACATACAGTAGCGAAGTGAACTAGTTACTACTACATTCGCATCTCTTTAATCCCGTAATTTCACAACGTAAATAAAACCATGTGGAGAAAGTGACAAGAAGAAAAGCTTCAAGTTCAAGAATAGGACCCAACATAGTCAATGCATTTGAAGGTCATGTTAAATCCTCTCTTCCCATTCTCCACCTACAACTCCCTCACAAACACTTCGTAACATTAACCGTCGACTGAGTCAACATTATAATCGCAACAATCAAGCCATATAGTCCTGAATCCCATTAGTACCATCTTCCCAAGCCTCCATTATACACCATCTCGCCTCCTCTACTTCTCCATCTCTTTGAATGCCCAAAAGAAGAAAAACCACTCACCCAAAACCTCAGCAAAAATAAGCATCAACATCATCCCAACATAAAGTCTAGGCTGCATAGCCGTCCCACGAACCCCCGCATCCCCAATAATCCCAATCGTAAAGCCCGCAGCCAAACAACTTAATCCGACCGAGCAACCCGCTGCCAACTGCAGGAAGTTTGTGTGGAGAGCGGATTTCTCGGCGAGGGAGGAGGAGATGATGACGGAGACTACGAGGCCGTAGATGGAGAGGATTCCGGCGAGGATGGGGGGCATCATGTCTGGAAGTCTTTTGTTAAGCGATTGTGATGAGGAGAATCTTTGAAAGGAGGGGGTGGTGTAGGATTACTTTTTATAATGTCATCTGGACGTTGCACACTCACTGCTGCGACCCCGATTCCAGATTTTGCGATTCCATATGCGGCACCGAAGGTTGAGAATACTAGACTGACAGAACAGCCCATCGCACCGAAGAAGCTCTGCAAGATGTCAAATGAGCTACCAAGAACTTAATGGGGCGTATTCGACATACAGCATAGACAGGACTATCCAAAGGAAATCACGTTAGCTCCAATTCTCAGATCAACATGACAACCGAAGCGTATGAAAAGAGTGACTTGCCATCTGCCTTGTTCGTTCCAGTCAATTGGATCCATCTTCTTCGTCGTCTTGTTCAAATCAAAAGTCTTCCACTCTCGTCGAATTTTAGAATAACGATGAAAAACTGCTATTTGCTTGTGGAACTTTCGAGGTGTATTTCTTGACGTTGAAAACTCAGACAAAAGTTCCTACGCAGGTAGCCTCTTCAAAGTCACGTACGTCCTCGTGATATATCTCCTAGCTCAGCCCCCCCTTTGTCCACTAAACTCGCTTATCAGGTAACCCCCCAAATCCACCATCGGAATTTTATTGACCCGTCTTACACCCTTATCAAGCTCCAACAGATGCCTAATATGGCCGCGAGGCTCTCATTCAGCTTTGCAAAAGATTTTCGGAATGAGATTTGAGAGGGTTTGGTGGTTTCGTTTAGTCAAGGCAGCCGCCTTTGTTTTGTGACAAAGGACGCGTTGCTGGCCACGAGGTGTTATTTGTTTTCTGTAGTTGGAAGGAGAGGATTGAGTTCGGGAAATACTTGGATTGCAATGTGCTTATTACAGTTTGTTGGTGCCTTGCAACAAATAGACAATGTTTTGAGGTGAGACTTTTCGCCTACACGCGATGAAGTGGGAGGAGAGAGCCGCATCATGCTTACCTATTCAATATTGTGATGAGGGAAGTGGAATAATAGTGACATAATATTCTAGGAAAGTCTCCTAGGATTAACAAACCAATCATGGCCAATAAATCAACACGGCAAACAAAGTTCGGCATCTAGAATTCTATTCGATCCCAGAACCCACCTCTGGTATTGATATATTCTCTATATATATTCCATGGAATCTCTAGAGTTTCTAGACAGAAGTTATTGCTATTCCGGAAAAAAGTCTTCCTGATCTAGTGAACTATTACGAAGCTCCTAGTGGCCTAGTAGTAAAAATATACTTATTTAATACTTTAGTACAATTAAACTATTATGATAACGCCTTTATATATAGGTACACATTCTTTATCTACTAACCGCTTAATTAAGTAGCTAGTACTAGCATTCCTAGATATTTACCTGAACTATATCTATCGTATATACTAAACCACCCATTTACGCCTCTTAAATCCCACTTTCTTCTTAGTTCAAAACCCCCTAGAATCCTATAAAACCCCTAGAAGTCTAGAGATTAATGAATAGAAATTATCTATTATACTTCAGAGTGCTCTGAAATTATTCCAGAAAGGATAGACTCTCCGGAATTCCACGGAATCTACTCTATTTGCCGATCGTTAACAACATGGGATTTAAGATCAAATCACCGCTCAGTCTCAAGAAACGGATGCCCAACTCACCCATACTCAACTTTCCGGGTCTAAACAACTAAAAACAAATCTTATCAAGAACATGATATACGAGTAACCACTCTTCTATCTACACACCACACAATTCAAAATCATTTGAGAACTTATCATTCGAACGCTCAGCCTATCGATCCGGTTCTCTACCTCTACTAGAGGGCCGAAGCGTACGGACTACGAATCATAAAAGTAAGAGGGGAAAGGAAGAGGTAACTTCAAGATTCCAGATATGATAGTTCGGAGAGCACAGTCAATAGAAACCAGGACCGCGAAATTCGGAATAACAAGAAATTCAAATTCTCTATAGGTCAAAGACTTATGAGAGACTCAGGAAGAGAGTTTCTTGAAAAGAAAGGTCAAGTCATGAAGCAAATGTCTGATAGAACTCAGGAGTAATATAAACAGCCAATCTTTGAAATACTATGTCTGTTTTACAGGGCTTTGTATCAAGAAGTTTGATAGAGTCGGATGTATTAGTTCAGGAGGGTAGTAACACTATTTCCCGATTTTTTTCAACCCTTGCAGTTTGAAGATACAATACTTCCGTACATAGAATAAAAACATATGAAGAATCCAAAAGAGTACCATCTCACCATCTTACCTACCCAGAAGTACTAGCTTCCGCACCAACTCCATTCAAAACCTCAACCTCAACCTCGACCCTAAAACAAAACGTCATCTCCAAGACTCACTCTCGAGATCATCCTCCCAAATCCTACACCAAAACCCCACCCCCCTAATCACCTCTTCAAACCCCCCATCCAATAACCCACGCCCCTCCAAAAACGTGTGCCGATCCTCGTCCTCCCGTGAAACACTCACACAAAATACCCACGCCAAGCGGCTTATGTACTCAACGGGTATGCATTCAAGTTGTGTAACCAAATGTCAGACTGGCTGGCTGCATTAGAAGTACGATTTTGACCCGGGATTTCCCTTGGTGCAGGGGTAGGTAGTAGGTAGCATTTTTTCTCACTCCCAAAATCAGTTGAGAATTTGGAGATGGGATTCGGGTATTGTAAGGATAGGCGGTGAGACGGGTACTGTGAGTGAGAAGCGCATTCAGACGCGATAACCTCCTGTGCGGTCTGGTATGAGCTTATCTCTGTGCGATATGACGCGTATTGAGAAGATGGAAGAGGATCTTTCTTGTGTGAGGGCGGGAATGTGATACCTCGAGAAAGAGACTTGAGGGTCTAGATTTCTTGTGGTTTTGTGCGAGGGATGGGTGTGGTACGAGATGGGTAGGTAGGTGGGCAATGGCTTTATGTTTTGGGACGTGAGGAGATCATCGAGATGGTGGTTGTTGATCTGGATTTTGGATTAAAAGTTCTGGTCTGCTTCAGAGGTTGCGGGACGAGATATTTCTTGATTTGCTTCATTTTGGTTATGGGATGAAGGCGTGGAAGGGCAAGGGAGTAGACATTCACGATACTCATCCACGTGAAATTCAGAAAAGCATAATCTCGACAAAACGAAATTGAGAAAGTTGTGTTGTTTTCAAAAACAAAAAAACAATAGATCAAGGATAGAGTCTGCGAGGTCAAACAAGCTTTCTCTACCCGCAATCATTTTTGTCTTGGAATTTCGGAAACACGTCACGACATGATGTCAATCCTACGTCGGATTGAACATCTGATCTTGGTATTGAATCATCTCTATCAAATTGGATTTTTGTTCAAGTACCTAAAGTTCGTGTCTTTCATATAAGAATTTAGGTACGGAGCGATTCCAAAGCACCCACTTTCCGATCTACAGGGATACTATACTGGTGTACTTCGTATATAAACCGTGTCGGTAACAACGGTAACTACCAAGATGATTTGTATACCGAAGATTCCGTAGACATGACGCAAGATAATCAATGGAGTGGCCCGATACAGACCATTGTCAAGAGATGCCGTGTCTCCAGGTATATCGGGTCGAACCGCAGTCCAAAAGCAAGTCGCTATGCATGAGCGAGTTTCTTCATCTGCAAGAGACTGCAGACGATATGCAGCACTCATCTAATTGTATTTGGCGACTGCATGAATGGCCACAATATGTGAATTTCCATCCTTTCATTCCAGGTCGGTGGTAACGAAGTAAATTTATACCGAGTACGAGTTTAATCGGCCAAGTGCAATGTCTAAGTTGGCTTTCTTATGTTCTTTGCAACCTGCATTGCCTATTCCATGAAAACAGCCGAATCTCCCGAAGAATGATGTACTTCGTATCCCGCTCTAACTCTCTTACCATGGATGGGATTCCGGATGAATGAAAAATCCCTCTCTCAGTTGGAGAACTTCAATACCTGACATGATTGGTTCTGATCTTGGCCAAGAGCCAATGCGTGTTGTGCTGGCAGAACAGAAGTGGACTCTAGCGAGACGGAGAGGCAAATTGTCGCCTTGTTGCAATTGGCATGTGGAAAAGCATGTGGTTCGCATCAGCCACGCCATCGAGGTACATCTTCACCGATCTGGGAATGCAGAGCACTGTCAATCCCAGGGAGCGGGCCCAAAAGCATGGTGTTGTAGGGAGACATATATTGATTTTGATATCGCGGTGAAGGGCTCGGCGCTTGTGGTGGGAGAGGGACGACGGGAAGATGATGAAACTTGACAGCACTGATCGGCCTGCGCTACATGCAAAACACCAATGCGCGGTTAAGGTACAAGCGTACATCGATAGTATATCGAACCATGGCCAGAATATGGCCAGTGGTCGTAGGTTTTCTCGGTTATCTGAGGCCAAACGATGAGGCCTGATTCAACCCAATCCGATTCCCAGGTCAGTCATTACCAATACATCTGCGCCCTTGTGACATTGATGAATGGTTGGAATTTGCAAATTATGTACGAGTAAGGCTGATAAGCACCAAAAGACCCCGAATCACCACCGCGCCAAGTGATTGAAGATCATTTTGCCATATGCCCGCAACAGAGGGCTGTCGGGGGTTGGTTGCTATGTTGTCATGTTTCAGTGGGCTAGCTTGCTCTACGGAAATCTTCTCAGTGAGGCTGTGTCGTTTGACATTTTCTCTCGGGATTGGTCGGGTTTGAACACGTTGAAGTGTTGTTGGTATGACTTGGCCTTAGGAACGGTACTGGTAAGATTAAACTAGGAGTTCGAGGGCTTCGGACAACCTCCTATTGGACAATTGCAAGAATAATAGAGAGGTCGGGTTGGAAATACCGTCATATCCCCCACATTGCAGAATCATCGATCGCCAACGTGTTATTATAAATCCATACTCGTACCTTCGACCGAAAATTGGGATAATTATTAATACGGCAGTATGCCATGGTATCCTTTCTTTACGTCGACGGCAGATACATCGGTTCCCCAAAGTATAAAAGAGTACCTAGTTAATCCAGCAGGGGATGATGCAGGGGACTGATGCAGCACCAAACCCCCGCATTTTAGAGGGACAGAAAGATATAAAAAGATCTCCCAAGTACTTTGGACTTAATTACTTTTACAGCAATGTGATACTAAAGAGGAGATGTGACAGAATTGGAGCGAGGGAGTGAAAGCAACCAACGGTGGTATTTTGGCTGAAATGGCGCGTCAATGTACGAATACCGAGGAATTTCTCAATGGGCGGGCAGTAAAGGTGGAGGGAGAGAAGATTTCGCTACCCCTCATTGACAAGTAATCCTCCGTACGAGTTGGAAGCTCCCCCTGGCCTGACGAGCAGACCTGGTGGACGTAGGCTTGGTATGAGCGAGCTGTGGGGCCCACTCACACCGCAGCTTTACTTTGTACATTGATCCAGAGAAAGGTCGAGTAACGAGTTACAGATAGGAAACGATATCATGTGCATGTGCATGTGTAGGTGTATCGGCCGGCCGGCCAGGTGTTGAAGATATTTTTGGATAGGGATGAGGCGGTGGACGTGTGAGCTTGAGCTGGAGCCTGAGCTTGAGCTGGAGCCTGAGCTTGAGCTTGTGATGGGGGCAGAGCCGAGCTTGACGTTGGCGAAGGTCAGAGTAAAGGTCGAAGAGGCGAGGTGGCTAGCCAGCACAGCACAGTGTTGGGTATTTCTCTTTCGAAGAAGTGATGTGTGATGTGGTGAGAGGATTGCCAACAGACTTGTCAATCCAGTGATCAGTGGGAGGGGATACATACTCAGTGATACTGATATCAGTCTCTCGCTTGATAGCAATCCTCCTCGAGGTGATGAGCAGATGAGCATGTCTTGAAGTGATAGGTACTCGTAAATAGCTGGATAGTGGATTGTAGCTATGTATACAGTACAGTAGAGTATGAGTATTTATACCGTAGGTATTCATAGGTATTCATAGGTATTCATAGGTACTCATAGGTATCCATTAGTACTCAAGGGCATTCATAGGATCTTCGTATACTACTCTAGTAGAGTCCTCAGACTTCCATCCTCGCCCTCTGCTCTGTGGGCCTGCATCTGCAAGAAAGTAGCATGGCAGGGCAACAGACAACTGCTCCTGCAAGAATAGCGTGCTTCCTGGCTGTTGCTGTCCTCGTACCTGAACTCCCGCTGGGCTCGAGGGATCTCCTCCCCCTCGCCTCCCCTCCGCACCAACCATTCGCGAACGCTGGACGACACCGGGTTTTGGTGAGGCATTTAAAATATCATCCTCCCTACTCCAGACCAACGCCAGCGGCCATAAAGTCCTAGCGGGAGCGCCGCGCCTAAGAGGAATTGAGTGGGAAATGAGATGCGATGACATGAGAAGAGTAGAGGAGGTGACTTGACCTTGATCTGGCATTCCCATTTGCCTCGTGCTTCCATTCTACGCCCAACATCCGCTGGTTTGGTCTTGTCATTGCCGTGTCCTGTTCTGAAAAGGCAATCTTACCCTACCGCGATTGCCACAGCTCAGCTCCAGCTACAGCTAGGTACTGCCACTACCACAGCTACTCGTGCAGCCTGTCCCCAGGGAGAAAGCGCAATTACAGCCTGGAGCGAACCATCGCGACACGCCTGTACCATCTGAAAGGACCTCGCCACAGCAATCTCAGTGCCTTACAGCACACGCCCATGGTACTGTAAAGTTCAGTGAATAAAGAACCCCCGAGTGAATCAAGCCACCTCGCCCACCACCAAGTGCCCCGGGCTCTGCTCGCCTTCAAAAGCTCCCGTTCCCAGGTTCCTGCGAAGAAGCCAACGTCTTCTCACAGCCAAGTCATCTCAACTGCAATTTGAAGAAACCAAGGCCCAGCTGGTCCTGTGCCGGTGGTGCTGCTGGTAGTGGTACTTACTGGTTCTGGTAGTGGTACTTACTGGTTCTGGTAGTGGTACTTACTGGTTCTGGTAGTGGCACTCGTACTGGTATTGCACTGTACGGCACTGCGTTACGTTGCGTTGCGTGCCCTGCCCTGCGCTTGCGGAGAAATCACACAAGCTCTTGTCCGACGGGCGCCGAACCCCAACCCCAACGCCAAAAAGTTCCAGTTCCCACTACGAGAAATCTTGCACCCTCACATTCACCTTCACCTTCACCCATTCCTCTCTCCTCTTCTCCTCTTCCGCCTCTCGACCTCTCCTCCCTCTCCTCTCTCGTTCTCCTCGCCATCATCGTCCTCCCGGCTCTGCACACTCCATTCTTCCCTTTAGCCCTTTGGGTGTGAGGTTGAGCGACTCTGGGCCACCTGCCCACCTCACGCATTGAATCGAGGGGGTCGCATACCTAACCATTGACTGCACCGCATCCTGGGAACTCTCTACCGGCTCCCGACCCACGCCCACGCAACACCACTCCAACGCTACCTCTCACCTTTCCCTCCCCTTCCCGCCAGCCAACATGTCGACGGTCGGTTCTGCAAGGGTTCCTGTGGCCAGCGAAAAGACGAAACCTTCTCCCTCGGTCTCGTCGACCTCTTCTTCTGTTGGTTCGCCTGTAACACGACCGGTACCGTCTCAGAATGGCCTCAAAGTTCCAAGCAATGAGATCACGCTCAATGGCACTGCGCCACTGGCAGAGCCACAAAAACCAATCCCTGCACACACAACAGCAGAAAAACCGTCGATGACGAAGCGCTTGACACGCATGTTCTCAACCAAGGATGCTTCTAGAAATGATTCCTCATTAAATTCCCCTGTTTCTGCCACTTTTTCTTCCTCTCGTCCAGATTCCGCAACGTCTACACGATCGAAACCCACCGCGCCTTCTCGTAAAACCTCCACCACCGACAAACCACCCAAACAGGACAAACCCGAAAAGCCCACCACGGCGCCCTCAAAGGACAAGAAGAATGGAGCGACTGTCGCTCAGCTCCGGTTCGTTTCAGGTCTTGATGTACCTGGCGGCCACGAACATCACTTGAAGAGTACGAAGCGACAAGAGAAACTCTCGGATATGCTGCGAAATGTCATCAGTGGCAAGCAAAGAAACGCTGACCACCCCCAGGAAAGCGATCAGCAGTTATCTCTCATGTCAACATGGGTGGATCAGTTAAAAAGCGAAAGAGAAACCCTGGCTTCCGACAAGAAGGGCGGACCACGAGAGACGGCGACCTTGGTAGAAAAGTACGGCAAATGTCAAGAAATTGTGGGCCGAGGTGCATTTGGTGTGGTCAGAATATCCCACAAACGGTCGGAAAATGGAAATGAGCAGCTTTATGCCGTCAAGGAATTCAGAAGACGCCCAGAGGAGAGCGAAAAGAAGTATAGCAAGCGTCTTACTTCCGAATTTTGTATATCCTCGTCCTTGCGACACCCCAACGTTATCCATACACTCGACCTTCTCCAAGATGCCAAAGGCGACTATTGCGAAGTCATGGAGTTCTGTGCCGGTGGCGATTTATACACGCTGGTCCTTGCGGCGGGCAAACTCGAAGTTGCAGAGGCCGATTGTTATTTCAAACAAATGATGCGGGGTGTGGAATACATGCATGAAATGGGAGTTTCGCATCGAGATCTGAAGCCAGAGAACCTACTTCTCACAACCCATGGTTCTCTTAAAATCACGGATTTTGGAAATGGCGAATGCTTTCGTATGGCTTGGGAAACCGATGCACACATGGTCACGGGTCTTTGTGGCTCTGCTCCATATATTGCTCCCGAAGAATACACGGAGAAGGAGTTTGATGCCCGCGCCGTGGATGTTTGGGCTTGTGGTGTAATCTATATGGCCATGCGTACTGGTCGCCATCTATGGCGTGTTGCCAGAAAGGACGAAGACGAATTCTACGCAAAGTATCTGGAAGGCAGAAAGGACGAGGAGGGTTACGGGCCCATTGAATCATTACATCGGGTATGTATTGACTTTGTGTTTTTTCTGCGACAAACTAACGCTACGAGCTAACAAAGACACAGGCTCGTTGCCGTAATGTGATATATTCCATCCTGGATCCGAATCCTGCGCGTCGTATCACCTCGTCACAAGTTCTCAAATCCGAATGGGGCCGTGAAATTAAAATATGTAAGGCTGGCGAAGAAGGTCTCTAACACGAATAAGCTGGGAGACATGTCTGCTTTTGGTTGGATCATAATCGATCGAGCTCAACATTCCAACTTCAGCACTTCAATTTTCCAGCATTCTCCAATTCTTCGCCAATTTTTACGTACTTCATGAGCTCTTAACGACATGCATAAATGGGAAAGGTTACGATCAATCACTTTAACGACGGAATTTTTTTCTTTGGGGGCATTATGGTTTCAACCTAGGCGTTTATCTTCTTTTCTGGGCAACTTAGAGAAATGAGGTGTGGCCTTTTTTTGGGAGGGGTGTTTCTGTTTATGTTTTGTCTTCTTTTCGCTCTTTGTCTTACCTGATCATGTTAGCAGGGCTGCGCTGGCGCTCGGCGTTCTTCATCTTTCTTCATGATTTTCTTTTCCCCTTGGGAGGCAAGAGGAAATTTCTGAATCAAGTAAAGCGACGTACACCAAAATTCTCGACGGGGAAGCCAATTTAACAGTACCCAAAAGAGACACGGTCACCCTTTTTTTTCTTACTACTTCTATTGGCGGCATTGTTTGCTTAGCTACTTTTTTTCTGATGGGGTTGGTGGTTTTGGGTCTTTGGTAGGGGAGGCAATGTGCACTTTCTTTAAGGGAAGTTTAGATGTGGTGAATCATTTGAGTCGAAGGAGTTGGATGGGGGTGTACATGGAAAGTGCGTGGGTGGTTTTTAGTGATTTAGGATTCGATGGCGGTGGTGTGGTTATTTCTTCTGATGGGGTGGAGGGAGGGTGGTGTTTTTTGTAGATATGAAAGAGAAGCTTTTTAGCATGGGCATCGATTGGTAGACTGATGGGAAGAGTCTCGAATTTCTTTTACGAATGAAATGGAATAGAAGAGTCTTAAGATGGAATCACGTTAATCTTGTGACATTGTGTCATTCTATCAGCCTTATTTTCTTGTCTTGTTGGGAAGTTCCTTCCCTGCGAGTATTCACCGGAATATTACAACCAGAGAATGTCGAACTACTTCATTCGGCACCATCCCCCCTGATATCCTAAGCGAGATTCCGCGAAAGAACTCGACAACATTCCTTGGAAGGAGAACGAGGCCCTTTTATTAAGCGGGTTCTCGCGTAATTTTATCCACGGGGTGAAATTACCGTACTGTGAGATTCCTTTGTAATCTGACTTGGGCATCGAATAGGATGTATGTACAGTACCTACCGCGGAACCTTTTCATTTTAGAGAAGATTAGCTTCTTCGGATTTTGTTTATTGACGTGAAAACATGGTAAGTGTAACTTGATATGAGGAGACTTGTATTACGATGCCTCTTTTTTTGGATTTTGGCTCACCTGGAAGAGTTAACAAAATAAGTGAGTCGACTACTTGCTTACTTGTTCCTTCCTGGTGCTTCCTACTTCCTACCTCGGAAGTTAAGCAAGCGGCTGTAGAGTTTAGGAAATGAATGGCCAGCTCTTGGGTCACTCTCCATACGTTTTCTCTTCTATTTTCCATTATGGGTCTACTTTGCAAGTTATTTGAATTTCAGTATGGACTCTGGAGTATCCTTATTTCTAATTTGCTTCTATATATGGGATTCCGTGGTCTCCAGGGTAGTGTGACAGTTTTTGATTTAGTGAATAAGGGTTCGCTTAGCGAAGTTGCGGGTGTACCCTTCCGTAGATAGACAAATACCTAAGGAGTGCGAAGAGCGTCTCTCTTCCCTCCTTGCGAACAATCTATTCCTTGATCCCCACCATAACAGGTAGGTTATTAATTTCTTGAGTAGAGCTGAGGGTTTGTATTTATTCTTCCTTGTTCTAAGCTAGGTTTATGGAAAAGGGAACATGGGAAAAGAGGAGAGGGGTTTATGTAGTGATTTCTACTTAGATTAAGTGTGTGGTAGGTAGAATATTACTATAATTTTCACACCAGGATAAATCCAAGTTCTGGATCCAGATTACATAAAGCTAATTGAACAAGGCAATTTGTCTATGGGAATATGTTGGATGACTTTGTGGATTGCTAGTATTATCCCAAAGAGTCTCAGCAGTTCTTCCAAAAAGAACACAAAATATAGTGCGATGTTTGGTGAGGATAGGTAGAGGTTTATACCTAATTCATTAGGATTTGGGTGAAGGGTCTTCTACTTCTGATTGTTTGAGGAGGAGGGTCGTTTTGTTTGGGGTGGTTGGGGGATAGGGTGGCTCTAATAGAAAAGGGGTTGGACTTTCGGTTGTAGCAAGAGAAGTTAAGGTAGTATATACTATATATACCGCTAAAATTAGGATATAAATAGTAATCTAGAATCTGGCTCGAGTACTAAGATGGGTACCTATATATACAAGCTCTAACAAGCTCCAAAAACATTAAGTCCCCTCTTCTCGCCTCTCGTTGGTTCTAGTAAATAAGCCTTTTAGCTAGAATTTTCTATAGAAGTCAGATAGGAGCTATTTAACTAGCCGGGTTCGTAAGCGTAGTAGATAATTTAAATACTCCGTTTACTATCTGTTTTTCCACTTGTATTTGCTGGTTTATACGATAATGACATTCAAGGGTAGAAGATAAGGGGTGATTTACTTTGGGTATTTCTAATTGATTGGAAGTGAATAGTTAATAGTCGACTGAATATGATCGTCTTTGACAAGTTGGTTTGATACTCCTTCATGGTCTCAATCGCTTCACCCAACGTACTGAAAGCAGGTGACAAAACCTACCTACAATCCACCACCTATGAAATACCAACCCACCACCTCCCACCAACCTCCAAAACCCCAACGTACATACCTATCCAACACCCACCTCATCCCCACACAATGTCTCAAAAACACATATACAAAGCCCCCAACTGTCAACTCTCCACAGCAGATAGCGACAAACCCGGTATCAACCTCGATACCCTCGGCGAAGTGATCGAACACCTTCGCTCAGCACACAAACTCACATACATGCGACGACCGAATCGGCTAGGGATACTAGATAGTCATGGACACCTATGGTATTGTTTCCATGTGAAGTGTGAGACCAGGGAGGTGGTGGGAAAAGATCATAGGAGTTTTAGGTTTGATGGGGCGATGTGGGATCGTTTTAATGCGTGTCATGATTGGGATTTTGATGGGGTTATACGAGAAGGATGAGGGGGTTTGGAGGGGGGATTGATGGTATGTGATACTGATGGGATTTTGTGGGGAGAGTTGTTGGAATTTTAACCTGGTTTTTAGGTTGGTTTTTATTTGGTTTGCTTTGATTTTACTTTGAGTCGGTCTTCTGCGCTTAGCGGTGGCCATGAAAAGAAGACGAGGGGACGGTATACGGGCTTACGCTTCGATGTGATTGGGGNGGGGGGGGGGGGCTGCAAAAAATGCCCTTCGCGGAGAAGTGGCGATAGCTTAAGGCTACTATCTCGATAACTAATACCTTAGAAGTTATTCCTCTTTAACCGAAGTATAGCTTGTAGGTATCTTCGAGAAGTCCAAAGGTTATGAAGCTTAGGTAAACCGCGACTCTTGACTTTCATCGTTGAATACAAGTAACTATTAGAGACTCAATTACTAGTCTATGTATACCTGGCAAGACATTGTAACAATTAAATTCCTAGGATAATAAAGTTGATTATAAAGGGCAACGAACTCCAAAAAGCTAACTTCTAGTAAATACCTATTAAACTAATCCTTATTCCCCAAAACCCTACTTAGAAAACCCCGAACTCCCTCGTACCCCATACCGCCACACTCCGCCACAGCCACAGCCACAGCCACAGCCACCACACCCACCCCCTCCAATCTCGCATCCCTCCACAAAACAAAACGAAAAACCAAAAACCGAAAACGAAACTCCACAAAAATCCCCCTAAATCTCCCCCATTGTTCTTTCGTACTTCGTACTTCGTAAACCCTCACTCCCCCTTCCTAATTTCCGAACCTTCACAAACCAGGTAAATTTAAATGAACCCCACGCTCCCCCTCAAACCAAAAGGAAGTTCGTACCCCTCATGTACTCTACGTCATCCCCATTAATTAGGCAAACACGAACGAAGTAAAGTACGAAGTATGAATTATGAATCGTAAATCGGATGAACCTTTCTTTTCGCATAGCTAAATAATTGACACCTTTATTTTATTTGATTACTTCTAGCTTGTAGAAGAGTTGGTTCATACGGAAAAAAAAAGAAAGAAAGGGAGAAAGGGGGGTGGATATCTTATTATATATTTCATATCGTTTGATGATATATCTAAGATCCATGACCTCGCATTTACTGTGCTTTACTTTAGCAGAGTACATTAACAGGAGTCGTTCATCTGATTTAAATTGACCACCTTCTCTATTTCTTTATATATAACACTCTCTCAACTCTCTCAACTCTCTCAACTCTCACCTCCCTTGACTCTCAAAACAAAACCAAACGAAACGAAACGGAACCAATTAATCCACCCAATCTACTTCCCCAAGCAAGTAAGCAAGTAAGTAACTATATCTACTTCCTCTTAGACATAACATAATAGCTACAACCTCTATAAAAAACTACCCTACTCTACTTAGAAATTCCAATCATTATGCTAGGAAGGAAGTAGTTCGTACTTGATCTATTTCCGTCCCCATCCAATCCCATCCCATCTCAAACTCACAATATACATAAAACAATCCAATCCAATCCAATCCAAAAAAAACCCATAGAGAAAAGTAAAAAAAAGGAACGACATCATTCCTCCAGAAACGAAACGAAACGAAACGACGAAATGTAGATCTTAACCGTAGATCATATACACTCAAACCAGAACAACCCATCAATAAATCTAGCCTGTCATCCTGGAGCTTCCATCCAACGACTTCATAAAAAGAACTAGCCTGTGCCAACAACCCCCCCTCCCCCCAAGCGGAAGCTGAAGGTAGGTATACAAGGTGATAGATAATAACCCCAAGATTTTCGCGCCTACAAAAACAACCCTTTCATAAAGCTGCCCTCACCCTTATCCTTGCCCCTACAATAGTCCTGCTTTGTATCGCCTTCTACAGTTGAAGGTACGTTATTACTTGTCGTATATTCAAATTCAAATTCAAATTCAAATCCAAGAGAAACATGAGGGGAAAGTAGATTTCAAAGAAGTTCAATTCAGTCTCAGGCCTACAGAGGCTCTATTCAAACTTGTTGTATGGCACTTCAAGCATCCAAGTCTTTTCCATAAAGTTTCCTACTAACCACCTTGGGTTTTCGTCGATAGTTTAGAAAACAGTTCATACTCGCTTTGCTAGATACATATAGCCCCTCCTTAAAAGGAGCAAGATATTTCGCAATCCCAGAACCTGTAGAAAAAGAGTACTGTAATTCACATATAAAATGCCTTACCAATGACCCTACAATCCACTAGTAGATGACACTTGTTTCCTGCTGCTGTACTTTTGAGAAGGGGCTGTACTACTGTAGCCAGGTCTACATACGCAGAATTCAACAACTCCCAAGTTCCTAAGTTCTAACTCAACACACAAAGTACCACAGTAGAGCCCAAACAAAGCATACTCAAAACGTAGTAAGTAAAACACAACTCTCTTACTCTCAAAAACAACACTTCTCCCATCAAATACCACAACCACGCCCACAACCATAATATCGTGTCGACTTTTAAAATCCAACCACCAAATCCAACCCAATAATTCCAACGATTCTAAACCACACTATTTACGTAGAAGTGACATCAGGACCAGGACTATCTAATCAAAACCAGACTGACTAGACTAGACTAGACCAAATAGACACCGAAAGGAAAATGTGCATTCCCACCTCATCCCAACTAAAGTCACATATCATAAACCACACACCTCAAAATTCAAATTACGACTCCAAGACGGTGAGTGGCAGGTAGTTCAAGGTAGATAAAATAGCTACAGTAGCTTACATATTCAATGAAGAGCCGGATTAAGATGCATCAAAATCAACAACCACAAACCAAAAACCACCGACGCCCTTGATAAATATATATATATATAAAAAAAAGAACGCCACACCATAAGAGATAAAGAAAAAAATGATGAGTTTCTTCGTCGTCAATTCATGAACCTCTCTCCGTCCTCGGAAACGAGAGGGAAAAGGTCAAGAAAACCACGAACGAAAGAGCACATCCAAGTATAGAAGAAGAATAAATGAAAAAAAGTAATCCCACATTAAGACGCTATAACATTTCCTCCCATCGGAAGATAATACGGAAAGGACAAAAAAAGGGTATGAGGAAAGAACCACAGAAAAGTTACGTTCCCATCCACTGGAATCCTCCCCCTTTTCCTGGTTCCATTTCCTTTCCACCCAATACAACACAGCTTTTTCATCTGCCAATCAATATATCAATCCAACACCGTCCCCAGATTCCTTTCCTCCCATGGTTCATATGATCCACCTTTCGTTAATTAACCCTTTGGGTTACCCCAATCGTGACCACAATATTAAAACGCCAGTCCTAATCAATGTAACCAGCCATCAAGAGAGCAACCGAAAACACAAAAACCTAAGCGCACCAAGTGTCGTGTATATGTGTGTGGCTGTTGGCAAAACAATTTGCACCAAAACAAGCAGGCATATCGACAGTGAGGAAGCAATGCATCGTGAATACATCCATGTAACCGTGTAATTAATCGTATCCAAGTCAAGATCACGAATGGAACAAATCCCACGCGCGATCACACAGTTGCATAAACTCCATCTTCTTCTTGTGTTGCGTGCTTGGGCTGTCTCGTCCCTCGCCGAAAGGTCCTGTCCGTCGAGATGTCGCTGGTCCGTTTCCTAATGGAGGACTTGCTCCCTCTTCGTACTCGGCTCTTTGGCGTCTGCGACCACCACCACTGCGGCTGGTTTCTGCTTGTCTCATATGACTTCCTGGGAGTGGAGATGGTGGAGTAGGTGGTTGATGACCGCCATAGTGCACAAGTTTGGGTAGAAGTTCGGTTCTGCCACCGGCGAGTTCCACCTGAGCCTCTTCGGCTGAGCGGTACTCTCTTGGGCGTGCTGAATGTGGAGGCTGGGTGGAATTGTGTCCTGGAGATGGGAAAGCCGGTCGCGAATTTGAGTGTGATGAATTCGAAGCGGAGCCATTGTTATTTTGTACGACCGATGTTCGAACTGGACCGGAAGGATCACGGTGCGCACCGAGTCCGTTCTCTGCAAAGACATCCGTAATAGGGGGTAAGCGATTCGCTGTCTGTGTAGCAGGAACGTGGTGAATGTGTGAGGTATTGGACAGATTCGATGGCTGATTGGCAATATGACGAGTCAAGGGATGAGGTTGATGTCTCCCTGTGAAACTCTGGTTGAGTGGAGCGGATTGAATTACTCTTTCGTGGGCGAATTGCTCGTGCGACGGTGCGACAATACTCAATCCAGGAGGGGCCTTCCTTTTGGATGTGCCTGGCGTTTTCGTGCCAAAGCCACCGAAATCTCTCTCCTTTGCGCTCTCGGTCGGTGCATTCTCTGGCTTGGCCGTTTGTTGTAACCTCGCCTCGATGAGCTGCCTCTGTTGTTCCCGAACCGAGATACTTCGCTGCAGCTGTTCCCTCATGGTTGGGTCCTGTGTCACGAAACCTGGCGATAAACACGCCAAACCCACGTCATGAATCTCTAGTCCACCGGTGTGCGCGCCTCGCGAAGTCAATTGACCCGCGGATGGTCTCGATGCGGGATTGGCACTCGAGGTGTTCTTGGAGAGATCCAATTTACGTGGTCGGTGGCGGGAAGTTGGGAGATCTGGCGACGATGGTTCCTTTTTCACGATGATCCTGGGTGGAACGCCATTTCGTAAACTACCGCCGGAACGTGGAAGTTAGTTTCTGGTCATACCTAAGATGCACGCAACCCATTAAAAGGTCGAGGGAGTGGTCGAAGGGGAAGAATGGGGGAGACTTACGCATTGGGTGAGCCTTTGGATGCAGATGCAGGTGTTGATTTGGGACTGCCGCTCGCTGTTCGTTGCGCAGAGACATTCGGTGTCGCCGATGCAGAGACTCGCTGCGCTGGCGGGGATTTGGACGAGGGTCCTGAAGGGACGATATCGACATAGGAAGAGCGGTCGTGAGGGGCGGGAGACGGTGCCATTGCGACGGCGGTACTCATATTTTCTGACTGAAGTCTGTCTTCAGCGAAAGTATGTGGTGGTGGTGGTTGTGTTGCGTTGAAAGTGCGGGTGCAGGTGCCGCTGTCGAGGCGTATAGTATTCTGTTGGTTGGCTCACGACTCGGCGCTTCTGATATACCTTTGGGACAGGCCGGGCTGGGATTCCTTCCTCGCGAATTTTTTCGTGCACGACAGGTTATTTCGTTTCCTTTGAAGAATTCGGCTTCGTGCGTCTGGCGTGTGTATCCTTATATTTCTCTCCTTTCACGGCTCGAGAAACCTGTGCCACCAAGACAGACTGAACTGGTGCTGGCGCGTCTTCCGTCAACGTGAAGCGGGAGCGTGAGAATGAGTGGGTGTGGGTTTCGTGATGGTGGAGTGACGGTTGATTGGGGTGGGGTTGAGGGTGAGGGTATGGTGTGGTGTGGGTGTTGGTTCGCTAGGGTGTGCGAATCGAATCGCTAGGCTAGTCTACGCTGCTGGCTCGACCAAAAAAAGCTCGGGTTTATCGGGGGGTGGATGCACACTACTGGATGGTGCACACGAGCGTCGTCTATAGGGATTCGATCTATAGGGGATTTCGGTCTATGGCTATCGTGTTGGAGACAGTAGTACGGCAACGGCAACGGCAAAAACGAGGGGAAGAGAGTGTCGTCACGGCGGAGAGCAAGCGGCAAGGGCAAGAGCAAGAGCACGAGGAGGCAAGAGCAAGAGCAAGAGCAAGAGCAAGAGCAAGAGCAAGAGCAAGAGCAAGCAAAGGAAAGGTGCATTGAGTAAGTGGCCGTTGCTCTGGTTTTATTCAAACTCGGCTTCTCAAGTCTAGCGGTTTCAGCATGCAACATCCTCTTCAGAGCCTTTCCATTTCCGGACTGGCTGATGAGGGGAGCGCCAGAGTGGGACACGCAAACACTAAAACACAGCACAGACCCCTGTGCTGTAATGATTCAAGGACGGAGAAGCGCGACAGAGGACGTTTGGGACCTTTGGTGCTGATGCCCCGCCAATACTGGATGGCCCACTGTGAGTGCCTCATACTTCGAGGTACGAAGTAGTAGGTACGAAGTAGTAGGTACGAAGTAGTAGGTACAAAGTATGACTGTCGCTACGTGCTGATCACTCCTGAGGTTTTGTGTCAACACACACCAGTGGTGTAGTAGTGTCCTGAGGGACTCCGTAGGTACTCGAGTACCTTGGAAGTGTAGCAGTATAGGTGTAGGTGTACTCGTAGGCAGTGAGGGACAGCATGCACAATTATATTGTCTCTAATGCTTCATCTTCACTGCCCAAATTAAGCGGCGTAGAAAACACTACCGGCTCGAAGGTTCATACTTGCTTGGAACCACTGCAGCAGGTTCCATCAGGCTTCGATGCGTCCGATTAACTTCCCCTTGGCTTTTCACCATCACGCTGACACTGCTACTACGTACTGCTCCTGCCACTGCTCCTGCCACTGCTCCTGCCACTGCTCCTGCCACTGCTCCTGCCACTGCTCCTGCCACTGCTCCTGCCACTGCCACTGCCACTCTCAACCTGAAGTTCACGACATCGTCACTGCCGTCACTATCGCACTCCCCTACTCCCTACATCCCTCCCTCCATACCGTAACTACTCCGTACCCTCCGTACCCTCCGTACCCTCCGTACCCTCCGTACCCTCCGTACCCTATCGCGCCATTCCAGCACAGTCGCTGGTCGGTGCTTAGTGGGCTCCCCGTGGAGACGATGATGGGTCTATCTGTCTCTACTTGGACGCTGAAGCAAGGCTTGCGACCGCGGACGGTGTCGGTACGTATGGGCGATGAGAAATTCCAATCTTATGTTCCCCGTGAGACCCTCGACCCTCAACCCCAAGGCAAATTTCGCCGGCGAGGGTGCCCCGGCTTGTCGCTCTCAGGATGCGGCCTGCATGGTGCGTCTGAAGTATTCCCGCCCGTTTGGGAGTTCTTGATGACAGGCCCAACCGACCCCCAGACTGGCTCGACTGGCTCGACTGGATGGTCTCTCGGTAGCTCAGGCAGCTCAGGCCGTCTGTTTCCCTTTCCGTCGCTTTTATGGTTCCATTTCCATTAATCGCCGGGATCAACCAATAAATGCTAATCAGTCTAAGAAATCATAACTCGCCTCCAACAAGAATTTGCACCAACGAGACTACTGCACTGCCTGCGCTGCTTCATGCTTTCTTATCGTGGTGCCGTCACGTCCTCCCGGGAGGCGATGTTAGACGTACATTCGTCAAATATTGTTTTGTTTCAAGTTAAGGAAGAAGCTGGAGGAAAAGGATAATCCGATGTCAAAGCACAACTTGGACCGTTTTCGCTCTCTCTGCACTCTGTGACTTCAAGCAAGATATCTCCGCTGAAGAAAAACTTGCAGAAAGTTGCCTCCGTACTAATAACAAGGCAATCAAAGATGGATGAAGTTCAAACACCACCCAGGCTGTGGCTGGTGGTGCTGGAGAAAGGGAGTTGGATGGCTATGGCTCCTACGACGAACCGAACCGACCCTTTTACGAGCTCCAAGATCCACAATTGTCTTGACATCTGCCCGTACTCCGTATTAAAGTATGTCCAACACATCAAAGTAAACAGGATTTCGAGGAAGGAACCAACCAGTTGTTTTCTAGAGAACTGATCAAAAAAGTACCGGTATTCGTTGATTTCAATTTTCTCAACACGAAAGACCTCATCAATAATTTAATTCCATTCAACAAAAAAACCCATCAGGCCGTTTCCGTTTCGAGATACAACCCTGTCACAAACACCGCAAACCATCACCACTTCCAGATCTTCCATTTAGCCGAACAAAAGACCTTCCCTTTCGCAACACCTGCATTATAGTGCAACCATACGAGGTCCCCAAAGGATAAACCCCCCGTTTTCTCTGCTTCGGCCAGACTCTTGCATCCCTCCAATACACTTCCAAGCAATCTACAAGTACATAAACCAATCTCCCAGATTGTTCTTTCCTTTCATCCAACCCGTCCCCGTCCGTGTCATCGTCTCGTCTAGGTTCACTTGCACACATCCAAAGTTACGACCACCAAACATGGCACCCAAAAATACCCGAAGCCCGTATCGAGAAAAGATGCCAGAGGCACCAGCGGCCCAGAAAAATCCAGATAAATTGGATAGGTGGCGTTTTGACATGAACCCCTCACGCTCTCCACCAACGATTGACGAAACACTAGCCCAGGCTGCGCTGCCCAGCACAACAACAGCACACCACAGCGACACCATACACCCAACCCATGCCATGTCCCCTCCTCCATCCAAACCCGCCAAAAACCGGGGTTACGCCTTGAAACACACTCTAGGAAGAGCTGAGCCTCAACGACCCCTCACTCCTCCAATCAAACACATGCCAGAAGGACCCCTGTGCCGTTCCCGTTTCCTTCAATATTTTTTTTCTTAACTCCGTACTGTGTACGAACGGTAATAACGATTGACCGTTCATCTTTCCTTTCTCGAAATTTTTGCGAAGGCTATAAATTTCATGCTAACGCCCTCTCCATCATTTTCACTTTATTGATATTGAAACACTTTCAACACCTTTCCTGTCCGGAGTACGTTTTTTGACGACTTGAGTGGGTATTTCTGAGATCGTCTATTTACAAACGGCATTTTACGGTCTTTTCCGGAGAGTTTTTGATTTGCGGCTTCTTTGCTCGGCTTTGGTTCGGGAAAACATGTTTTTTATTTTCCCCTTCCTCCGTGTTCCTGTTGCTGCCTTTTCGGGTTTCCTGACCTCATTTCATAAATGCAATGCCTCTGAAAATGAGATTAGGAATGATTCTATTCTTACCGTTATCGCTCTATTCGAGTCAGTGGTATAGATTTGGTTCCTGCTCTTTTTTTTCTCTGGGGGTTTCGGTTATATCGAAATCTGAAAGGAAGATAAGAAGGGCTTCGTTGTAACTCTATCCCAAACATGAGATTGCTGGCAATGACTAAATAACTATACCTGGTAAAATGAAGGTCACGCATGTTTATTTGGGAAATAAGAGTGTTTCAACTACCTCGTAAATTGCAATCATATAATAGAAGATAGAATAAATAGTAAAAGAACCTAGTCATAACTTCCTTCAAAATACTTAACTCTCCTAACCCTTTTACAAATTATAACCACCAACCCAACATTCCACGTAAAGTACTTACATATAAAAACCCCAAGCCCATTTAAACACCCGTCTCATCTCAGCAAAAAATAGTAAATAGCAACTTATCATTCCTCAAATATATTTTCAAGACCAAAAGGTGATCTATCTACCTACCCATCCAGTAGAAATGACCATTTCCTCTACATTTCTTGAATAACTACATTTCCTGAAAACCTCTCCACACCACGAGCACCTGAAACTTACGGCAACACAAAAGAAAAGAAAAGAGAAGCTATTAAAAAACACCAAGAATCAGACTTCGTTCATTCACCCGCATACATATTTCACAATACCTACAGTACCTAGCCCAAGGTTCTTGACATACAATATCAGTCTCCTATAAAAAGCCCTGGTATAAAAAATGGACTAGAACGTAAAAACCTGTACCAACTTACAAACACATTCATTCATCCTCTTCCTCTCACCATCACACGTCTACTAGACAACAAGAACATATTTTCTACAAAAGAAAACCACAAAATAAATCTCAAAACATCTCTAGCATCTCCCATATATACTACCACCAACACCACTACCACCAGCACACGTACCCCACCAACAACCCCTCACTTCTCAATTCAGAACAAAGAATCAAGACGTCCTTTCCATCTACACAATCTGTAGAATCTATAGAAACCCAACCCCTCTATCCAAGTCCTTGACATTGCATTTGGAAATATAATGTTATTACTATATAACAAGACAAGATACCTTTCAATACGTACTAATACCCCCCTTCAAGTCCCAAGAACGTAAACTGTATTATTCGTCGAGATGAACGACGGGAAGGGTAACACAGACTGCCTCAAGCTAAAAAAAAAAAACAGCCCGAAATAGTAGCTGTGAAAGAATATCAAAAGAAGCCCCTTGAGTATAAGTATCTGGTCTCCGTCTCAGCCAAACCACTTTGAAGTGAGATAATCACTGATATCCGAAGGTCTACCACCACTGTTCTACAAATAATCGATGGGTTCACACTCACACAAGACGTGTATTGATAAACCGGTCGAAAGGCTTAGCCACTCACAAGTGGCTAATAACACATGAAGACACAAGCGAAGCATTCAAAGACCATAATAATTTCAAGTTCCTTACCATCCAGCAGCCTCGCAGCGAATGACTCACCCACTACTTTCCAGCATCTACTGTATAAGCTGCAACCCAGCAGGGTATTTCAAATCCATCCCACCATTTCCATAAAAAAGTAAACGACAAAAAAAAGTGGTATATCCCATCCATCCATCCATCCATCACTCGCCCAAAAAGCTCCATCCAGCAAGCATAGTTAGTAGTCACCACTCACTTGTATTTCGTCTCCGCTCTTTTCTCCAGAATCTCGTCCTTCTTGTCCCCCGCCTTCTGCAACAAATCCTTACCTTTCTCTCTACCATTCTCCACAATTCTAGATGCCAGATCCGAAAAGGACTGATTGATATTCCCCTTCTCGTCTCCATCCTCCTTGTTCTGGGCAAGGATACTTTTAAGTGCACCCGATGGTAATCCCAGACCCATAGCCAGCTGAGGGACCTTCGCCACCCTCTCACTCGCTCCGAGCTTTTTCTTGTCGTCGACTCGCCTCGTCGAATATATCGTCGCCGTCTGGCCTTGAGCTTCGCGGATTCTTTGAACTTCTTCTTGGTATGCCGTTACGTAAATGGGAAATTCCGCTGCTGTGGGAGACTCTGCTATGAAGTTTTCGGATGATGCCTCCAAAGCAACATCCTCTCCAGCACCAATGCCTAAAAATAAGGGCTCACCATCTAACGGATAGTGAGCATGGCCTTTATCTCCAGGGGATTCGCCACGAGATATCTCGGTAATAGTCTCTCCGGAAATCTCATCAGAGCTAGCTCCGTCAAATCTTGATACTGGCCGTTTTGAGGCCAAATTGAGATCAGAGTCAACCACGGGTTCGATGCCACCTTCGGTTTTAAACGGGCCCGTTTGCTTGATATCACGGTGAACGCCTTCAGAAGCAAGGGCAGACTCGATGGCATCTCGGTCGTCATGATCGTCACTTTTCGACCGCTGCAAAACGAGGTCTGTCTTCTGTGCGAGGCATGTCGGACGACTAGTAGCTGCTTCAATTGACCGTAGACCCTTGTCTAAAACATTGGAAAGTACATTAGGACCTTTGGTATGCTTTTCTACCAAGCTCTTGAACTTTTTTACTGCTTTCATCTGATCTGTGATTAGTCAGGAACCAAAAGATGCAGGCTGCACAAACCATTGTCAATAGATTCCTCATCTTGGATGTAATAGCATGGTTGACCTCAATCTCACTCGGTGGCTCTATCAAATCGGCCGTATTTTCAGCAGCTGAAAGGAGCGGATCAGCACCATTTTTGGTAACCCAAGGATGTTCCTGTGCAGGTATCAGTGTGTTTCAAATACCTATAGTACCTTCCATACTTACACGTATTCCACTCATAGTAATTCTTTTCCGCGGATCCTTTTCCAAAAGTCTTTTCAAAAGATCACAGAAGTCTGGGCTATCTTCTGGCTCTACTACTAGTTCATCGGTTTTGATAGCCTCGTAGAGTTCCAGGACTCCAGTTCGTTCGAAGGGTATTTTCCCAAATCGAAGACAATAGAGGGAAACCCCCATGGACCATATATCGGCAGCTTTGCCAGAAACATCACCATGCTTCGTGACACACAGCTCGGGAGGCAAGAAAGCAGGTGAACCGGCCGACTTTGCTGTTCGCATCTCTGATTCCTTTTCAAACATCTCAGAAACTCCAAAGTCGACTATTTTAAGTACGTCATCTTCCGTCAGGAGAAGATTGTCTGGCTTGATATCTCGATGTATAATTCCTTGTGCGTGAACTTGAAGAGGTTAGTGATGCAAAAGTTGACCAGAAGAACAAACTCACGATATTCGATTCCAAGTATTAAGTCTCGGAACCAACATCGACAGCTCTCCAAGTCATAAGGATCCGACTGTTGACCCAAACCAACTTTCATCACAACACCTTTCTTACACATCTCTAGCACCATGTACAGCGAGTCTTCTTCGGGGTCATCTAGAACCTCTATGAGCGAGACAAGATTTGGATGGTCCAATTTCTTCATTATGGCAATTTCTTCCTTGATCAAATACAAGGGATTTCCATTTTCTTCCGCTATGTGGAGATCCGATGCGGAATGTCGGTGCAAAGGAGCATTGAATCCCAATCCAGCTGCCAGGTGGCCAGGGCGTCTCGGCTGATGAGGTCGTCGTAGGATGTTAGACTGGGCTCGTTTTCGTAGCCGTGATTTGGAGAATTCCTTGACTGCCTAAAGTGATCGTTTCAATACAAGTCGATTCCTAGTATCGGAAGCCCATGCTCACATATTCCTTTCCATACTGGTCAACCGCGAGATGGACCGCTCCAAAAGAGCCTCGACCAATCTCATCTTTTATTGTGTACTGGTTTATTCGATGTTCTCCATGGCCATCTTCGTCGTTGTTTCTGTATTCTGATTTCGCATTCAAAGTCTCCTTGACTCCTCGGTGTTGTGAAGCTTGTCGCTTGTGGTGTCTAATCGGGCTGTGGTACGTGGGTGCAGAGCTGTGCAATCAATTAGTACAAGCCAACACCATCAACAACAGGATGGCCTGAGGGAGAACTTGAATGCAAACGTACAGGTGTTGGAAGATGGGAGGTCTTCCGCTTTCCGAATTGACTGGGCTGAGAGTTAAACCAACTAGAATCGTTAGAAAGGAGGGCCAGCAGCTATAGGGGAAACGGAATACCTGATGCGCCATCAGAGGAGGGGAGGATGGTGATCCCCGCTTCTTCAGCTTTCTTGGATGCGTTTCCCTGGAGGCTTGTTTCGCGGATTTCGTCTGCAGAACTCATAGCTGTGGTCAAAATCCCGGCAGCATTGGCATTGTCGTAGTAAAAAGGGAAAGGGGCTCAAGCTCGCTAGTTGACAAGAGATTGGCGCTCGCTGACGTTCAGCTGTCAGTCACTGGGATTTAGGTCCTGGGGGGAGTGAGCGAGGGGAGCTTGAGCCTACCTAAGAATCCCATAAGCTCGGACGGTGGGGGGTTGGGTTCCTTTTGTCCTTTAGCATGACTTGGCAAAGCTTGTTTTCCCCAGCTCGGCAAACGTGCACCCGTTTTCTTACACCTGCACCGGCAGCCTCGTCTCCACCTAGACTCTCTGTACTCTGTACGGAGACTTGGTTGCTCGATATCACCCCAAGCCTCATCTCTGCTCAGGATGACTTGCTACAGTTTCTACATCTTTGACCGTCATAGTAAGTATATCTTTTCTGCTTCATGCCTACACATTTAATGCTAATCAATCCCAGCGGAATGCATATACTCTAAGCTGTGGGCTCGACAAGACCGTCCCCTCTCCGCTGGTATCGACCCAAGCTCCATCCCAGCAAGCAATGGAGGAGCACAGTCTGATCTTGGGCCGGCACGAGCACGACCAGCGCGACTGAGTGCTCAAGACGATGCGAAGCTCATTTTTGGAACCATATTCTCCCTGCGGAACATGGTGAGGAAACTCGGAGGACCCGATGATAGGTACATACATACATACGCACATACAACAGGCAATGGCCCCAGGAAATGGGAAAAGATGTTAATACAGCGAAACAGCTTTATATCCTATCGGACAGGCCAATACAAACTCCACTACTACGAGACACCCACAAGCATCAAGTTCGTCATGCTCACCGACACCCAAACACTGAATATGCGGAATGTGCTACATCAAATATATGTAAACCTATACGTCGAGTTTGGTAGGTGTCTTGATTCTCTCCATCTGTGTATACGCTAACGTGAGTGCTCGGTAGTTGTCAAGAATCCCTTATCTCCAGTGGAACACCCTGGGGGCGTAGGAGTTGCAAACGAGCTTTTTGAATTAGCCCTTGACCAATTTGTCAAAGGAGTTCTATAATCCATTTTTATCAAGGTCTGCTGGTGGAGTTAATAGATCATGATTGGTGGCCAAGCGTTTGGGCATAGGAAGGCGTTGGTGGGAGGGCATTGCTGGTGTTTGGGCAAAAATAAAGCTTCATAAATCTTTGATGAGAAACAAGCCTTCCTCTAGGCAAGATTTTCGACCATATTTCTGCGTGGACTCCCTGAATTATTCCATAGGAGGGACCTCGGAACTAATGAACAGATTGGGGAAATTTGGAATGAAGAAGAGCAACAATTAACAAAGTCGATTATCCTATACCATACATTTTGTAGAGCTCTCAGTATAAAAGGCAGCAACAGTCAAAACACCCTTTATCAAATAGTCGTATCGCTTGCTAGAGCAGAAACATAGACTTCATATGAGGATCAGTAGACTTCGGAATTAGGGTACTATCCTTTGCTTTCTGTGTGCTACTTTGTCAGTTGGAGGCACTACTGTATTAGTGAGATCAGTTACCGCTACTCGCCTAACAGATAAATAAAAGGGCAACAGGGCGCGGCCTTATTTTAGACAATCCAGACTTAATTGGTGCCTTGATCTAGTCGGCCAGCGCCCAAGAAAGAACAAGGCATAGATCTCACAAGATCAGATTTCAAAATGATGCTGCATAGTATTCTACAAGTTACATCCCCTTTCCAGGCTGGGAAAGACTATACTCCATTCCCAGTCCATGCCTATTACCAATGATATCCCCCAAAGTCCCTACCAACTCCTGAGAAATATGATATATCCCTCATGATGCCTCGTGCGTTTCAGTAGCAGCCTCTGAAGTCTCCGTAGCTTTCCCCCATGCGCTCTCAAAATTACTTGCTGACCCAACATCCAAAATGCTCTCTTCCCCTGTGACTTCCTTCTCGTCTGGGTTAGTCATCTCCTCTGCGGCAGCGTTCTCTACAATGGGCATCTCTTCTACTGTCTTTTCCACAATCATATTCCCTTCTGGAATCGTGTTTTCCACCTCTTTGGCTTCTGCAATCGCTTCTGGAAGGGTTGGCTCTACGAGCGAGATACTTCCATCATCATTCATTGGACTTATCTCACTTTCCCAGTTGCTGGAATAGACGACTGCTGCGAAGGCCTCAAGATCTCTAACTTGCTCCATCGCCTGAAGATATTCGTTCGGTACTCCATTTCCAATGGAATGGGCTTGTCTAGTGACAGTTGCAAGTACAATTGGTAGCTTTACCGGCTTTGTATCGACAATCTCTGTAATGCGTGAACCTTCAAGGTCTCCAACCTCAGGAATAGGTGGAATTTTAAATGCTTGCTGCGAAATCTTTTGGTCTACCAGTGTTGAGAAACCGGCATCCAGAAGGAGTGTTAAGACATGAGAGAAAGGCGGGGAATCAATAAGATCTGATGTCTCGTCCAGTAATCGTCGTAGGGGAGCACTTTCTGCAACTCTTGGAGGGGATGACGAACTTGTGGTCATCCCAGACTCTTTGAGCACAAAATCTTCCTCCTCTTTGGGTGGTAGTAGGTATCCCAACCATCTACCAGCTTGTCGCTCAGCTTCCGTAGCACCTTCTACCCTCTTTCGGACTTCAAGAGTCAATTCGGAGAATCTTTGCATCGAAACGTCATCCCTTGGACTCAAAGCACCAAATACATCCTTCACTGCCGCCTCGACCTTTAGCATGACCTGTCTCCACCCCCGATGTAGCAGCCACCAACTGAATGTCAGATACTGCCTGTTCGTCTCGAAATCATTGCCATACGCTTGATCGGGATTATCATCGTCATTGTTCTCTAGACTAATTGTCGACTGCTCCATCCCACCAGTGGCGAGAGACACCACACTTGAGAGATAGCTTCGTCTACCAAGTAAATTAAGTTGGATTCGAGTGAGTAATGTCAGTAAAGCAAGTGTATATATGAGTGTGAAGGATCGAGTGATGGCTGTCAAATTGTCAGCGCAGGTCACTCGTAGATGGGATATATCGTATTGCATTTACTTACCACTGATCTTGAGATCATTCCAGAGCTGTAATTTTGACTTTCGAGATTTCTGAACGGCTTTTCCTCCATCTTGTGTACCATCTCCAGTAGCACTGACTGGAGGGATAGCCAGCTGACTCGCATGTATTCCACTTTCACTCTGTAAACTTATCATACTTCTGCCATCATCGTCCGTCACACTCGGTGGACCAGAGCCCAATTCGGATGGATAAGGCTCACCACCGCGAGCAAGTTTAGCAGCCTTCTGTTGTTGAAGTTCAAACGTAATCCTCTCTGTCTCTAATTCGGCAAGAATATTATCGGTGGCTGTCGGGAGCAGGGCTAGGACAGTGAAGGTGCAATCCTCTTGGTTTTGTTCAAACCGTCGCCGAAGGCTAGGGTCTCTTGATAAGCAGTTGTTCTATGCAGGAATCGCAATGATATACTTCTCCCGAGCTATGCGGTCACTGCTCATACGTTCTCGCACATCTGATATCTTGCCCAATACATATTGGGTTACTACGTAACCCGCCCCAACAACTCCAATCCCCACCGCGAAAGGCGTCTTATTCCGCCGGAGCCATCTTCGGGAGGCAGATAGCATGGTGTAGGATTCTTATGACAACAATGGCATGCCGGTTGAGGTGTTGGCAGCCTCTTGGGTAAATCTCAAATAGGCGTGGCTGGCGATTCCAGGGGAAACTCTCCACCTTGATGAGGCTTGATGAGGCCGAGGTTGATCGGGAGATTTGGCGGGCCGGAGATTGGGTGTTGAATCCAAAGCGGCGCTGCCCTTTTGGCTGCACGTCATGCCGCTTTGTGAAGACTACTTGGGCTCTTCTCAACCACAGCTTCGGGCTCCCTTGTTCGCGATTCATGGTAGATCACGATAAGCCACTCCCTTCCGGCCCACATGCGCTGCGCTCTTTCTTACCCCTCCATCCACCCCCATCCACTTCCTTACCGCAAACCACAAACAACATAACACGCAACAGCACCCACCTGCAGTAGCAAATGCTAGACAACCTATCAGCAATGGAGCAGCGCAAGCCGCCAGAATACATCATCGAAGTTTTTGCAGATCCTTCATCGGTCAAGGACGTGGTTCGAGGTAATCATTACCTGTTGTCCTCAGTTGCCGGAGAACGCGCAGCTAATCCTGAACCTCGAAAGGCATTTTGCATAGCATATTTTTCCACAGATTCTTCCCTTCTATCCGACCTTCTACCCGAGATGTATTGGACATTACCCTCCCTGTGGTTACAGACGTGGAGTTGGAGACATTGATTGAGCAGCGAACCGCAAGCCTGGTCCGGCAATTTGATGCCAGTTCGGATATGGGCGCAAGAAAGAATGTGAGAGGAACGATGGCCGTGCAGTTTTTCGAGAAGAAGAGAAGAAAGGGGTGGTTCAACAACAAAGCAGAGGAAGAAGTTTGTTGGGAGGAGTGGACTCTAGATGTCACTCTAGCAACACCAAAGACGGAGACTGGTATGTCTTTGTACATCTCCTCTATGGAGAAAATAATTCTGACGCGTGATAATCATTTAGAGCGAGCCAAAGTTCGAGGCGCTATGGAATCAATGTTGCTGAAAGCTGCCATGAAGATTGTTTCGACTGTAACTCAAGACAAAGATCATATTCCGCCCATAACCACCAGCGAAGCGAACCCGTTTCCGTACCAGATTATCGTCAATCCTTCGAAAGGAGATGGTTGGGGGAAACGCGTAGGCATATATTAGTATTTTTAAGGGGTGTATCAATGAGGAGTTCAACGGGGAGTAAATTGGAGTTTTGGATAGAGGAATATTGGAGACAGATACCCAATGATAATCGTGATTTTTCTTTCTGCATTATGATATAGCTCTTGCAACGTGCAGCCATTGATACTCATAGTCTATTCATGAGTTCGTGATGCTCGCTCTCAGGGGTAAACAAGAAAAGTGGGTTTAAAACCCCTCATGCTTCATACTCTCTAGATTAAGCACTTGAAATTATCCTTAAAAAGTGGAACAATCGGAATGATTGATTGAGGAGTAAAAGATGATAGGAAATATTCTAAGAGTCTAGATTGATCTCCTAAATTAGCCCAGAAAAATAGAACAACAAGAGATGTGTTTACTACCACTTTCCTTGTCTTCAAAAATCCCTTCATGTCCTACTAAATCCTCCTCGGCCACGACCTCGACCAAATTTCACACTCGTAGGAATGAATTTTAGGGAAGACATGGCATTCGTCAGCCCATTCATATCAAGATCCTTTTGAGTAGAAGACTTCTCGGTAGCCGCGGCCCTTTTGGATTCAGTTTGTTCTTTCTCCGTGGTTGTGAACGTTTTCAAAGCCGAGTTTCTTCTTTTCGCTCTGTCTTCCATTTCTTTCTTGTGGGTTGCTGGACTCCTCCGGCGATGTCTTCCCGAAATGAGCATAGAGCTTCTCATATCTACCCCAGTGTCCACCACTACGAAATCGTAATCCTTCGGATAAGCGTGTTTATCAATCAGATGCAAGCGGCGCTTTTCTGGGGTAGAACACACGCGATCACAATCTTCAACAAAGCATGCGTACTGAAATCATCAGTAAGGGCTCATGGAATGTGCAGGAGAAAGAGGGACCTACCGTCTTCTCACCCCGCTCCCTAAGAACCGCCGTGATTGCATCATGGTTTTCTTGAATATGTAAAGACAGGAAATGCTCAGTAGGGAAATTTCTTCGGCACTCCAGACATCTGTTAGAATGCGTTTTCTTGTAGTGTACTTCAAAACTATCGAGATCTGGAAACGAGAGTGTCTCTCTATGTGGGGGTAACGAGCATCTCATAGTTATTTTGTGGCCTTCAGGTTTCTCGCCGTCGCTCTCCGATAATTCCGGATCGAGCTTGGAAAGTTTCTTAGAGGAAGATGGTAATGACGATGTGAAATGAGGAACTGCTTGAGCAGTGTTGGAAGTTTCTGACTCTGAGAGTTCAGAAGATGAGCGTGAGCGTTTCCCCATGATTTCAGATATTGAGGAAAGCGGGGGAATTACATGAGAATACTTTGATTTCTGTTCTGAGCCTCACGGTATCTTGCGATTGTAGGTATATCAACCACGGTTAGCTTGGCGAAGCGAAGAAGAGCTTTGTGTTTGGTAGTGAAGAGATGAATACGCAGTGAAGTTGTGGTTGTATGTTTGTTGTGGGAGCCCGCAAGTACTTGATGAATGGATGCATCTATGGCCAGCGCATCTGTGGACAGAAAAAGCGGCAGTGACTGTTCTGGCTGTTCTGCAGTCGCTGGCTAGCGTACTAGGCAGCGCTAGCGTATGATTCCGAAGGGTTTCATGGGATTGATGATTGTATGTATCGCAGAAATATGTGATGATGATCTACCTACCTAGGTACTCGTAGCTTATCCCAATTCAGTAGGTACGTTACTGCTTAGGAAGTACCTACCTATGTAGGTTTCCAGAAAGTGGTCGAGGAAGGTATAACCTGGCCTGGCTCGCCTGGGACAGTGTGGGCGTTTGGGTCTGCCGCTTTAGTCGCTGGCGAGGAGGGGAAACAAGGCTGAACTTCACTCGTCTTGATTGCAGGGGCCCAGATGATCCACCTGCATCCAGAGGATAGGTCACCCATTCCTACCTAGTACAAAGTACCTGTGGACCACTTCCAGTACCGTACCTAGTCGCCGGCTGGCAGGGCAAAGGGCTAAAAGAAACCATCACCCCCAATATGACGACGAGTATGACTGGAAATCTTTAACAGAGTCGGCCTCCCTTTAGCGCTGCCCCTACGCCCTCGCACCGGGCACTTCCAGGCACATTTAAAAGAAGTCTCTCCCACCTCTACCCTATGGATTGCATCTGGATCCCACGATTTGCGGACCTTCACGCGCAAACCTAACAGGCACGCTGGCCGTGGGGTCGCAAAGCATCCTGCAACACACAAAAAGGCAATGGCGACATCAGCTGCGCAGAAGTGGAAGTAGGTGACGATAATGACAATTTCCCCCACACTTTTCGAGAGCATGGGCTGACGACTGATATAGGATCGCACGGCAGGTCTCGAAAGAGCTGACTTCACTTTTGAATTTGAAGGACAAGGCCCCTCGCTTTGACGATGTCGATAACTTGATCATCCAGTGAGTAGCCAATTACCCTAGTCTGTATAACGAGAAAAGTCAAGTCTGATGCGACCAGATTGCGCCTTGCCTGCGAAGCGACCATCTTTCTGGATTTCGAATACGCCCACAAGCAACGTGTTGAACACGAGCTATGGACTGCCCATACCCGGATCAAGAAGCGATATGAAATGATTCTCGATCACTACCGTCTGGCAGAACAAAAGAAACATGTGGAAAAACGTAAAATGGAGAAGCGCTATGTCGACTTCATCAAGACAAGTCAGTTCTTTTATAAAGGCTACATCCAACGACTCGCTTCCCATTTCGACGGTTTGAAGGAAATGCGCAGAATTGCACATCAACTATCCTTGAGTCTCTTGACTGTTGATAGACGTATCAAGGTATCGCCTGAGGTGGGACGTCTGATTGACATGTCGTGCCATGCCGCTCTTCTCCGCCTTGGAGACTTGTCAAGATATCGCAATAAGATACGGACCAAGGATAGAAGCTGGGAAATTGCTTTGGGGTACTATGAGCTGGCCAATGGACTTGCGCCGGGTGATGGGAGTGCCCATAATAAGATGGCAGTGATTGCTCTGGAAGACACAAACCACCTGGATGCCGTCTACCATCTTTATCGCGCTCTTGCTATCAACAAGCCGGATGAACTAGCGAGAGGTAACCTTGAGCTTGAGTTCAAAAAGATCACTTCGGCCTGGGAGAAGCAGCGTTCGCAACCTAAAACCGATAGTCTGACAACTCTCATCTGGTGGTTCCTCTTGCTACATGCTAAGTTCTACGAGGGTGTCGATTTTCCCACTCACGCGGAACTCGAAAACGAAGTCCTTTCTCGGCTAGCTTTGCTTCTTAAAGAACGAGAAGTCACTGTGGTCCTTCAAAAACTAGTTGCCATCAACATTGCAGCCGATTTCTTTGCCAGTCAAAAGGTTCTTCAAGGTAAATGGTCGACATCTCTTGCTAACGGACAATCGCGCTGACGTACTCGACTTTAGAATCAGTGAAAGTCGGCAATACCGCACGTTCAGCAGCTCTCGGGTCCTTTTATTTCTGTCTTGGATTCAATGTCCGGGTGATGACAATGCTTCTACAAGTACTCAAACCAGAACTAGAAGATCCTCCAGCAGGCGAAGACCTTCCAAGTGAAGAATCTCCCCCGATCAAACCTCACGAGCGAATAACGATCGTCACACGGCGCGTTCTTCCAGCCCTCCGACACTATAGTGTCTGGCTTGTGTCGCGGGTCCAGGTGCTTGTTGCCAATCTTGATACTGATGTGCCAAATTTGCACAGCCAAGAAATGTGGAAAATTTACACAGATATACTGTCGCAACTCGCCGATACATTTCCACCTCTTGATCTACCCTCCATTCAGTATCTATTAGAAGAGGATGAAAATACGATTGGATTCAAGCCCCTCAGAGATCCCAATTTGCCCCATGAGTGCGATCTGTATTCAGTGGATGCTGTGGGTACTCCCAAGCTACGAACTATCGACCTAGGCACCGAGAGACATCTTCCAAATGTAGAAATGCGAGGTCGCATTCGAGATATCCTGCTTTGTGGCCTTGTTCTTCAGGACAAGGAGAGATACCCTCGGGTTCCCATTGCGCTCCAGGATGGCGCATTTGTCTTCATGGAGGGTGAGGCATCTATCATTGGTCTCAATAATCCAACCAGCGACTCTCGAACAATATCTTCCCCAGTTACCGCTGCTTCGAACGGAGATGGCAGAAATCATGCACCCTCCGAAAAGCTCAATCGCTCAATTCCGAGTAGGAGCCCCAAAATTCCTACTATCCGCGAGCCCAACGTCAGTTTCGACGTCATGATGAGCCGTATGGTTGAGGACTTAGTCAATCCATCAAACGGGATCCACTCAATGAATGAAGAGACTTCGTATGGAATGCATAGTCGTGCAGCGAACGAAGTGTTTCCCACATCTACTCCTCAAGGATCTCATTCTCGCGTTCACAGTACAACAAAGATGCTTCCCAGTCTGTACAACTCAGCATTCGCTCCAATGCCAAATGAACTTCAGCCGACCACTCCTACCCGCCCTTACGGTATTCGACAACCCTCGCCTGGCTTCGATTCGCCCCAGCAGCAACTAGCCGCTGCAGAGCATTTGGACCTGGTAACCGGCGGGTCTTCCAAGAGCCATTGGGGGGCAGCTGGATCCAACTCAACGTCCAATTCAGCAGCCACCCAAAGCGTGAGCCCAACAAGACACCAACATATTGGAAGATCGCCTTTGCCGTTGTCTGGTACCGATGGCTGGAATGATTTCAGCAGCAATATATATGGCAATACACCATTAAACAATTCTTCCGGGGGCTCCTTCGTCATCAATAGGAATGCGTTCAACGGTACTTTCGATCCAACCACTGACAGTTTTACTATTAATGCAATGTTACAAAGCTCGTTGGCAAACGAGCCTCGTAGCAGTGGTTATTCTCAAACCCCACCCGGTGGACAGGGTGGCTGAGAGTTCTATGATGACTTTCGAAGCTCAGCTTTCGAGAGAAACACTCATAACATCAAAGACAAATATTGTGCCTCCTATATACGCTTCACGGTCTTTATCACCGTTCTCCTGGCCAAGATTCGTACTAGACTCTCACTTAATATGGGATGTTTCTGGAAAGCTGGCATAATGCATGCCGGCCAAAGACTTTTTGTGGTCTCTAGAGGACTAACTATTCTACGCATAATCGTGGAGGATTATTCCTTGTCATATGCAACCATATCATCAAATTGTGGACGCTCCCGTTGTTGAAACCTTTACCGAACGCCGTCTAATACATCTTGATGGGTAAAGAAAAACAGATCATAATTTACTGACTGGAGGGCGTGTAAGCCTGCTTAGGGAAGGGGAATCTAATGAAAGTTAGTTGATTTGCTCTTGGTAGGAGATGAGTGCTCGCTGATTTATTCCAAATCGAAAGGGCTGGTGGTTGAAGAAAGTAATTGGGTGTTTTTTAGATGCGAAATAAAATATTGCGTGACTTACGATGGACCCAATTCCTGAATGCTGAGCTTAGCCAACCATTGACCTTGGTCGATGGATTGTGACAAACTCGCCCCAGCCACAAGACCGGCGACAAATCCTGCAGCGAATGCATCTCCAGCACCTGTTGTGTCGTTGATTTTGCTCTTGTCAATGGCATGAACCGCATACTCCTTGACTTCCTGACCATTGACAGCTACCACAGTTGGAAGAGTACCCTGGGTAATGATAGCGACTCTCTCCTTCTTTGAATTGGCCTTTGGCAAAGCAGCAAGCTTCTTGGCAATCTCCTTGATATCCTTCGTCTCCCAACCGTGGCTCTCAGCGAAAGAAAGCGCCTCGGTCTCATTTCCAATCACGTAATCCCAGTAAGGGCTAGTAGCATCCAAAGGATCCTTGAAGAATTGAGGAATGAAAGGAGCAGAGAGGGAAAATACGAAAACTTTATCGTTTTTCGCAGACTCCTCGGCCAAAGCCATGATGGCAGGTGGGCAGACAGTTAGGTGGTAACCACCGACGAAATAATGGCTTGCCCCCTCTGCAAGCTTCCACACCTCTGGGCTCTTCAAGTGCTCGAGGTCGTAGTGGTTGGCGGCACCAAGGTCAGTGACCATGGAACGGTTGTGACCAGTGATGACGACTCCACATCGACCGGTCTTTTCCTTTTTGTCTACACGATATTCGACTCGGAGTCCAGCTTGCTTGACAGCATCTTGGAGGATGGCGGCATACTTGTCGTCTCCGACTCCACCGAGGAAGACAACGGAGTTTGGTGGGAGCATATATTGTGCACCACGAGCAGTATTTTGGGCTCCACCACCAGCAATGAGTTTGGCGGAATAGTTGTTTAGGAGGTCTTCGTAGATGCCGATGTGCTTCTCCTCGGCGAGGATAGCATCGTTAGGCTTGAGGCCATATTTCTCGAGAAGCGTATCGTCTCCTGGTGCTTGGATGTCTTAAGTGAAGGTTAGTTGGTGGTATGAAGCAGCTGGGAATCCAGAAGGTAAATTTTGAGACACTGTACTCGAAACAGAAAACAGCGAATTGTATGGAATAATGAAGCAGAAAAATAGACAATAGGCAGGAAACCATACCGAGTAACGGATTCTCCAAACAGAGGAGGGCATATTCTTTGATTGCGGCCATGTTGATGGATGTTTTTGCGATTGAATTGAATGGAACAAGCGGGGTCGGTTAAAGAGCAAAGTGGCGGGGTCATCCATCTGTTTTAAACCACTAACGCTTACAGACCCCTGCAGGTTACTCCACTACCCAGTAGGTAGCCTCAGTAGCTTATGTCCCCTAGTTCCAAAATCATGTATTACAGACAAAGCTTTTTCAGCAAAAGAGGTTACAGGCTTATTATATCACGTATTTGTTGTTTCTTTCATTCAGATATTTTGTGACCTTGAATATTCCTCTGGGTACAACACAACCCAAAACGCCATTATCATTTCACGATTGTGCAGCTTTTGAAAGATCATGCTCAAAGTGTTTCGTTCATCCTCGCTATGCTCTTTTCGAGAGCTACATAAATGCGAAGCCAGCATCCCGAAAAACCAAAGAAAAACTCCACCCCAACCATTTAGTCCTTGGTTTTTTGGGTACCACGTAACAGACCAGTTCTGCGAGCAGCAATGAGACCAGCCTTTTGACCTTGTGCAGCGTATCTCGAAATTGTCGATGCCTTACCAATATGTTGATGGTTACCACCCTATTTTTTGTTAGCAATTTTGCATGGATGCTACTGATTTTGGTTTCACATACTCCGTGAGGATGGTCGACGGGGTTCATAGCAACACCACGAGTCTTTGGCCATGAGTTACGCTTGACAGCGAACTTGTGCTTAGCACGAGATGCCTCTGTAGTTATTATTAGCACCCAAATTTCCCAACCAAAATTCTGCATAATTTCAACGTACTCAAGAGAGGTTTGTCGGTTCTACCGCCACCAGCAACAATACCGATCATACCACGCGCGCTGCTCTTGATGACCTTCTTTGCACCGGATGGAAGCTTAACTCGGGTCTTGCCCTCATCAGGGTTGTGTCCAATAACGGTCACATAGTTTCCAGATGTACGACCAAGAGTTCCACGATCTCCAACCTTCTCCTCGACGTTGGTGATGACAGTTCCTTCTGGCACTGATCCGAGAGGGAGAACGTTTCCGACGGTGAGAGAGGCGTGCTTGCCGGCGTAGATGAATTGACCAGTGTACATTCCCTCGTTTGCGATGAAGGTCTCGGTGTGAAGCTTGAATCGGTATGGGTCACGGAAGACAACCTTTGCTAATGGTGCTCCTCGTCCTGGGTCGTGAATGATGTCTTTCTGCCCCAGAGTCAGTATTCCAAAATGCCTTTCCAACGAGGTACTCAGGTTCTTACGACGACACCACGAACGTAGCCATGTCGCTCAGCGTAATCGAGGGTTCTGAATTGTGCGGGTGCCTTGTTAAGACGGGTGTTGGCCGTAAAGATCGAGCCGCGACCCTTTCTCTCTGCGAAAAACCGTCAGTACCCTTTGCGACCAGGAGAATTCGAAAAACCAACGATTTCTGATCACTCTCCCCATTTTTCCCGTCTGCTGCTGGATTGATTGTCCAGGTGTCGAGGGAGTTAGTTGATGTACCTGTCGGGTAGAGGTTGCGACGGGGAACTTTTCGACGAAATTGAGTGTGCGAGGAGGGCGCCACTTTTCTTAGGCGAGCGCCCGTGCTCTCTGTTATCCTGACTAAGCAGGTTTCCGATAAGGTTAGCGCGCGCAACCCAACTTCAAGGGCAACGACGACATCCAGCTGGCTTAAATCCTCACGAAGGTATCACACATAGCACAACACAACCCAACTTCTGGCCTCTGAACTCCTCAGCTCGATGTCTTGATATTCATTCAGATCTCTGAGAATGCGAGTCTTAGCTTTCAGCAAGTTTGAGTCTCTCTAAGTCCCAACCGGCACTCCTATCTTCTCCTTCCCCATCGAAACTCACTTCAAAGATCGTGGGGTTTGTATATTGGATGTGTTCGAAGCGCTATCAAATGTCTGTCGTTGTGTCAAGGCTCTGGGAACACCGGAAACCTGATTACTTGGTTCTCCCACAGGTGTTGGCGCAAGAAGCTCCCATTCTTCCATCTTTCTTGGCACAATTCTAATCCTGTCAATTAGTTGTGGCTAAAAAGAGCCATATGTCCTACAATTTACCTACACCGTCTGATGATTTCATTCCGTCCTGATTGCAGATCCTTTTCTTTCTGGCAATCTGGATTTGTTGGAGCTTTTTGCAGACACCACGCAATATCATATCCCTCTTTGGTGCCACTTCACTCTAAGCGGATCCCTCTAAGCAGTCTACGGTACCCGTCTAGTTTTGTTGGCGTTGCACATGCACATGTGGTGCTTGGTCGAGCTTTCTTCGAAGGTTTACTGGCCCCGGGACTAGCAGTTTACGTGTTTCATTCCTCTCCGCGCAGTTTGCAGCATTCGGCATTCATTTCTGTTTATGCTTATCATATACAATGTTGAACTTTTTTTTGTTTGGTTTCTTTTTCCGTCGTGTCGGTGGAAAATATTGCTCCTAGTGGTTGCGCATTGCTGTGTCGGCGAATTGTCCTTGCAGAAATTAGCTTCCCTGTTTTGGGGATTATCAAAAGATGCAAAATGCGTCTAGCTAAGATTCTGCCGGGGAAATTTCCGTAAGCGAATTATGTCAGTAGGTCATGGTTGGGCTTTTTGTTTTGCGCCGGTTTTGGACTCTCCAACCATACCAACACCCCACCACCAACTTCATGATTCGTTCTACCGGTTCTCTGAATCCCTTCTCTTCTATGTCTGATGCTCATGTCTTGCAAGAGTTCTGCATTTTGTTATTTCGGAGATTGCGAGTTCATGCTTCTTACTCTGGCATATTCGGCTGGGGATCTATTTGAGCACGCCGTGACTAGGGAATTTGGAGGGGCTTGGGGCTATCGTGCCTATGAGGTAGTTGGAAGGAGGCTTCTATGGTGATAGAAAGCCAGAATGGATGAGTTGGAACGGTATGTTAGGAATTACCTGGAAGAGTCCATAGTTATTGTAGAATAGGTCTCTGTTTCTAAATAGAATTCACTTTAAATCCAACCTCTCTTACTTCTTCATGTGATGCGTGACAAAGGCGCTTTCCTGGTAGATCTCTACGACCAATGAGCCAAACTCTCGCCGCGCTTTTATCGGCGGCGCCCTGACTTCATCTTTCATCCCAACCCACCTCCACAAAGCGCAACCACGCCAACAACCACCTTCGAAATGTCAGACGACTCTTCTGATCTATCCTCTGTTCCATCTGAGGATGAGACCAATCTCCAATTAGCCAAAAAAGATGGAATTCTCAAGTTCTTCTCCAAGGCTCCTCGCAATGCGCCGAAACCCAAAGTTGAGGCCTCACCACCACGCCCAAAAAGAGAACCCTCACCACCACACGAATATGTTCTGGCAGATAATCCTGATATAGCTGTAAGTGCTGGCATATGCGAGCACTCTTCCATCCCTTCAACGCGTGGAAAACGCGCTTTTTTATTGCTGGAAACACTCTAACGCGAGTATGTAGTTCATCGTCATGTTCCGTTCGCGCTTCACAGAAGCATTCCCCAAATCTCTTGCGAATTTCGGACCCCATGAACTTGAGCGTGATATTGTCAGTACAGTTCCAGGAGAATATGCGGAGCAATTTCTGTGTGCTGTACTTGGATTGCTACTGAACCGAAAGCAAGATGTCAAGTGGGTGCCCTTGCGCAAACCCATGATGCAACAAAGCAACTAATCATATATTTACAGATCCGGACACTACAATCGGGCTTTGGAGGAGGCCATATCTACCCATAAGGCACAATGGGCAAAGGATTGGGAGAGCAAGAACCCTCTGTCCGGAGGCGCAACTTTTGCAACTATGTCTCCAACACAACGGGTGAGTCTAAATTGGCTATATTCCCCCCACACTGAGGGACAATCGGGGTCTTTGCGCAATGGATTCACACCTCCTTTCTCTTTGTGGAATTGAGCATTTGTTGAACTGACTCTCTTCTTCGCCTCCTACCTTCTTCGCCCTCTCCCAGTTGTTGGAATATCTACTCATTTTCTCTTAGCTCACACTATTACGCACCCTCATACTATGGGCTTTGGCTTCGTCAGATATAGTCAAGGGCATGATTCAAGCTTCATATAAACAAAATCGACAGGAAGATGACCTTAATCAGCCATATTCAGTTCAGCCTTGGGGCTCCGATGGAGACAGACGGCGGTACTATTTAATTGAAGGCCAGGACGACACACATTTCCGTGTATATCGAGAAAGTAATTACACCGGCATCAAGCGCACATGGTGGAGTGTGGCAAGTAATATTGATGAGCTGAAGCAATTGGTAAGAATGCTCCATTGGCTCATTTCTGTCCACTGTACTGTGCATACAATAGCTTGCATTTACTAACTATTTCTACAGGCTGAGAAGCTCGCCACAGAGGATGGTGGCCAGAAAGCACGTGTACTGAGTGGAAAGATTCTCGCGGCCATTCCCCGATTTGAGGCAACAGAAGAGGTATGGCATTATGGAAAGAAAGTGTACATGGTTCAACATTACTGACAAAACATCTAGAAACGCAAGCGTCGAGAGTACAGACAAGCTCGCAAGCAACAGTTTAAACAGCGCCCTGAACCAAACTACTCACTTTATGAAGGCCGGACTCGTGGCAAGCGAATGAAGTACACTTATTCTGATGAAGAAGATGATATTTACTCCGACACGACTGCAAGTCGTCGGTCTACCCGCAACACCCGAAGAAATACTCCAGAGGGTCCTACAGTAACACAAAGTGGACGTCAGGTTAAATTGCGACAAGGCGGAGCATATGGCGAAAGTGTTCTGAGTGGCGCTCGCGCGTCAGCTGGACTCACTGACGAAGCTGATAATAGTGAAGGTACTGGAATTCGACCGCAAAGAGCAGCAGCAAGTGCCACCAACAGTCGTTCAAAGGATGGTAGACATATCGAGGGTTACAACAACGTCGACGAGATGACGAGCGACGAGGAAGGCGACGCAAGTGAGCAAGATTACGGTGATGATGAAGAAGAGGATGATCACGTATCACTTGCAAGCGATGTTGATGATCAGGATGAGCTCACTGATAACGAAAACGAGACGGAGGATTCCGCAATTGGAAATGGAGAGAAGAAGAGTCTCTTGGTCATACTGCCAGTAAAGACGCCAACCCCCGAAAAGAAGACGGTGATCAAATTGAAGTTATCACCAGGAAAGGATGTAACATCGAAGGCAGTCAACCAGCAAAGCAATCCGATTCAAAAGGACGGAGTAGGAATCACTGTCGCTAAGGATCAGAGCAACCCGATTGATATTGTCACAAAATCGCCAGCTCCTCCAGCGCCACTTTCTCCAAGATCACCCCTGGCGTTTCGTGGTAGCCCTGAGAAGCCCTCTGTGTTCCCTCCTTCAATCGGTGTTGGTATTGGAAGCTCTTGAATTACTTTATGTTTTAGGAGCAATATTGAATTAAGCGTTTGCGTCGTGGAAGGCATTTGCAAAGGTGTATGGGTCGGTACATTAGTGCAGAAAATTCTACTTGCACAACGTGTAATCATAGGTAAATGTGGCAAAATTTTATTGCTACTATAGATCTTCAAAATCAAAAGTAAGTAGCACACTACTCAAGGTGTAAATAAAAGCTCCTAATTCTCACCCAATCGTGATTCACTTATTCGTTATACTGTACATAAATCCATTGTTCATACACCTAAAGCGCCATATGCTGTATTGTTCATTTACCCCAGACGCCAATACATTCCTTCATCGACTCTCAATCACTGCATGCGCTTTGATTTTGATAATACTAATTGATATCAGTAAAACAGGGTATATCAACAACACAGCGAGTCCAACTCACGTCTCCCATTTTCGCAGCCAACTTTCTGTCATTTCCAAAGCTCTTGGGGATAGGCCAATTGTTGACGCCATACCACCACCTCCGGGCCCTTGCACCCACGCTCTCTCCGTGTAGAACAGCATTCTTATTCCAGTATTTCCAACCTTGCAATGCGAGATTCCAAACCATTCCCTGCAGCAAAGGAGCACAAACCTGCACGGCTCAAATCAGTATCCCTCCTACATATTCCCCATCAGCTAAGAATACATACCTGATCCCTAACTGTAATCAACGCTATCTTCCAATACGAATCCACCCCAGCTATACTCGACAGGTAACTCTGCTCGAAGCGTAGATCTGGTAATGGGGGGAAGCTCTGTCGTCGAGGCAGGGGTTTAAGGACACTGTATGGGATATCTTCTTCTTCATCGTCGTCTATTCCTTCGGAATCGTATTCGTAGGAGGGGTGGGAGACTTTGACGGGTTCTTTTTGTGACGCGGCAGTGGAGGGGTTGAGGTCGTGGAGAGGGTCTGGGTTCTGTTTTATGGAGGCTGTTTGGATGGTTTCGGCGATTTGGAGGGGTACTGAAGACTCCATTTTGGAGGGTTATGGTGGCTTTTGGTGGTTTGATGGTTCATAAATTGGTACTGATGGTACCTACTTGTATGGCATGGAGAGCTTGGAAGTTGACGAAGCTGGTAATCGGTCGCCGATTAATAGCCGGGATAGGTGCCACAACTTGCCTCCACCCAATCAGCAGAATTACTACCTATCTAGGTAGGTAGTGGTTAGGTAACAATTCACTCCTGTACATGAAAAGGGTATTTGCCCCTTGTATAGTCAAAATTGATTCTAAGGGATGTGAGAACTACGACCCCAATATTCCTATAATATCGTTCAAAGATGCGGCTTCATGCTGTCAGTTGACCTTACCTGATGGTGCTTGGTACAACAAAATCAATTTTCAGGCTAGATAGATACTACATCTTCTTCTCAGAACGACAAAGATGAGTATAAACACTTCTTCAATTGAAGTTGGGAATATGATTACCACTGAACATCTCGAAAGCCTTTGCATCCTGGTCTCTTGCCTTGAGCCGCGATCAAGTAACTCAAACCCAATGAAGGTTTAAACCATGATATCTTCTATACTTGAGTATAGAAAAGAGGGCTCGTCTTCACAAGTTATACTCAGCAGGCAGTACAACTTGTGTTTCCAATGCAATGGAGAAATCAAGAAAAAGTATAGTTAACGGGTCTTCGTGGTGGACCAGATATACCTATAGCTACGGGCTATTGCCGTGGCAAGATAGGTAGGACGTACCTGGGTAGGAATGCTTTGTTGCTGACTTCCGTCCCCGAGATAAAGTTTCGAGTGTGAAAAAACTTGTTTCTCCCGAGGGGTGGATGGCGAAGGGGGGGGTTATACTACGAAGAATTCCTTCCATCTATGTCTTTCTGGGTCTTGGCGATGTGGGCCATCACTCTTCAGGGAAGAGAGTCGTGCCTTCTCTTCATAAAGAGGCCAAGTGAATTGAGGCGAGACGAGGAAGGTAGCGATGTCGACCTTGGTCCAAGCCACCTCGAGTTACCAACTTGGAGTCAGGTCGAGGCTATTGGGGGAAAAGAGAGAGTGAAAGCAAGTCCACTCTTCAATTGTGCCCACCCTCGACAACCTCCCGTCATCTCGTACATTTCTCGTCTTCTTCTATCCCGATCATGGTTCGCTCCTTCCCTTTTGAAATGACATGCCCAATCATCATGGCCACAAACCCCAACCCCTTGAATGAAAGACTTCGCAAAATGCAGTCTCCTTCGCCCTCGCTTCCAGATGCTCCTTCCCTCATGAAAGGCTTCATCTCCAGTGAAGACCTCAAGAGCATGCTGTTGTCGCACTCGCTCTTCCCTCGCAACTCTTTTTTCCTGTATATTGGAGCATGCCGAGCTCTTCAAAATTGAATCTTCCATACAGTCCCTCTCCAGCTCCCTTAAGGAATCTGTGGGCAGTTATGGATTATCTCTACCTAGGCAAACTGTTGAAAGGAATTACCTATAGATAAGCGAATTCTGCCGTTCCTTACCTGGTAGAGACTTCCACTGTAGTACTATAATAGCAGTTTAGATGCACAGTGCTCGGAAGAGAACTTGATTACCTCATGGTATACTATTCGTAGAACCACCAAACCAAAGTTCAAAATTTCACTTTCACTCATTCTAGAAAAGTAAGTTCTCAGAGGTGAATTCTGGCAGCCCAAATATTTCATTTGCAAAATTTGGGATTCTCTATCTTCGTCGAACTACAATAACATCTGTCATTGTCATTGTCAAGTACAATATTTTCGCGATTCTGGAGATCCGAGCTCTTCTGACTCCAGTGGAAAATAAAATGAGATCGCCGATTAATGCGTTAGTACCTATCTCTCGTAGGCGCTAGCCAGGTTGATTAGAGTAATCAGATAGTAGTAGATTATACACGATATAAAGCTCTACTAACCAACTTTCTGTTGGGCTTCTAGAGCTCAAGACGTTAATCAAGGTTAGAAAAAAAGAGAGGTACTATCTGAAATTAGCGAATCTCTAGGAAGAAAGAAGTGTCCTTTATATACTAAATATTCACTTTAATCGCTTGGTTTCTAGCTAAACTATTACTCTAGACTAAACAAAGTAATAAGAAGATATAACCTTACATTTACATATTTAATTAAATTACCTATATAACTGAAGAAAAATACTATTCTCCAAGTAATTTATAAATAACCCCTTAATATCTACTTATAAATTTAATCTAAACTGTTTATACATAAATCTATTATGCTAGTAGGTTTAAGAAAAAATATTTGATTAATTTTATTTCAAGATAAATTCTCTTTTTATAAGATCTATATTAAAAAGTGCTGGTGCATTTAGGGTGTTACTTGGATATCCGATGTACCCGTATTATGTAAGATTACAGTAGGTTGGGACTTTTAAATAGGTATTTCGAACATAACACTAGCTTGGGAAAACTAATTCTATGTCTGCCAGAGTTATCAGTCGTCTTTCGTAGAACTGAGGTTTGAACCTTAAAGCTTCTTGGGATTTGTAAATGATTGTACTTGTGGCAAAATATTGTTTGCAACCCTCGAAGTGTTCCTCGCTGGAAATAAGGTCTACCAGAGAGACTCGCACGCTTGGTTTGGTCATGCGAACGGGTTAGAATGGTTGAATTTTGAAGTGGTTCGGTCAATCCAAGTTCTCTGGGACAATAAATTTGCGTGACTGAATAGTTCGAGCAAATTCTCTTCCCAGAGTAGAAGTATATGCGGAATAATGTCTAACTATTACTCAAGGGAATCTTAAGATAAGTTCAAGTGACTTGACTTGGGTATATAGTTTGGTAAATATATCCAACAAGTTATTCTAACTACTGCCCAATCTTCTACAAAAGCTTCAAGTATATACATGAAATGACCTCAGGGGTGTCCAAACCAAACAACCTCAAGACACAAACCCTCCCCTCATCACTTGAAACAAAAGAAAATCTCTTTAGAGAAACCCAAGTTTCGAACAGTAGACTCGACAGCCATCAAAAATCAAAGAAAAGGAAGAGAGGAAAAGAATCCCAAAGGCGGGTAAAAATATCGGGTATCAAGAAGCCGAAACCACCACCGCCATTTCCACATATCAGTCTGAGTTTTACCAAGCCTCCGCTTCTCTCCCCAGGTTCCCTCTCACCTCACGTCTCATCTTGCCACCACATTGGCCAGGGTACTTACGATCGGTAACCGGGTTAGGTATAACACCCTTCTTAATACCATTCAAGAACCCCCATCCACCGGGTCCCTTGGCAGCCCACATGAAGTACCCGCTGGAACTGCTCTCAAAGACATCCAACTGCGCCTCCGTGAACCTTCGCACCTGCACGATCATCTTGTCATTCCACTTGTCAAAGTCTCCAGACTGACATTGACATCCCTTCGCAGAGCAGGAGGTACCAGCTGTTGTTGATCCGTCTGGATTGACGCAGATATCTGTTGCGGGACTCCATTCGCCGACGAAGGTTGGCATGACCTTGTTGGCGTTCTTGAGGTCGTTGGACCAGGAGCAGGCTTTGGTGATGTGTTGGGATTGAGTGAGAACTTTGTCTTCTGCGTTGAAGACCTGGTAGAGATGAGTGTCGACTCCAAATGCGGTCTTGGAGCCGGAACCGATGATCTTGGTAGCGAGGTCGGTCCATTTTCCTGCGCCAACGAAACCGTCGTGCATGGCAATCATCATGTTTTTGTTTTCTGTGACGGCTCGGACGGCGTTGTATGCCTTTTCGGTCCAAGATTGGGTGGTTTCAATCTTGTTGTTTCCCCAGGAGACGGGCTCGTTGACCATCTGCAGACCCACCACAACATCGGCATATTTGTTGGATCCATATTTTGTTGCCATGGTTTTGAGGACAGAGATGGAGGCGTCGAGGTTCTGAGATTGTTGCCAATCTACAGCGCCAGCTTTTCCAGAATTGTCGAACCCATTTTGGGATCCAGGGGAACCGTGGCAATCTACCCAGACTTTGAGACCAGCAGTTCTAGCCCACCCTATGGCTTTCTCGAGGTATACGTCGGCACCTTTGAGGTATTTGGTGTTGGTATTGTCATAAGCCCAAAACCCAATTGGGATTCTAAGCGCGTTGATGCCAGTTGCTGCGATAGTTTTGATATCGTCTTCAGTGAAGAAGGTTGACCAATGTTGCTCAAGAGCTGCAGCTGCACCTGGAAGTTGGTCGAATGTGAACTGATCTGATGCAGAAGAAAAGGCCTCGGAGAATGCTTCGTTATTCATCCATTTCTCAAGGACGAGCCAGCCTCCCAGGTTGACCCCGCGAAGGAATGGAATGCCTGTGCTTGCCGGTTTGGGGGCTACAGTCGAGGATGCTTTCGTTGCTGAGGCAGAGAACGACTTTGATAAAGAGGCAACCGAAGTAGGTTTACTGCTGCTTGCAGGACGAATTACTGCAGAGAGGGTATTTGGAGTTGAAGATTTTGAAGCAGATGACTGGCCAGAAGCTGTTCGTGTACGTCTGACAGTCACTGTGCTGTATGTATTGTTTTTGGGGATCCCTCCTGTTGGTCTGATACCGCCAGTACCAGTTCCAAAGTGTAAACCCGAGCCTGTTGGCAGTCCACTCCCACTTGCGTATCCGGAAAAGAAGATACCAGATGGGATTGTGGTACTGATGCTCGGAGCTTTGCTGGAAATGGCAGCTGCGCTTACCGGCTTGGGTGGAGCCGGAAGGTAAACTTTTCCATCCTCACTCTCTTGAAAGGCTTGAATTGTAGTGTAGACCACTTTGGTCTGCGGAGCTGGTTGTATAGTAGTATATACTACTTCTGTAGTTTGTGTAATTGTTGTTGTTATCGCTGAAACAGAGTCTGAAAGAAGAAAGAAAGCCGTCAAGGCTGTAGCTGATGAAGACCACATTTCGAATGTGTTTACAAACTTTGGTGCAAAAAATAGGCGAAAGAAGTCGAAGAACTTTGCTCCGAAGCTGGAATGTATGTGTATCCGGTAAGAGCGCGAGTGTGAATGGCTCTGTTTTTCAAATGGGTGGTGCGACTGTCGCTAGTGCAAGAGTGAGGTATGACTGTGACTGGTGTACTTGACAGGCAAGAGGAAGCCAAAGGCTCTATTTTCAAGTGTACCAGACAAACTGAAGGAGTGACCTTGTAAGAATAACTAGCCGCAGGCTGAGTTGAAATTGGTATGACAGGAGTAAGAAGGAATGAATGGATGTATGGCGTCTGGAAAGATCCCTCAACCACCGAATGTTCGAGACTTGACGATAGACTGTATCGAAAAACGTGGTAGTTAAAAGATGCCCGAGATCAGGACTGTGGGTGTGTTAAGGGTACGCGGTTCGGTAAAGGAATGTATGAACAAAATATGTTCTTGACAGAATGTAGGACTGTTATTCTTGAAAAATGAATGAACGAATAAACAGAAGAGCGAGGCACGGAGGCAAAAGAGGCTCGAAGGAGGGAAAGACAACAACGGTGAGCAGTGTTGGAATAGTGTTGGAATCTCAGCTTCCTGGGCACTTGCCCGTACTTACATATAAAATCGACTGCGGTAAGTAGGTGCGTGAGGCAAACGCCCTCCGCTCAAAAGAACGAGTTTTGACCCTATTTTAATCTCGGCCAAACCACTTTTACCAGGCTGGTGTTCGTCAAAGATGGTTCCTGTATCGTGAATGGCCAAGGTTGAATCGCCTTCTCGCTTCGACATGCGGCTAAGATCCGATGAAACGAAAGCTGCGAACCGCATGCACCTCGACCAATCAGAGCTCGTCCATGTTTTTGTTTCAAGAGACCAAGCCAGTCAAGGGGCGGTAGAGAACCTGTCAGCAATGGTTCATCAGACGTAGAATGGCCGAAAAGAAGCATCGAGATCTTCTGCAGAATGTCTGCAGGAGCTCGGTACCGAATTCAACAGCCGCAACTTTACGTGATGATGGCCTTTCCCCGAAAAGTCCTGCCAATGTCAAAATAGCATCCTCCTCGCGCCCTCGGCTTCTTCCTCCAACGAAGAGGGAGTTTTAATTCAGCTTATGGACTTTGGTCCGAAGAATGATGTCAAGTTTGACTTCGCCACCCCGCAAAGATTTCGAAGTTAAAGAGGAGACGGCGGGACGACCCATTAGGTTCCAACTTTGAGTCTTCCGTGCCTGGAAGAACCTAGAAATTTTGCCCTGTCAGGCCATCATCATCTGATAACCTACTCATGTCGTAAACTCCACACCATAGATGGAGTACAACCTCCTGGCAGCCCACCAGCCCTAAGGATCCAGCTCTTATTTAAGTGGGTACCTCTTCGTATCGCTTCTCCCAGCCAGAGTACGAGTAAGCGGTTATCTTCCCCATGTGATTCCCACGATGTTCTGAAGGAATACATAGGAATATCCCCAAATCACAGTAAACTGTATGAATCCCAGATTTTTCAATGCAAAATCAATCTCCCCAATTTGAAGTTATTCGTTTGTTCCTTTTCCAGCCTTCGGGATTATGAAGAACGAGGTAGTTTGAAATCCAGAGATTCAGATCTTGACGATGTAGACTACGATTTCTCATAGGATCATGGTTGGATGGGAAAAAGGAAATACCGATTTTTCAGCCTTGATGTGTGAATCTGGAGGATTTTCCACCGAAGCGGGTTTTGACAGTCTCGAAATAGACACCATCTCAGCCGTACTTGCATATTGGCTGACGGTCCCCCATCGCAGAGGACCCCGGTCGAAGTATCGTTGACAAATTGAGGTGTAAGAGTCCTCAATTGCCCAGGATTTTGAATTGCTGAAGAGACATTAACGCTCTGCGCTCTCCACATGAACAGGGCTATTTGAAAGCTTTTGGTAACCCGAAGCCCGCATCGCTCATTAGACTAAAGTCTTACACGTAAAATAGGTCCTCAAATCAATTCGCAGAGAAGCAGGAAAAGATAAAAATGTTCTTGTTTTTTGTTTCCATCTATTTCCGTCAGACAGTCGCAGGCAATTTAAATATTACTTCTCTTGTTCGTCATCAATACCATAAATACCAGTCCATTCAAAAAGCAGCCAAGTATGAAGGACTCTCCGTCAATTGCCAAAGGTATTCTTTCCAACCAACAGCCCCGACGACAAGGAGAGCATAGTAAACAATTGTCCAAATAAGCCCAAGACTACCTTCGCCTGCTTTGGCTCCATCTTCACTTCGCTTACTATCCCCAATATCTGGTCCGATTATTGTATCGTTATCGAGAGTCAACCGTCCCCAAAACCTTGGGAGCCCCATCCAATTACAAAATGCATGCACTAAAGTGACAGCCAATAGACTCCCAGTTCTCAGGTAAATAAAGGTGGCATAACTCCCAAATAGGGTAGTATAGAAAAATTGAAGAAGGGAGCGGAGGCACGCAGCGATCACTGGGGTGTGGGGATGAGTGATGCGGAACTCGTAAAAGTGGTGCACATGGGCGAGACCAAATATAATGGGCGTAAGGAAGATGGTAGTAGTATTTGAAGTTTGGGAAAGGAGAAGGAGGGGTACCGATGCCGAGCGAAACAAGACTTCTTCTGTTATGGGACCCTGAAATCAAACGTCAGTATCAAGTTGGTAAACATAACAATCTCGTCTGGACGTACAGCAACGAGGTTTCGATAGCCTATCCATCCGCTCAAAGTAGATAATCCGCGCAGCCTGATCCAATCCCTCCAGCCTCCTTGGACGACGCTAGCCTCAAACAACGGGCCCAGGAAGAGAATGGCCGTCAGGCCAACTGCCTTGACGGTCTCCATTATTCCAACGGGATACCAACCCATTCCGTGGAGAGTCTGAACTGGGTTGCCATCTTCAACGATAGAACAAAGGATCACGAAGGTGAAGATGGAGCATATTATGCAAGATGTGGTCACGGAGGTGATGCGACCACGAATTACCGATGGCGCATCCCGAGACAGATTCGGGGAAGGGCGCGTGGTGGAGGAGATGTAGAAAGGGAGTACGTAGATGAGCGTGTAGACGACCTGTTCAGTGTTAGATTTTGGATTCGATTGAACGCGTCTAGCTGTTACACACCAGCAAGAGGACGGTGACATTGGTGCTCATGGCGGGTTTGATGGGTTCTGTAGTTTGGCACTGGTCAGTCTACCCAAGGCGTGTGGGGACGAGGCTAACAATGATTTCAGACGACAAAGAATTTCATTGCCGATTCCTCCGGTTCAGATTCAGCTTGCCGGAAGAGCAGAACTTACCCTTCTCCCCCCAAACCTTGGACTTGAGACGCTCATAGAGATCGGTGGGAGCCATGCTTGAGACCCAAGTGGTGACGGTAGTAGAAGCAGTCCTGTCGTGGCGGATGTCCAGTCGGCTGCTGGAGATGCATTGGCTTCTGAAGACTTTGTGTTGTTGGTTGCGCTATTGCGCGGCAGTTGGTCTTGGGAGGGGAAGTCTAAGAGTAACGCCGGGTCGATAGCTCGAAGCATCAATTGGGTGTGGATGACCCTGGAATATCTATCTCGCTCGGTTGGTTCTTGCTGTGCATACACTTGAAGGTTTCAATGTCAGTTCATTCGCTCCGAGGTGGCCGCTGTTTACAAGACATGCGGATGCGGATGCTGATGCTGATCCTGAAGCTGATACTGAATGCTACATCAAACAATGCAAGTGTATTTCATTCATTTCTTTCATTTCTGACCAGCCAGGCCAGCATCACTGGATCATGGGAGTCACTCGAGTCGACCCTTGAGCTGCAGCCGCCAAGGCAGGCCCACCACGGCACTTGGTGGTACAACCACTTCATCCAAAAAAGGAGCTCCCAAGCTTCTCTCCACGCGTCAAAACATGCACCAGTGTGCAAGATGATATTCTGTCAAGTGCCAGTAGCCGCTGCTCAGCCAGGCTACCGGTACTTGTCGCGGGATGGGCGCTTCGAGATCGTTGACCGCTCGTCGATAGCTCCAGCACCAGCACCAGCTCCAGCTCCAACTCCAGCTTCTCCTTTTCCTTCGCGTCTAATCGTCTGCTTTGGGCGACGTGTTCATGTCGATTTATGCACTGCATGGCCGCCCCGTCCCTTCCATTGAAAGCGCGGAAATTTGGTGGGACGAAATCCAGGTTGATGGACTGCAGAGCCTGGGGAAACCCGGCCAGGCGAGCACAATTGTCAAAATATGGAAAAATCTGCATGCCCTAAGGGCAGAATACGCTCCGTTGGCCAGCCAGAGCCATCGAGCCCCCTCTTGTTTCTACTTGGCTGTCCAGCTCTCATGGCAATCTAGTCTTGTTACGTAGGTAATAAGTGGGCACTGGGAGCTACAATGGTGGCTACCCCGAGCGACAGTCGTTATCTATGCTGCCAATCTACATGCGAAGTATATTTTCTGTGTATATTTTCCGTGGTGTTGATGTATTTTACGAAGTACGAAGTATATCTGCCACCAGGAACTTCCATCACGGAGCTGCCAGAACTTAGAAGACCTGGCGGGAACGGCAATGTTCGACGACGCGCTGGCAGGTCCTGAAACTACAGCAACCAATCTATTCCATTCCTGCTTGCCTATAAACCCATAAACCTGCAGAGCCGCTGCCATCGTCATACTGTTACTTGGTTACTCCGTACTTTGTACTTTTGTATACTCGTACTCCGTACTGCTCGTTGGTGCTCTGCATGCCGCTGCCGCTGCCGCCTGCACACGACCCTTGGATGCCCTTCGCGAAATGGACCGTCGCTTCCACAGAATCACTCGAGCCTGCAGCAACACCCGGTCTTTTTTATCGCGCCCCCTGAGAGCAGCAGCCAGCTCTGCTCCATCCGTTGCGCTGCCAGCCTGCTCATTCGAGCACGTCCGTCGAGCACTGTGGCTCGTTGGCTCGTTGCCAGCCCAGGCACGCGGCGTCTCTGGAGAAGAAGCGTGCAAGCCTCCACCAGTACATGCAAGGCCAGATTAACGCGGCGGTCAAAAAAGCTAGCTTCGCTGGTGAGGTTGTGCCACTGTCCCCCCATACCTAATATCCTCTCCCTTCGCCCGCCCTTCTCGAAACATCCAGGTCTGCTCTGCTTGCTCCAGATTGTACTTGTGTGTTTTCTCTTTGCGACCGTCACTCTTTCGTCGTCTTAATTTTGCTCTCTAATGAACCCACGCCCACCCGCACCCACGCTCACTTAACTCAGCTTACTTACACTTTACGACCCCATCAATCACTCGTTAATTATACCTATATCCTCCACTTCCAACTAATCAACACACCAATTCACCAAGTCAGCAAGTCACCTGCCTGCTCATCCAGCAACCACATCACGCCCACCACGCATCCAACCCACTTCACGTTGACACGATTCATCTGGTTTCCTTTCTAGGCGCATCGCATCGCATCGCATCGAATTGTGATTTTCCGGCCCTGCGACTGCTGTCGTCCCCATTCTTGCTCTCACCCCATCCATAAGGCTATTCCAGCTCACGATATTCATCGCAACTCCGCCAGCAAGCATCATCGCAGGATTTATATAGTCCTCGTATTGTCCACCGTCGCCCGAGCCCCCAAGCAGTCCCGCGCATTGTCGATCGTTCGATATGCTCATTTTGGCCATCAGGACTCATCGGTAGACCTCATGGGACCGCTCCGCCAGCCGAGATGTCAGAATTACCTCGAAGGCCTCTCCACGAACAAAGCGAGTCCATGGGCAACAGCGACAGTTCCAAGAGCAACAACAGCAGTCAAAATAGTTTTCAGACCAAATCCACCACCACCTCCAGCGCCGCGCCCATTCGGCTGGTCCCTCAGACCCCACCGCAGCTCTTAGGAACCAGCGCCAGCAAGCTCACTGAGGCCAAAATAAACACCACCACCTTTGCCGAAGAAGAAGAAGATCGGACCCGGAATCGGGACGGCACGCACGTGAGGCCTTCGGATGCAATTTATTCTCGAACACCTTTGCCGACCCACCCCTCCCACCTACTTTTCCCCCCTGGCAAAGGCAAGGATCGTGCATTAGCGAACGAGTTTCGAACGAACCCACCAGCACCGGAAAGGCGTCGGTTGAATGGTTCGTCCGTGCTGCCAACCCATTTAACGCATGCAGCGCCTCGAAATACCAATTCTGATACAGGAGTCCCAATATCAAAGGTTAAACCCCCTGCCAAAAAGCGCTTGCAAATCCACAAGGACAACAAGACCTTCTCCCTGCTACAGGACGACCGGGACCCCCAAGCCGACGCTGCCTTGGTCTCGCCATTATTAGGACGTTCCAGAGCTAGTTCATACGATTCGCTGGGATCGGAGGCGCGTTATGCACCTGGGCGGTCAAATTCGATAGAATCATGCCTCTCATCAGCGCCTGCAACTCCCACTCCGGCTGGTAAGAATTCCATAATTGCAGATCCTATCTCCACAGCCTCGCCTTGGAACTACGAGCTTGCGGGTGGCATTCGCAAAGTCCCGAAGACGCCTGACAATAAGAAGAGGCGTGTATCCAACACCCCTCTCCCCCCCGTTCCAGAAGCCTCCGACAGGCCATCCGCCGCGTCTCACGATCTCTCCACGAAACTCTCCTTTCAATCGACACAGACCACTTCAACTGCTACCACTGTTTCTGAGACTTCCAACTACAAAGTCTACAACACCACATTCGCTTCAACTTCTGACGTTGCCCTTGCTCCGCTTGATACAAGCAATCCCAACTATCAATCGATTGGCACGCCATCCGACTCTCCTTCCGAGTCCTATGAAAACTACCAGCTGATTGGAACCCCCTCCGAACATACCTCGGAGCCATCTCCCAACGTCGAATTGATTGGTTCTCCTCCGGAAACCGAATCGAACTACCAAATAATCATACCCTCTTCCAACGCGTCAACAGCATCCTCTGTTATTCATCGACCATACACGCCAAGGTCGGAAACTATTTCGGAAAACCAAAACTACGAGTTATACGGAGATCCATCACCAACAGGGTCCGCTGCCAATCTTATAACAACACCACCTCGCAAACAATCCAACGAATCTTCCGTTTTCCCCCCACTCAGATCCAAAACAAATACTAGATCAAATGAGCATTTGGGCTACTACAAATCCAGATCACGAGAATCCCTACGATCTGGCTCATTCTCTTCCATCACAACCGTTCTAACTCAGCAAGAAGCATCTCGGGCACTCGTTGGCAGTGGATCACTAATAACACTACCGATCCTCAACGAACGATCGGAGGGATCGAGTTCATGGGCGGACAAGTCGGCCATTCACCCCCCGCGGTTACACATGCAGGAGCACCCTCACCAATGGAGCTCACAGCTGTCAACTGTGCTCTCCGTCACGGAAGGCAGCGACACTGTTGGCAGACTTTCACGAGATTGGGCAAGCGATAGTGGCGGCCGCAGAAGTGCTGCAAGCGGGTTCCCCAGCATTTCGAGCGACAGCCGACAGAGAGTATTGAGCGTCAGTTCTTCCTTGGCCCTCGAAGAAGCGAGGCTTGAATCCCTAGGACGCCCAGAGCCGGCATATGCTCGAAATGGACGGAGGCACCAAAGTAGTGGTTCAATTCCATTCGTTGAGAACCAAGATGAACATGGAGATGGAATCACAGATATGCAAGACTTACGTAGTCGACCCTCCCGAACAAGGCTTTCTGGATTCTTCAGCATTAATTCCTCGGACAATGGACGAACCAACACCATGCGATCTACATCCAGCTCTAGAGCAAATAGCATGCTTGCCAGTGCGGCAATTCCTACATGGGCGAAGTTATACTATGGCAGTGGAGAAAGAAAATATTTGGGTCGTCCTGGAAGTTCAACCGAATCTACCGCTGGAAGTCGTGCAAGCTCTTTCTTAAGTGGTTCGCCTAATACAGACCATTTCCCTTCGCATATATACAGTCCTAGGCGGCGGCCCAGAGAACGAGGCCAGGCTGACACTAGACCTTCCACTCGTGGATCCATGGAAATAAATCCTGCACCGCAACTTGATGACCCTGGGTTTATTCCACGATACAGGGCATGGAGTGTGTCAAGTGTATGGTCACCACATTTACGAATGGACCGAAGAGCCACCCGTCATAGTATTTGGGACCCCCCATCTGTAAACTGGTCCGCTGATGGGAGCTCCTTTGGGAGAAGAAACATTCAAATTATAATGTTTGTGATTGGATTCATATTTCCCTTCTGTAAGTGCCTTGAATCAATCACCTCAGGGCTGCCAACTGACTTTTTTTTTGATAGCTTGGATGATTGCATCTTTTTTACCTTTGCCTTTAAATCCAATTTCAGAAATGCGAGAACGAGACCCAGAGGACGAAGCCCAATCCCATGATTTCGATAGGCGTTTCGGACCTATTGATGAAAAGCGATTTGAAAATGCTCGGTGGTGGCGAAATCTCAATCGCTGGATGTCTTTGGTGGGGTTGTTAATCATTGCAGCTATTGTAAGTTATTCCCAATCTATGGCGTAGCCTGAAACACCCAGCTTATAATATTCTAGGTTGTTCTCGTGGTTGTCTCGGTTAAAGAAGGATGGACAATAACCACAACGAAATAATCGCCAAAAACTTCACCTCTCATATTTCGGATCTATATCTCAAAAACGATTACGGCATCACATCCCTTATCAAATCACGATCTACAAACGTATTTCCTCGAAGTCTTTCTACGACTATATAGAACACCCATCAGCTCTCACCGGCTAAGCCTTCTTTTACCAAAACAACACAACAATCTTCTATTCTCTATTAACGACTCAATTACAACATTTTAAGAAATGTTCTGTACGACCATCAACACACCAAACACATCTTGTACACCAGAGAAGACGCAACAATGACGGCACGGACGAAACAACCTAATGCAGCGTTTTTCTGGAGCGCCATCACCTTTCATTTTCTCAAATCTTATTTTTAGCGGTCGCATTGTACCGCGAGGAAACCAGTTTTATACCCTTTTTATTATTCGACCTTTTGAGTTTTTGTATAGAGAAGCGTTATTTTAGATTTCTATCATTGGCTTCTATTGTGCTGAGCGTTTTTCACGTCTGCGGCAATGACATAGCATGGAATTGGAGAGCGCCATGGGATAGGGGAACAAAAGCAAATTTGCTAAACGCACCATCGTTGTATGTGAGCGAGCAATTGGAACGGGGAGGAAGTTAGAAAAAAAGCTTTACGTAATGTGTTAATGAATTGAAGAACTACTATTACCATTAAACTTGTGTCCTGTCCAATTCTGTGAGGTTTTGATAAATGTTCAATGGTCGAGTACCTCTCTTCGCTTAGACAAAATCACAGAGAGAAAGATTAGCATGGATATTATTAGCGCTTAGCCATACAGCAAAAGCAGCGTTACAATCGTCATTACGTAGCACCCTTGAATTTCCAAATCGCCCAATCGATTACTGACATACCGTCATCGCATGAACTCCAATTCTCGAGGTCCATCATACCACCAACGATTTGAAGGATCGGACCCTTAAATGTCGGTACCGATTGGACTGGACCATACCCTTTTCCTTGTGTACCGAGGTAGGTTTACCACAAGTGTTGCCTTGCCTTACGCCACTGCTGGAGCGGGGATCCTTGACTGGCTTGGAGGGGACTGGACTGGGTAGAGAGCTGGGTATGGTAGGGTAGGGCTGGGAAGTCAAGTTGGGGGGGCCAAATAAGGAGACTGGACTGGACTGGGCGTGGGGAGAGTTTTCGTAGATGGGGCAACATGGGGGGTGGAATTGGAGGGGTTGGGTTAACGCTCTGGGGTACGAGTAGGTATTTTACACTTGGTGCTACAGTACTAATTCCAAGAATCTAGGTAGAGGCGGTCGGCGAGTTACTATTGCGAGATGTGGATATGATTATGAGCGAAGAGATAAGATAAGATAAGTGTCTGTACTTCAGTGTGTCTGTCTGTACTCGCTATTCTACTCTCTTATCCTATCTACTCCAATAACTCTCCTCGCATACATATTTGATAATTCATAAGGAGAGATGAGATTCGATCGATCGATCGTTATCGTTATCTGAAATCAAAACCCCATCTATCAATCATCATCTACACGAAAACCACTACCCCTCACCTAAACGACCAAAAATACCAGAAGTACCCATTAGTACAAGTAACTTACCCGCACCACGACCTATTTCCAGAACCGAACCGAACCGAACCAAAACCCAAACCCAAAAACAGTAACTCGCCATATCGCAGTAAATTTAGCTATAGTAGATCATCTATAACCGAACGCTCCGTAACCTTAAAGCTACTTTACTTGATTCCTGAACCTACTTATGAAGTAAGTATGTGTTCATACATATTTCTAGACGTTTGGAGGATGGGAAATTTGCTTTCATATATCTGGTTATATTGGCTGTTTTATACCTCCGTACGGAGGTTCGCTGCGAGGATGTCGAGGCGAGAGGGAGGGTGGACCTTGGAGGAGGTGGGTGGGAGGGTGGAGTGGGTATGGTATGGTATGGTATGGTACGAGTATCGGGAATAAATAGAATGGTTGTGTGGAGAGAGTTTGGAGTCTATGAAGTTGCGTCATTAGATTTACGGTTTACGAGGAAGGTAGTGAGTGGGTGGATAAGAACATTGGCGTAGATTTTTCTTTCTCTTTTTTCAGTAGTTCTATTTGTCTATCTTGGTTTGAGGTATGTAGATACTTGAGATAGTTTGGAACAATTAATTCGTACATAATACCATGGGATCTTCAATGTATAATTAAGGTGTCTCAAACTTTTAGGACAACCAACTATAATAAAAATAAAAGAATCTCTACTTCGTCCCAGGCGAAATAATTGTAGGTTTGCTAGGGTGGCTAAGGTTGGCAACAGGGTATAAACCCCTGAAAAACCTACAATTATTTCGCCTGGGACGAAGTACAACTTTTCATCCCATCTCCTCTCACCGCGGCGCAACACTCAACACAAACATACACCTCCCAACCTATGAACCCTGATTCCCAGTCTTCTTAACTCATCCCGGATCCCTCTCATGCGAGCAAGAATCATGTAAATTTACCCTTCCCGCCTCGGGTCAATCAAACCAACCCAACCCAACCGACAGAAGATCTTTATTTTCAGTGACCGAACCGGTTAAATGGGGAAACATCCAGGACATGGATATGAACATGGGTATTGACATGGGCATAGCACAGCCTTGTTCTTGGATTGGGTTGGGTAACTTGGGTTGCACGTTTAATTTGGATTTCATGCGATTTTGGAAAAGATCGGATGGTTGAAATATGGAGGACCATGACCCCGGTCTCTATTCATAGACATGGGGTTTTGAGATGCTACCTAAATTCTTAATATCGAGAATTGGAAATTTCTCCATGTTGTCACCCTTGAATTTCTGAGCTAAGCAATATGAATCGGGTTCATATCCAAGAAAGCCAAAAAATAGGTTCTTTTTCTTGGATTTACTTATGTTATTTATTTCCCGGTTCATCTCGGTAGGTCCCAATTTAATAATCGTTTCCCTTCTTCTCAACTAGCCTTTTGAACTCCACCAACCCCTCCGTTACCAGTACTCGCCCTCCCCTGGTTCATTTTACGCTTTCTTAACTCCATCTCAGCTTTCACTTCGCCAACCAGCTCCTCGATATCTTGTTGTGGTTCCGCGGGGAGACCCAGAACTGGCTCGTGCTTCGCAAGGCTATCTTGTGATGTACTCTTCTTCAACTGAGGAGTACCGGCACGTGCGTTTAACTTCCTCACCAGCATTCCTTTTGCGGGGGAGCTAAAGAAGGCTGTTGCAAGAGCTGTACCGACGGCCGCGTAGAAGTAGACACGTGCCCATACAAGAAATGATGCAGGGAGTGTCAAAAGAACGAAGGGTGCTGTGACGAAGCAGAAAGCCGTTTGGGTTGTGAGCCAGGACGCGATATCATAATAGATTTTGTTGCTAGTAGGTTGAGAAGTTTTTGGGTCAAGGAAAAATGGACGGAAGTAACGACGGCAATCTTTAAGATTCAGTCAGCAACGGAAACGGTAATCGAATACGGAGGGGCAAGACTTACTTTTGGCTACGGTTTGTACGAAGCTTGCGGAAACAAAAGTCAGATAATACCCTGGATAGAACCCGTGCCAGAAGGCGCTGGTAGTAAACGTAGCCATGCTCGCACGGAATCCAGGCTTTTCCCCACGGGGCGTAACGCGAAGATATACGTAGTTCCGAAGCCAGTTATTGGTGTTAATATTCCAATTTCCCAGATACGCTCGAGTATTCTGAGCAGACTCGACTCCCCATGGATTGACATTTTGAAGTCTATCCCAACTCACCTTTCCTGTAACTGGATCTACGCCTTTGTAGCCAAGACCAGAAAGAATACAAGAACCCTCTGTTAAAGCCCAGACACCATAATACTTAAGACGGCTTGTTACACCGAGCATGTAGAGAATCCAAACTCGGCGAATGAATCCATAAGTCATATATTGATCACCAATCAATAAATCTGCATAATACATGCCGGAAAGTTTGAGGAAAGCAAGAATCCAAAGTAATCCGGCAGCCGCTTTCCATGAAGCTGGGGTTCCACTTCGAGGGATCTTTCTCTTCTTTCTTGTAGGTGGCATCTTGTCAGGACTGACACCTGCTGGGACTTCGAACATCGTAGTCTCGATCCAGTTTTTATAATCAACATAGTCGAAAGCCGGACCGGCAAACAGAGATGGAAAAAATAGCACGTATCCAGCGAAATCAAGTAAACTGGGTAATCTCTTCAGGGCTCTCTCTTTTTGGAAATCGTTTAGATCGCTTGCAGGAAGTCGACCATCCGCAACATTCCAGCAAAATGCCGTGAGCTTCATCACCAGCACCATTTGGGCTCCCGTGATATCCACAGAGCCTGGATCATTGGCAAATTGTCTTGTGAGTTGGCTGACCGACAGATGCCCCATACAAAACACAAAACCAATCCATGGCATAAAAGGCCCTTGCACATATTGTGCAATACAATAAGCTCCCACCGAGCTGATTGCAAGAGTAGATGCGCCGCTCCATAAATCGAACAAGCCGACCAAGTAGAAGGTCGATACTCTGCGAGGTATTAGAGGGGTGTTACTTGAAATATGGATATCCCTATGCGACTCACCCGATTATAAAGAGATTCTTGAGGGCCGGCTTCGAGTCTGGTACCCGTTTGAGAAGGGCAGCAAGCGGGTAGGAAAGAAGAAACGAGGTTATTAGTTTTACTAAAGTTACATTAGCTCTAAACCACCAGGAAGAGACATTAGTACAAGTATTGACTTACACTCGTCTGGCGACGCTCCCAAGATGCCAGCAACATACTGGAAGGCTGCAGAATATTGACGTCAGACGCGGCTACCCCGAGGCTACAACAGAGACAGAACAGAATCTTACGGGTGTTGATATATGACAACATAATCTCGTCTCAGGTTTGGTGTTCGGTGCTGTTTCTATCACCGCTCCATCTGCGGAGAAGGAATAGGGAGTGTGTATAAATATATACTTCGTATGCCAGTTGCAAAGGTATGGAGGCTCCGTTGGATGGGAATGGAAAACCTTGATTCACCTTGTCTTTCTTTATGTGGAAGCTGAACCTGAGCCTGCGAGCCTGACCAGTCGAGCCAGTGACCTCGGAGAGCTTCCGCACAGTCCACCTCCTGGCCTGTGATGCCCTACCCCCTCCCCCTACGCACCGAAGTGGGCGTGAATCTGAACGCAAGTTGAAGCATCGCCTACGTAGTAGAGCATTAGTTCTTGCTACTACACCATTCCACTGCTTGACCAACGCCTCGATTTTTTGGTATTCTGCCACATACAGCTCCCAATTCCCGAGGAGAATCTTCCAAACCAAAGCCCACGTCCCGAAGAATAATCACGAAAAGGTGCGAGTGTAGGCGCAAAGGCGGTGGTCACAGCAAAAGCCCTGGGGAGATGACCACATCAGGTGGACCTTGACAACCGATGCGCCGTTGCGAACAACGAACGAACCGGCAAGATGGACGTCGTGCAGGCAGTATCGGGATACATCTCCAAGATGGTATCGGCAGGAGATAGTGCTTCCGGGGCGCCTGCCGCCAAAATGAAGATTCTCCTGCTCGACAGTGAAACCGTGTCCATCGTTTCCACCGCCATTACCCAGTCGGCCCTGCTGAACCACGAGGTCTACCTTATCGATAGATTGGACAATCAGAACAGGGAGAAGATGCGACATTTGAAGTGTCTGTGTTTTGTGCGGCCTTCAGCAGACTCGATACAGTTCCTCATTGACGAATTTCGAGAACCCAAGTACGGAGAATACAATATATATTTTAGCAACATTGTGAAGAAGTCGTCTTTAGAACGGCTAGCAGAAGCAGACGACCACGAAGTGGTCAGGGCGGTGCAAGAACACTTTGCCGATTACTTGGTGGTCAATCCTGATTTATTTACACTGGACATGGGCTTTCCACGGCAGAGGATATGGAGTTCAAACCCGGATATGTGGAATGCGGATGCCTTGCAGCGAGCAACCGAAGGTCTCATTGGAGTTTTGCTGTCTTTGAAAAAGAAGCCACTGATACGATACGAGAAGAACAGTTTGATTGCCAAGAAACTTGCTACTGAAGTCCGTTATCTGATGACACAAGAAGACCAATTATTCGACTTTAGGAAGGTCGATACACCTCCAATCCTTCTAATACTTGACAGGAGAGATGACCCAATAACACCACTTTTAACTCAATGGACATACCAGGCCATGGTTCATGAACTTTTGGGAATACGCAATGGCCGAGTGGATCTGAGTGATGTCCCAGATGTCCGACCAGAATTGAAGGAAGTGGTATTATCGCAAGATCAGGATCCGTTCTTCAAGAAGAACATGTATCTGAATTTTGGAGATCTTGGGGGCAATATTAAAGATTACGTTGAGCAATACCAACACAAAACCAAAAATAGTTCCAACATCGAGTCAATAACGGATATGAAGCGGTTTATTGAAGATTATCCGGAATTCAGGAAGCTTTCCGGAAATGTCAGCAAGCATGTCACACTTGTTGGGGAACTGAGTCGAAGAGTTGGGGGAGAGAATCTCTTAGAGGTTAGTGAGGTAGAACAGAGTTTGGCATGTAATGATAATCATGCCACGGATCTCAAAGTAAGACACCTCAGAAATATAAAAATACTCACTCCCAAAGTATCGTCTTTACTAACAACTTCTCAGAATGTCCAAAGACTCATTCAATCCCCAACAGCCACCGCCGACTCCAAACTAAGGCTGGTTGCTCTCTATTCACTTCGCTATCAAAAACACCCTTCAAATGCTTTACCTATCTTAGTAGACCTCCTAATAGCAGCCGGAAACGTCCCCCAACGCCGTATCGACCTGATCGCTAAACTCTTAATTTACCAGTCCTCCCTCCAACAAGCTCAATCCGCCGGGGGGATATCTGACATGTTCGAATCAGCAGGAATTTTCTCTGGAGCAGCAGGACGCTTCAAAGGGCTCAAAGGCGTAGAGAATGTCTACACTCAACACTCCCCGCGTCTCGAACTCACCCTACAAAATCTCATCAAGGGGAGGCTACGAGACCAACAATACCCGTTCGTAGAAGGCGGTGGTTCCACAAAAGATAAACCACAAGATATCATCGTTTTCATTGCTGGAGGAGCAACTTTCGAGGAAGCGAAATGTGTATCTAACCTTAATGCCAGCTCACCGGGAGTCAGAATTGTCCTGGGAGGAACGTGCGTGCACAATAGCACGACCTTTTTGGAAGAAATGGAAGATGCGGTGTCTTCCTGGCCGGAACCGCCTGCTACTACAGCAGCGGGTCGGTTACGGAAGGAAACTGGGAGGAGATGATGCATGGGATTTTGTGTATGGAGTTCTGGGAGTTTATGGAATGGAGATCGGGTCGGCATTGGTATTTTGCAAATGAGGCAACCTTTTTTGGGAGATGTATTATATTGAAGAATCAAAAATTTCATTACAGGTTGTAGTGAAGTTCCTGATAGATCGATGGTGCCCGACCCTGAAGTACACTTGGCGTCTGACGCCAAAACTGAAAGTCGATAACACTTGTTAAGCCGACTTCACTGCCATGTAAGAATGTAATCGGAAGAGCTCATGACAAAACTAGTTGGAAAAGATTAATACACACAGACATTCATCATTTGTCTACCTGGGTACCATAATACATAGATAAGATTATATATCCTTCCCACGAGAGAACACCGACCCACGCAATGCAGATTTGTTGTTTTCAAAAAAGGTTCGTCACGATTCCCTGTTACACCATCCCATTCCATTGATACCCTCCCCCCACTTGCTATAGATTTTACACAAGGTCGCGAAGAACCCCTCGCTCTTGATCCGAGAAATGATTTGCTCATTTCTACGGCTTTTTTCTAGCCTAAGCTGAATATGAAAAGCAATGAAAAGACTCCATGGAAAGTTTTACCTATCCCATGATCATACCCTTCATACCTGCCATGTCACCCTCCTTAGCCGCGATCTCAAAATAACCGTAAATGATGCTGCATAGTTTATTAGAATCTTGTCAAGTAAATAAAGCGGGAATGAGAAACTTACGTGACAGCCATCAAGATACCGGTACCAGATCCAAGAGCACCCAACAAGTCACTAGCAACAGAGAGAGCACCGATACAAGCACCACCAAAAGCAGCGGCAGTTGGAATGATGCGCTTCAACTCCTTGTACATGCTCTGCTCTCTGTGACCGGCCATGACGAGTCCTTGGTCCTTGAGTTGCTTAGCAACGTCGCGTGGGCTGGAGCCAGAAACCTCGATCCAAGTCTTGGAAAATACAGCACATGCGACAAGCATGTATACGATGTAGACAGCGGTATGGATGGGATCGAGAAGTGCATCGGTAAAGTTCAATGGAGGTGACATATAGTATGCGAGTCCAGAAACGGCGAAGAGTTGAGCTGATCCTTCCTTTGCCTCCCAGACACCAAAAAGCTGAACAAGGAGGTTCTCACCGAAACGGGAGTGCAACATTTGACTGATGAGGAAAACGTTGGAAGAGAGGGCCGATTGAAGCATGATTGGCATGTTCGAGGTGTAGAAAAGGCGGACTGGGTAAGAACCGCGGGCACCACGTTGGCGGGATGACTTGACTGGAATCTCCACGCGGAAACCTTGGAGGTAGATTACAGCGGCGAAGACCACGAGAGTGGCGATCAAGTTCATAATGTTGGGGAGGTTCTGTCTGTAGAATGCCTCTTGGAGCGCACGTTGCTTGTTTGGCCATGTCAAAAGAAGGTGGAAGAGTGCGATAACTGCACCCTCAAACTCTGGTCCACGACCGGTGTTGATGGTGGTTGGAGAGAATGCCTTCCAGACAATTGACTCGCAAATGTTTGTGGCAATGAAAAGGGAAATACCACTTCCAAGACCGTATCCCTTCTGGAGAAGCTCATCAAGAAGGATGACAACCAAACCAGCAACAACTAATTGGAGGATGAGGAGAAAGACAACACCCGCGCCAAGATCAGAAGGTTGACCATAAAGACCAGTGAACACGTAGACTGTAGCTTGACCCATGGACAAAATGATGGCGAAAAGCTTTTGGGCGGTTTGGTAGAGCTCGCGATCCGACTTCAAGTCAAGGTTGACGTCGATCAAATGTGTGCCAGCCAGAAGCTGAAAGACCATTCCAGAGGAAATAATTGGCGTAATACCCAATTCCATCAAAGTACCTCTGTTACTCGCCATCATCATTCGAAGCCAGTATAAGGGATCGGAGGTGTCAGAAGAAACAATTCCATATAATGGCATTTGGCTCATGACCAAGAAAATTAACAACGTCAACCCAGTCCACATCAACTTTTGGTTGAAGGGAACTTTGGTCTCGGGCTGCTGCACCTCAGGGAGGATTGGCGTAAAGGGCTTGATGAGATCGAGGAATCGAACTGCGGAGAGAGATGGTCAGCCATGATTCTGGAGAAGAGGAGTGTGGTGATGCGCTGCCGGCTGCACAATTGAGGCAATTGAAGCTCGGGCAGCATAGCATAGCGCAGCGCAAAGACGAAAATGCATGCGAACGTGGATGGGCAAGGAGGACTTACGGCCACTCATCTTGGCGGTTTGTCACTGAAAAACCTCACAGACGTGGAAAAGAAGAAAATGTTTTAAGGAGCGACAAGGGAAAAAGGCACGTCGTCTCGACTCTTATGTGTCAAAGAGATGTACGCGTGGTGATGTGTTCAGAAGGGAAGAGGTCCACGATGGAGCTGCATCGGCTAGATATTTTGGGGCGGAAGATGTGGCCTTCTGGCGGTGCATGACTAAGCAGCATCCAATTAAAGTTGAGCCTAATCCAGCACTGGACCCTTCAGATGAGAACCCCTGGATTTTGGTGGATCATAGGTAATCGGGAGGCCAGATACATGGTGGTTCCTATAATTGAGTGAATATGTGATTCAAAATCCTGGGGCTATATATGGCATGCTGTCCTTGGAGGCTACAGACCATCACGCTTCATCCGTATAATTCAATGGTGGTATTTCCAAGGTCAACGCTTCAGGATCACACCAAATGATAGTTTAAACAGTGAAATAGCAAAGAACCAATAAATCAATGCGGTGGTTCAGCCTTTCTAGAACATTTTCAAGTAAGCATCTAAAATATTAGGAGGGCACTTCCATTATGTTAATATATAAATATTACTTTGATCATTTAAAATAGTTGAAATAAAGGGAAAATACGAACTGAGTTGAGATCATAAGAGCTATTTACTACTACTTATTCAGTTCACAGAATGGGATACAACATATCTAGCACTTGTGTATATATTACCCATACTCGGAGTCTATTATATTGAGTTTGGAAGGACTTATTTACTTCGCAACATAAACTTCTTCCAAGCTGACAGCAAATCCTTTGCCTCTGGGCAGTTCGTGAACGTCATCTAAGCTATGGCGGATGACGTACTAAGGCACATTTCAGACGAATACTATCAAATGGCCATCTTCTGCTCTTCGCCACCTCTTCACCACCTCGTAGAAATTGATCTTCAATTCCTCGAATCAGACGGCGCGCCATTAATCCTCATTTAGATGATAGACAGGGAAATTCTGCCCAAAAATTGTATGTGAGAAGTATGTGGGATAGACATTTTGGAGTACGAATAGAAATCGTAACATCCAGTAGTATACTATGGCAAACCTTTCTCTTGCTGCATAAAAACCATTGGAGATTGATTGATGAATTGGCACTTGACATTCATGGTATCTCAGTGTTGTTTGATCTGTGATCAATCTTCCTTGACCTACCGTTGGCTGCATTTTTTATTTTCTTTCTCTCAAGGGCACGATGGCGACGGCTTTTGAGATGTCCCAGCCATTGGTGCTCGGCGACGCAAGTGACATGGCACGTTTCGCACTCTTGACGAAAGTCAGTTTCCTTCAATTCATCGTCCAAGACAGGCGTCAAAAGCTTCTGTGCAACATCCGAAAATCCTTGAGGCTGAGGTAGTGCCTCACCATCTAATAATTTCTTCGTGATATCGATAGCAGGTATAGAAGCATTAGTCGCCCACAGAGAGACATCAGTCGCGTCTAGGAGATAGAGGTTCTCGAGTTTGCCGGCTTCCGAGAGAGATGTGATGAGTTTTCGACGTATCCAACGGATCTGGTATTTAGCATACTGCCGAGTGGCTATCTGTGTCTTTTCAACAGAGAGGGCATAGAGCTTTTCCAGCTCTTCTGCAGAACAAGTTCCGGATTTCAACGCCGTCAAGTATTCCTCAAACTCTTTCCATCCAATTGATACCCAAATACCCCGTGATAAATCAACAGAAGCTCCTCTTTCTTTTTGGCGTTCTAGGAAAGAACCCATTGCTTTTACTTCATCAAGCAGACCAGTTTGCACCATCTTATCGACTCGATCGTCCAACCGTTTCTTCAGAACATCGGAATCAGAGTGTACCCAGAAAAGTAATGTCGGATCATCCTTTGTTGTGGTTTCTCCATGTATAGCTGTCTCCGAACCAGAATTGCTCATTCTCCGCTTGTGACGCTTTTGTTCGGCGTATATGTCGGAAGCCCTTTTGCCCGTCGTAAGATATATCTCGAGAGACCTGCGCAATTTTCTCCTTTCATTTGGATGCCATCGTTCTGCCATCACTGGATCCACTTCTCTTAACTTCTGTATAATATCCTCTATAGGCCCCTCAAGAATCGCAAATGTTCGTTCGGGCGAGGCAACCTCCAAAGATGGCGGGGTTTCCTCCGCGCTGCCGATTTCTACCAGAGTGTCTTCAAATAAGAGAGATTGGGTGTAGTAATGTGTCCCTCCTACGAGGATTGGTAGGCGCCCTCTAGACCTAATTTCTTCAATAATTTTGCTCGCTTTCTTCTTGAACAACCCAACATTCCAAGGCTCATCCTCGAGCGCAATAAAACCAAGTAGATGATGCGGAATCCCCTGTTGCCCCTCTGGAGTGATCTTGTTCGTCACAATGGGAAGACCATCGTACATTTGCATGGCATCACCGTTGATAATCTCGCCATCGAATCGAGTGGCCAGATCCACTGCGAGCTATCATTTGAGGTTAGCCAAGAACTGAAGAGGGGCACATGAATATGACCTGCGATTTCCCTGTGCCTGTTGCTCCAAGAACAACGATAAGTGGCTTTTTAGACAACTCTTTCATCATGAAATTCCCTGTCGTGGTTTGGTAGCAGCGAAAAGCATGTCGGAGCATTTTCTGGTGGACTTTAGTTAGCTGAATCGGTTGCGCTACGAAAGTTCATTCTCTGGTGGGGAACACGGACCAGCAAAGAAGTACGAGTAGAGTAGCAATTATGGCCACTCCAGGCATAAATGTCAGTATAAGAGTCTCTGAAAAAATCTTTTATCGAGACTAGAAAACCAGATTGCACTCCCGATGGACAAGAAAGGTGGCAGAAATGTTGGTCTCAATGTTTAGGTTTCTCTAAAATTGCTAGAATGATTAAATGGATTTAAGTCAAGTCACTCGAGTACACCAACAGAAAAGGATATTATTTGCCACGTTCCTTGTTCAATGGGGCCATAGCACTATCACATAGTCTCATTCACGCAGGATCATATTGGTTCGGAGGAATTCTTGCCGCGGCCTGAAGAATAGCCAGACATTTATTGATAGACGAGGAAACAAGTATTATCTTACAAGATTGAGTAACTTCTGTGGCTGTGGATTCTCTGCATGCATACGAGTACTTACTGCATCATCACCGATCATAAACAGGAATTGAAAATCCATATCTATTCTTATTTCCATCCTTAATATGCTCAGGTTAAACCTGAATTTATGACACCCTTGACGCCGCGCTCAATGCATTTATGACGTTCTACAAAATCACCCATGAAGTTTGCGGGATATCTCAGGACATAATGTCCTCCAAGATAGTTTCTAGTTCTTCCTTGCGAAATGGAACAGAGAGCATTTCTGTTCCCAAGGCGTCCTTCCGACTCTGTATCATCTGATGGTCATGGAATCTGTAGACCATTAGCTATAACATTCCAACTTCGCATGGGGAAAGCTTACTCTTTGAGAAGTGTTCGAAAATTCATTTCGTTGCTACAGATGAATTCTTCCACGGCCTTTTGATACAATACTCGGTATTCGACACCGATTTCAGTCTGTCTTGAACTTCCGACTCGCTTCCCATGGTCCTCGTCGTCATTATCCACGTCATCTCCAAAACCCAAGCCATGGTTTTCGTCCATCGTTGCCAGCTGCTCTCCGATGAGGACCCTAAACAGATTTTTGGCGTTTTCTGGTAGACTCTTAAGGACAAAGCTTACGCCCTCCTTCCCGCCAACTCTTCTACCACTTCTTCCCAATAGTTCATGAACGTCATCTACAACGTCGACTTCCGTACTGTATGACGAAAATGTGGTGCAATCATGGAACAGGAAATTGTAAGAAGAGCGAAGGGAGCTGTCCCAGAGAAGTGGAAAGGACGGGTGATCAGCGGATGCTACTAGATGAATTTGTGGATGAGCAGCAAGTTGAGAAAGTATTACCTGCGCTACAGTACGACGTAATGGTGCCTTATCAATCGAATGAACAATTACTGTAACATTTTGTTCAGGGCTCTCTTCGAGCAACACTATTACACTTTCAAGCATCTCAGCTGGCTGTGAGCCAATCTTGTGGCCAGTACCGGAAATCGCGCTTGTTATTGTTGTCAAGACATCTTTGATAGTGAGATTTGGAACGTAGCCATTAATCACGACTATTTTGGGAGCCGTAGAGGCATGGCAGTTGTGAATATAGTCTGCAAAACGCATGAGAAGTTCTCGTTTTGAGCCAAACCCATAAACACAAATATTGAAATCCTGACTGAGCTCAAATTGCCATTGATTGTAAGACTGTGCATGCAAATTCTGCAGATTGGCGACATCTGTTGCATGTGGATCATCAAAAGCCCGTTTGAGTGTAAAATATTCCTCGTGATCCAATAAAGCAAGGGATGACAAATTGTTGTCCGAAGTCTTAACTCTACCTCCCCGAGTTTGGAAAAAGTACTTTTCTTGTGGCAGAAGATCCTCAAGAGGTGGTGTTGGGGGTCTCAATTTGGCTTTGACTTCTTTCTTCGGTCGGCCTCGTTTTCGCTTTGATGGCGTCGCTGGAGCTTCAACTAAAGCTGAAATATCAAGAGCGTCCTGGTCGATACGGTCCTCCTCTTCAGAATTATATATGTGTTGAGCAACATCCTCCTCCTCCTCCTCATTATCAGAGATATTGCCCAATACGCTCCGCTCTATCAAGGCTCTGGTGCTCTTCCTGTGCGCAGAACGATCCGCGTTCCTTATTATCCTTGGAGTTTCGTCGTTTCCCAAATGACCATTAGTTTTGACTGGTGTTGAAAAGAGTGGCTTCCCATTCAACCTCTTGGTGGGTGTGTTGCCATTCACTTTGTAGGCTGCGTCATTCAGAATCCCATTCAGTTTCTCTTTTTTTGGCGTGATGACCGAAAGCGCAGCATCTACCTCCAAGTAACCCATTCCAACTTCATCCTCTGATGAGCCTTCCACAGCGCTCTCTCCGCGTCCTTCCGTATATTGCGATGACCTATTCTTGTCCTCTGCCACGAGACCTCTGCGTAATGTTTTTGGTGAAGAGGGAGATTCAGTTCGGCCATTTGACTGGATACCATTTCTCAAACTCAATTCAGAATTGCCTGCCTTGAGCTTCTTTGCGCTGGGTACGGGTTTCTCGTCGTGGTGGTCGCCTCCCTCGTCCTTGGCTTCTTTCCTCCGCTTCATGGCGAGCAATGCAATGCACTGTATAGCTGCTGTTAGGAAACTCTGCGAATATCCTGATTTGATTAGGGCACATACAAGTTACATGGCCAGGCTTGTATAGAGGAAGACGTCCATGACTTTCCCATAAATTTAAGGTTAAACGTTCTTCCAGAAGGAACTCGAGATGTCCGTGCACCACATTCACCCGACCCAATGACCCTTGCAAAATAGGGGCGAACTCCGGAAGACGCGTTCGCGACTGCGCTTAATTGCACCGAGTAAACAACCCGACGTTGGCATTGGGGATGTTCAACTCCTCCTTCTGCCAATCTCCTACAGTACCTCGATACCCGGACATCAAGATTGGGCGTGCAATCGCTTGAACTCCGGAGAAGGAGAAAAGCTACTTTCCGTACTCGCCTTTGGGGTCCAGTTCTCTAGTTTCTTGGATACCTGTTGCATGATTTCTATTCATCATGCTCAACTGGTGGTTAGGCAAGGGCGGGGATTCGCATCACCAAGGTATGTTTTATATACTTCAACTTTAATACACTTACAAATATTCGTATCAGATGAGTCCGAGCTGGATCCCCCAGAAACACCCGCGCCTGTATTTGCTGCCCGCGCTTTAAAGAGTGCCATATTTGGAACGCCGGCCCCTCCTCCTGGCGACGATACTCTTTACGAAATCAAACAGCACGAAGCTTCAATACCCAAAGTAGCCACTAGCGATGCGCAAACGAACAACATGTCACCTACTAAACCTCCAGGTATTCTGCTTACCCCCGGGACGGCTACATCCCGAAGGAAAACAGTATCATTTGGCAATGAGGTAGCGGGCAAAGAGGATGGCTTGGTTGGGTGTAGAGCACTTGCCTTGAAAAAAATAAAGAAGTCGGATGAATTCGTAGACCAGGGAGAAGGGCGGACTCTTGAAGAGGATTCGACCCGCAGAGCACTGAGGAAGACATCTTTGACAAAAACACTACAAAGTGCCCGGGAAGGAAAATCGAAAACCGAAAAGAACGCAGACCGCAAACCGATTAAGACCTCTCCACGAAAGTCTACATACTCTAGAAAGATCGAATTGGACCTCGTAGAGCCGACCAACAATGCTGATGGCAACATAACCACTGATTTGAATGAACCCCAATCCGAATCAGGCCGATACTGGAAATCTCAATACCAAAGCTACCATGACGACGCAAGGGCGGAAATGCAACTTCTTTTGAGGTACAAATATCTTGCCAAGGGCTATGCAAAGAAGAAGGACTCTGAAGCGATTGACTTGGCCGAAAAACTGAAAGAGGAGCAGCTCAAAGTGATTGAGAAAGAAGCCGAGATAACAAAGCTTTCTGCTCAAATATCGAATCCTGAATCCGAAGGTGGGAACGATGAAGAATCATTGGAACTTATCAAGGAAGTCGCTAGGCAAAGAGCTTTGGTTTCACACTATAAGGCCCAAGTTGAAGAGTTTCGAGTTGCATTAGAGGAGCCTGAGGGGCTGCGAAGGGCCGAGAAAACCCAGAGTAAAACCGGTGATGGGCGCCTCAAATTTGATAGTAACTCTCGAGAACTAGCTCGGCTCGAGACTGAACTGGAAAGCGTTCGGAAGCTCATGGCCGCTGCTGAAAGGAGGAACCAAAGACTCCAAGAAGACAACACTCGCCTGGCTCAGGAATTGTTACATGCTGAGCTCGCCCTCGAAAAGCAACGAGAAAAGAGCGATCAACGAAAGCAAAACCACGATGAGCAAATGCGGATAAAAGACGAAAAGATTGATGCTCTACAACATGAATATAACGCTATCAAAGATCTTGCGAAAAGAGATCGACAAAAGGCCGAACAACTTTTAGATAAGCGATACAATCAGATTCGAGATCTCAGAAAAGACCTGGACTCGATGAGGGGTTCGGAGACAGCCTCTAAGCAACTTGAGAAGGATTTGGAACAAAAATCCAGGGAACATGAACGAATCGTTGCAGATCTCCGGAGGCAGCTTGCGAATGTAAATATCCAAGGTGGCCTAAGCGCATATGAGGGTGATACCTTGCCAGAGAAAAATATGAGCAACATGCCTCGACGGAAAACAGCCTTCCCAACTGATGATTGCCCATCCCAGGAGAGATTTCTTCCGGTGTCTATGCAGCGAAACCCTCGGTCGCTGAGAAACAATAAATCATCGTTTGATGAGTTACCCACAGGGGTACCACGCACGTCTCAACTCCCACTTACGGAAATCGTCAATAATGCATCTGTCGATACCATTCCTCCCACAACTTCTGGACCAGTGCAATACACGCCATTGGCCAATCGATTTTCGGACATGACTTTCGACTCTCCAGCACTAGATCTATCATCGATGCAACCTTCATTCTCACAAAACCTGGGCCGGAATCAGAACCAAAGACAAAGCTTACCAAGTCCAAGACCTTCCATGTTTAATATCCCATCTAGCCCTCCGCAGCCTGTCAAAGCTCGGCCTCGTCTCGCTGGCAGACAACGGTCTAATAATGACATAGGCGGACGGCAGATGAATTTGGCTTCAAGTAGCTTAGAGAGTTCTAGGGTTCGGAGGAATCTCTCGCCAGCAAGAGCAGCTGCCGCTCGGGCTCGTCTCGAGGAAAAGAACGCTGCAAAAAAGAAGGGCCAAGGTAGGAAGGCACAAAAAATGAATATTGTGAATTGATCATCACCAAAAGCATTCCACAGATTTGCTTTCGGTTATTTTGTATATGGCGTTGGGTATGGTTATTCTATTGCATATGTGTAGGACTAAGGTTGTGTTGGAGTTTGTATTGTTCGTTGATACCATTTCTGTGCCTCTTTGATTTTTGGTATACGCTGCTCTGGCCATTTCTCGGACAGGAGGGCGGTTCTCTATTTCGGAATGGCAGCAAACAATAGCGTCTGCCGGTTCCAATTAATCACTATCATATTACTTTACAACAGTTTCTGTATAGTGGGAGTTGATTGATTGTGACGTTCAAGTTCTTCGGTCAGCCTCGATTGGAAAGCTGAGTGAATCAGAGGCATTTGTACCCATGTAGATTCATGTTGACTTTAGAAAGGTGGCTTTGGAATGTACGAGTACTTCGAAGTATATACCAGTATGCCCGTACATACTTGTACCTAGGCACGGAGGCTGGGTGAAACGATCCACAACCCTGACTTTGCCCCTCGATCGTTATCGCCGAACCCCTGTTTCTTGTGCTATCGCATGATTAGGCGAAGGTCTCGCCCATGCCTCGCTGTCCATTTCAACCTCTTTGACTGCCCATCACATCCAACCCAACTTTCCTCCTCAAATCCGCTGACCAACTCTCAACATCGACTCTGCCCAACTGGTATTTGCGCTCCTCGATTACCACCCCCGATCGGCAGAATACTACCGCCTGACACTACTTGTCCTCTTCGTGTTCCCGGCTTCATTCCGCTTGGTCCAGTGCCCGTCAACGAAGGCACTCTAACGCGCGCCCTATTTTAGTCCTCGAGTCCTCGACTGTCTCGAATACCCTCCGTCTTCGTTCGTGCACGAACTTACTTGTCAACCACATCTCCCACTACACAATCAGATAGCACAGTATCACTCGAGTCACAATGTCAGGAGGCGCCGCTGCAAAGCAACGCTTGATGCAGGAGCTCAAGGTCTTGGAGAAGGAGAAATGGCTCAACATAGAGGTGAGTCGCTCGAATCAATGTCTTCAATGGTGAAGTCGCTTACAATGCGAAATAGCTTCAAAATGGTGATCTCTTCAAATGGAGCATCGCGCTCATGGTTGTCAACCCAGAGAGTGCATTCAACGGTGGATACTTTAAGGTCAGCACCAAAGATCGAGTACGAGCCCATGATAGCTAACCCTTTGATTCCAGGCCGAGATGGGCTTCTCCGACAAGTATCCATTCCTTCCTCCTACCTTCAAATTCATTCGACCGATCTATCACCCGAACATATACACGGACGGCAAGGTCTGCATTTCCATTCTCCACCCTCCAGGAGAGGACGAGCAATCCGGAGAATTGGCCAGCGAACGATGGTCTCCCCTTCAGGGTGTCGAGTCTGTTCTACGCTCGGTTCTTCTGCTTCTCGATGATCCCGAGATTTCCTCCCCTGCCAATGTCGATGCCAGCGTAATGTATCGTGACAATAGAACTCATTACAACATTAAGGCCAGTGAGGCGGTCAGTATTTCTCAGAAGGATATTCCCGATGGATTTGTCATGCCAAAGACACTCGAATCGGCTCCTCCCGAGAAGCTCATAGAAGATGACAATTTCTGGAATGAGAGCGATGGAGAGGAGGATGATTTTGGGGCAAGCGACAGTTCCGGGGAGGATTTCGAAATGGACGAAGATGAAGAAGAGGGTGACGAAGACGAAGCCGAGGACGAGGAGGAGGAAGAAGAGGAGAAGTAGTGAAACTCTCTTCGCTCCATTTCCCGACAACTTACGTTTTCTTCACTCTAAAAATACTGGACCACATATATTCATTTATTGAACAGCATAGCATAGCGGCGGTCTACCTTGATGGCTCAAGACGGCGTTTGGGCAAGGCAGGGAAGGGGCATGGCATTACCTGCGGCGTACTTTGTTTATGGCACTCCGCTTTTGAGACGTTACTTTTTTTATCTGGCGTAGGGCTGACTGACTGGTGAGGTAGCATGTGGGAATTTACATTTAGATGATTTGGTAGTACTTCGTAATTCAAGTCTTTCATAAAACGTGTGCAGAGTTCAGAACTCAGGGTGACTCGTGCTATCGCAGAGGGGTAAATGCGATTAAGACAGGGGTGATGTCCCTCTATTGCGTACTATGAGTGAAGATAATGCGGACACAGGGGGTGCTCAACGCTCTCTGGTTTCTTCTGCCACAGCGAGGTGAAATAGCAGAAAATAACGCTTGCCGTAGAAAGTAAAAGATTTGTTTTATAAGCCATCTAATGTTTGTCCAGTCACTCAGGTGACGCACGTGGAAGTGATGCTGCAGCCACCCACTGCCGACCACCTTGGCCCATGCATGGATCTTTGGCGGACAGTTGAGCTCCCTTGTTCAAGCTTGCCTTCTTGTATCTACAGATCGCTATCCTCCTGTACCTACACCCACACCCACACCTACGCAGACCTCCTTCTTTCTGACGCTCATTTGCGAATTTTGCGGTGTTTGGCAATCCCAACTTGCGATTCTTGCTTGCGATCCACGATACCTGTTTCGCTGTTTGCAACCATTCTGATTCTTCAAAACATTCAACCTTGCGCGGCTTCCAAGAGCCTCCGACCCATTCAGAATGGGAACTTACGCCCAGCCCACTCAAGATGCTATTGACAGTTTCTGTAGCATGATTCCGGGTGTGCCTCGATCAGAAGTTGTAGCCAGACTTAAGGTATGGGTTCTGGGACTCGTTGCGCTGCAATCTAGCTGACAGAAGCTGCCAGAATAATAACTGCAATGTTGAGCAGGCTATAGGCGAATACTTTGATAACATCGACAACCCCAATGGAAATCAAGTACGGAAGACCCTATGCGATTTGGATGGCAGATAACTGAACTCTCCTCCAGTACCGGTGGGACGAGGGCCAGTTTGGTGGCGAGCGAGATGGAGGACCGAATAATCACGGTGTTTGTGAGTACAGGATGCCTATTTTAAAGAGCTTGCTGGAAGACGCATTGGCTCACGGTGAAGACAGCTTTCGATATCCAGGGACCAGACGATGTGGGTCCTTACAACACACTCGATGGAGCTATGTCACGACCGCCGTCCCGAATTAGCAATAATAGGTCCCCAATGAGCAAAGTTATAGACTTGAGTGCGGATGCTGCAGCAGGTATGGAGCTCCCTTGCTATCTATAGTAGCCACTCCCTAACGAGTTATAGCCGATCCGAGAAACTCGAAGACATGGACTAGCGGGGATCATGATTTAGAGCAAGCAATTGCCGCATCGAAAGCAGACATGGCTCTAGCTCCGCAAGAGACAGGCATCACCAAAATGGATCAACCACATTTTGGACCCGCCAATCGCGGAGAGTATGAGGAGGGAAAATGGGATATGGTTCCCGTGGGAAAAAGCTACGCTCAAGAAATCTTGATAGATCCAGAACCAGCTTTTCGAAAGCGAGAATATGGATCACCGGCATTTCTAAAACCAACCATTGATAAACATCCACTCGCCGCACTTTTCACCATCTACCATTCGATACCCAAAATCAGAGAGGTTTTCCTTGACCGCCTGAATACTCTACCAAGTTATGGGTTCGACAAAGAGTGGTGGGCTGGCAGTATCATTGAGGTTCCAACGATCGTTGATGACGACGCGGAACCCGAACCTCAAGTCAACCGGGAAATCCAGCGTCTCATGGCGTTTTTGGATAAAACTGAACGTAGCTATGGATCTATACAGGCTTTAGCGTGCCTACCAGAGGTTCAGGAAAACCAGCGCTACCACAACAAGCCAATAGAACATGCTGTGCTAGAATCTTGGAAAAACTCGCTCAGAGACAGAGAGAATCGGGCAGTTGTCAAAAAGGTTTTCAGTAGGGGCGTGTCTTCCGAAGGATGTCCCGAAGATGAGGGCAAGGATTTTGCGGTCCTCCAATTAGAGTTGCCGACCAATGATTCATTGGAGACATCATTTTATGATCTAGCTGATGAAACCATTTGGCCGGATCTCCAGCCTTTGAATCTTGACCAGAGCCCTTTTCTTTCTCATGTCGCAGATGTTGTCGTATTCAAGATTCAAGGTGATGAACGCAAGCGGAGCGTCGATATTCCAGCAACCTGGTACCCTGATCGCTACTTGAGATCTGGAAAAGAAGCAGCCCTTGAGATGCGACTCAAAAAGAAAGAAATGATGGAGCAGCTGGACCGAATAAACTACCTGGAGGACCGCCTTACCAACTTTCAAATGCGGAGCGGAAAGGTTGTGAAAGTTAAGGATTTGTTCAATGCGTCTCTTCAGCACGATGAGGCTGTGATTGAGAATGGAGACAAACTGCTTGACACTGATATGGATATGCTCTCCCCTCCCCGTTCTAGGAAATCGGCGAACCTTTCAGCAGAGCTTCGGAGACTCGTAGAGAGTATTGACAAGAAGTTATCAGGTATTCATGAATTCTTATCGGCTCGTATACTTCTGGCTAACGCATTTGTAGCTTTGAACTTAGAAAGAGAGAAAGCCCGTAAGGCACTGACTGACCTTTCCAAGCTTTACACCGCCCCTTCTTCGGACAACACGGCACCGAAACTTCATCCATATTCTCTGCGTGGTGTAAGCACTACCAATAGCACGATGTACATATGTAAACGCGCTGAGCCCGATTTGATGGACATGGATCTCAATAGCAGCCAAACGTCCTCCAATACTGACCAATGGTGGCGAATACAATATTCCACGTCTGGAATCGCTAGCTGGGACCAATCAGGTGCGACAGCTGCATCTGGCTCACCCGGAATCAATCCTGTAACAGTTGAGGTATGGTAGTCTCTAGAACTCGTAGCATATTCATGCTTCTTTATACACATTTTTAATCAATCTGCAGAAAACCACAGAAGAAAACGTCCTCGAAGCAGCCAAGAACGAAAGCAAAAATACCATTTTGGTCTACGCAAGTGAAAGTGCAATGGAGCATACAAATTACCCTCTGCCTAGTGCGCTTGATGTGAGTATACACTGCTGCCTTCTTGTCCATAGTAATGGCTCCTCTAATTATACCCTAGGCTTTTGTCCGAGCAGACAATCGAGCTTTCAAAGCTGAATTCGTTGATATTGAGGAATCTTCAATCCACGTATCGTCTCCTGGCAAGCGGAAATTTGACGAGCAATCATCTGATTCTCAAGACTCTACTTCGGGAAGGTGGGGCGGACCTGGTCCTAATCGCGAGAGCTCTGCGGGTATTCTTGAGAGAGAAATTATGGGAAATAGCGAAATGTCATACGATGATGCTCGTTCGGCTTCAAGGAGCCTTGCTGATCGCCTGACAGACGATGTTGATGACTCAGATAGCCACGCTACTGGGGACATTATTGTAGGTATGGACCCCTCTTTGCTACAAAATGGCACGCTGCCGGGTCAAGAGATGCAGGAGCGAGGTAACATGCGTCTAAGCTTGATTGGAAGCCGATCAAACAACATCAAATCCTCAACGATTGATAACATGGATCTGAATGACATCGTAGAAGACTCGCACGTTGCAGAGGAGAGTGGGGCCGTCAAACGGGTTGGGTTTGCTAAGTAAGAAGGCTTGATAATTACATATATGTAAGCTAAGGGCCGCCGGCTTATAATATGTTTTATTATAGCGATTAGCGAGCGAGAATAGAGAGCGCGAGGAACATTAACAGCTGCGCTACAATAGTAGAGCACCTTTGTTCTATTCTTAGGTCTCTATGTATGTAATACTAACTGTATTACCTTTGAAATATTGTCTCTAGTGCCGTAGAAGCCTGTAATGTTTTTCTAATTGTACTAATCCTAGCGTTATAGGGTGAAATCACGTAGGAATTTTCATAGAGTTACAGAGTAGTTATAAATTTCTAGTATTTGTACTTGTTAATAATAAATCCTTGTAGAAAATCAATAAACGAGACTAAGAGAGCGCGAAGAAAAAAAAGAAGAAGTCTTTTGTCTAGCGGTAGTTGAGAAGATTTTCAGGAATTTGTACTTACTTTGATTTGGTGCGGGAGCACTGCTCCTGCGTACAGTACCCTCTGGTACCACTAGCCTTGGTTGGTTTTTGTAGTTGTAAACGCCTTTTCAGGCGTACCGCATAGTGTGACTGGTCCCTGCGCCCAGAATTTTGTGTTCAATTATTTCGAAGAATTTGGAGCCGCACGTGTGCGTGCAAACTGGATAGTAGCTTGTCGACATTGCTGTCGGGTTAGTTTTGTCTATTTCTCTTGTTAGCAAGGTTTCGAGTACCACGAATGTTACCGCTAGACTATGTGACTTTTGATTGTTACGAGAAATGGCTTATTCGAGAGTATATGAATTAAATTAGCCTTGAATAGCCGAGAAATCATGTCTAAAGCCGCGGGATAATAACAGACTACGGTAGCTAAGTGAGCGTACGAAAGTGAATCGCAGTCTCTGTTTAGTACTTCACATATGTCCCAACTTGTAGTACAAGTACAAAAAGCGAATGAGTACTCGTTGCCAAAGCACAACGGCGAGGCAGTGCTGGAACATATGTCAATATAACTCATTTGGCCAAACCCATTCTTGTATATTTCTACTCTGACAGGGACAATTTGATTCTTATTGAGTGCCTTCATGGCGAATCTTGCTCCTACGTTACCGTAGGGCTACGTGGATCGCCTCTCCTGTCTCTCTCAAGCTACTCTCCTGCTCGTTGTTCAAAATCCGAGTTTTTCGAAACAGACATAGGTTACGGAGAAGACCGCACTTGTGTTACCAGAAGATGGGCATTTATTTGGGAGGAAGGAGCGGAGTTGAGGGGCTGAGATCTTTCTGCCGCAGTGCCGTCGCACTTGCCGGTCGTTTAAGAAAGCTCGCTTGGGTACAGTAACGCCAGGCTTAGGGAGGTGTTCCCGATACACTTTCGGCCTAAGCCACGAGCTCAGTAGCTACGCGTTCCTGAGATAACTTATGGAGTTGTTACAAATGGCACCCAGGGGCTCCTTGCGATGGGTTTGGGGGGCACTGTTGCTTGAAAAGTTGTCTGACAATTTGAGGTCATTGGATAGAAATAGACGGGTTTTGGTACCTACTAAAGTCGTTCAACAATGTGCAAATCTAACAAAAGTGAAATCTCAAAGGCTCTCCCTTCGCTGTTCTACCTTTCCAGGATACAGTAAAAGAAGTGATGGTTTCAAAACCTTGGGACAATTGAAATCATGACCTAAAAAACTTCAGGTCAATAAGTTTGTTCTAAAGTGAAGTCCCATTTAAATATAGTAGCTCCAATAAGAAGCAGTCATCTGAACAACACAAAGTCTGAACCGAGGTTAAGTTGAACCCCTGAAGTTAATTCGCTTACCAATCATCTTCCCTTCTAAGTTAAGTTATGAGTGAAATCGGCAAAGGTAGTATCCGACAAGTCTCAAGCAAGAAAAGCTAATGAGATAGTCTCAAGAATTGAAAATTCTAGAGTCGGTTTCCTGTTGGCTTTTTTCTAATAGGAAAATCCAGCTTCAATTGATTCCCTTATTCACGTATATCTCAAAGAACCAATAACGCAAGCGCGGAATTGTGCATGCAGATAAATTAAGAGTAGATTAATTCGTATTAACAATCCAAGTCACGATCAAACGGCATAAATTTACACAGACTACTTGTTTCGTTCGCCATTGTAATATCCAAGCATAACCTCACACATCACCCTGACTTACCCCCAAGTTGTAACAGCCAAAACAATCACAAGATGGCTTCACTTCAAGCGTCTGATATATTCGGTGTCGAAGGCTTGGTAGTTGTTATCACCGGCGGCGGGTCTGGTGAGTCTGTATCAGTTTATTGAAACAGCCCACAGGAACTCATATTAATAGGTATCGGATTGATGATGGCGAAGGCTCTGGAAGTCAACGGTGCCAAAGTTTATATCATCGGCCGTAGACTTGAGCATCTGGAGGCGGCGGCAAAGCAAGCAGTTTGTTCACCCCACTTCTCATATTCAGCCCCAAGTCTCCATTGATTCTGATAGCTCTGTAGAAACATGGCAAAAATCATTCCCTTACAGGGCGATGTAACCAAAAAAGAGGATCTCCAAAGCGTCGTCGATAAAATCACCGCAGAAGATGGCTTCATCAACGTCCTTATAGCCAATTCAGGAATTACTGGTCCAACTTTGGAAGGCTTCAACAAAGGCACCACTTCCATCTCAGAAATACGAGATTTTTTCTGGAAGACTGATAATTCCGCATTCCTCCAAACGTTTGGTGTCAACGTCGCAGCGGTCTTCTTCTCCATAATCGCCTTTCTCGAACTGGTCGATGCAGGTAATCAGAAAGGAAACGTGGAGCAGAAGAGCCAGGTCATTGCTACCTCCAGCATTGGAGGTTTCAATCGCTTGCCACTTGCAGGATGGGCGTATGGTCCCAGTAAAGCTGCTGTTACGCACTTGATGAAGCAGGTGGGTACCTTTTTTGCGCCGCATGGAATCAGAAGCAATATCATTGCTCCCGGATGTGAGTAGAATTTCCAGCTGATATTAGGATAACAACTAATGATTACGAGTGTATCCATCTGATATGGGAAGTCCGTTGATAGAAAATGCCAATGCCAGCGGAGCACTCAAAGCAATGATTCCCCTAAATAGAGAAGGAAATGAACAAGATATGGCGGGTAATATCTTGTATTTGACTTCAAGGGCTGGAGGGTATATCAATGGAAATGTTTTTCTCACTGATGGCGGTCGTCTGAACATTGTTCCTTCGATATATTGATGAGACTGAGCTAGCTGGCTATGATAAGAAATCTATGATGACTATTTGCGAGGCTGGGTGACGTAATATGGTTTTGTGAGGACTTCTGAGGGCTGGGGATCGAGGGAAGGAGGGATTTCTGGCATTTTTTGGGAATGATTATGGATCACCTAGCTATGTAAGACACAGGCCAAAATCTTTGTACAACCATGTCTTCTGTGATATTTTTCAATGCGTGAAAAAACGAAAGCTACGGTATGACATTTCCGGCAATTGCACGGTGGACAGGACGATGGCAAACATTCCTCCGTCTGCTATAATTGGCTTCTTTGCCCCCTCTCCCCTCCTCAGTATTCGATTTTTTGAATATTCAAATATTCAGCCCAATCGACCCAAATAGAGTGTTTGGAAAATAAAAAAAATCTTAGAGATGCAGGATACGTATCTAGAAGTAGTGTAGAAACTTATTACTATTACTCTGTCTGCATCATTGCGATTTAAGTCCCAGTTCAGCGTCGTCTATTTGGGGCATTATACCCCCTCCCGCTATAGAGGAAAAGTGTCAGAGATGTTTCACTTTCTATTAGCCTAAGCTGATTCAAAATAAGAAAATGTCACAAGCAACGCTCGGCATATGGAATACTTCCAGAGCACCTATAAAATGGAATGGAATACTTCCATTGATTGGTTTCTGGAATTCCAGAGGCTTTTTTTGGCTAATCAAAACGTAGTATTTAGGGGTGGTTTTTAAGTGAATAAAGAGATTTAAGTGAGGGATACTAGTACCGTAATTGATTACCCAGATAACCAAACGGCTATATATATAGGGACTCTCTATATTATAGTATTCGTCGCCTACCTAGGTAGGGTGGATGAGCTCTAAGTGAAATTTCTCAGGGCAGGTGCTACGATAAATACAGGTAGGTAGTCTGGAGCCAAATAGGAGGAGCTTCCTATTAGTTGGCCGGATCGGGGAGACCTTTTTCCAGTATGTGATAAATTCCATCTGGAAATTTCATGGAATATGTACCTCTGGAATAGAATAGTTCCAGTAAAATCTTAAATGGAATGGAATTATTCCAGAGGGGGGGTCTGGAATGGAAAGGAATTCCAGTTGCCGAGCGTTGGTCACAAGTATGTCAGGACAAAATTTCCTTAGTTATCCAAGGATTTTCGACCCATCAATATATTACTCTACAAAATTGGATTGTAAATAGGATGACGTAAGTTATGTTAATAATAACATAGTTTTCTACCACTTTTCTTGTCCAACAAGAGACCTCTTAAGGGGTTGTGTATATTTTGAAGGCGATACCGAGAGTGATAATACTGAAGCTCAGGGCTACCGGGACTAAGGAAATTAGTAAGAGGTTCCCAGGTTACCGAATGGTAAGTTGCTCACACATATACCTGAGCTCTTGACGGATATTCAGATTGCCATCATTAAGTTCAGCAACATTCATACCAAAATTGCCCGTTACAAACGATAACGGCACCTACATGAGGTATTAATATGATTGAGAAGCAATACTGCTGACCAGAAAAAGTTTACGCGACTTACAAACACAATTGTGACGACGGTAAATAACATAATTGTCCTGCCTTGGCGGAGGACCTCCCGACCTTGTTCTACAGTTTCTCGGGCTTCAAGTCGAGCCTCAACTACTCCCATCTGTTGCTGTTTTAATCCTAGCAGATCATTCAGCTACTCGTATTAGCATGTAATACTACTAAAATAAGCTTTGATAAGCTTACAGCAGAAGATGTTTCAGTGGCGGTGTCTGCCAATCGTTGAAGTTCTAAAATTCTCTCATTGATGCCTTCCAGCAAATCATTCAAGCTTGCTCTCGTCTGTCTAAACCTCGTATCGGAAAATGGATCTGACGCAGCTGCCAAAATGCTTTTCATATTTCGAGTGAAAGCCTTGCAGACTGATTGTTGCTCTCTGAGCACATTTATCATAATTTTGAGCTCATCTAATATGTCTTTGATTTCTTGCAGAAGTTTTACTTCCGTGTTTATGTCGATGATGTTTTGGTGTTTTATGGCGGTCTTTTTTGACTTCGGGTTTTATAAGCTACAGAGAAAAGGCGGGTATACTCTAGGAAGTGATTAAACGAGGTTATCTGCTTGAATGACTAAGGAAAATTTTAGTAACATGGAAATCTTAAAAAGGCAGTGTTAATGTCTTACTACATCCCCAATGGCGTGTGCAAATATTTCGAGTACCTGAGGACGGAGAGACCGAATTGTTGTTCGATCGAAAAATACTTGAGAACATTGATCGACAATCACAATAGCTAAGTCATAGGCAGTATGTATTTCTTGCTTCTGGATATCATTCAGTCGGATTCTCAGGCGTCGATGAACGTCTGAATTATCGAGTTCATTCTTGCCCCTAAGTTTCAAGCGCTCTATTAGTTGGAGGAACACAACAGGAGTATTCCATGGTTCTTGGCCTGCCTGAAATATGGGTAAGGGTCAGTGAGTCTTGCTTACCAACGCGAAGGAAAGAAAGTCAGTACTGTATCTATAAACTAGTCAGGTATTTGCATAAATGGTAAATGAGGACTGGCTTACTTCCATCCAATATCCATAACCATAACTGGTCCACCATTAGCAAACGTGGCACTACACGAATATCCTGCAAGCATTCACGGCACTCCAAATCCCTCTTGGCGAATTAATCCGTCAAGTGTCTTTTGGGTGCCGTGGCTCGGTAAACCACTTGGCTTTTGTCTTGTGTTTCGACATCCTTTAGAGCCCAGTAGTAATACTGGTCGAGAGTTCGCCGAGGATGTAGAGGAGGTTTTAGATCTAAGCGATTCTGCAAGAGTGTTTTGTCGGTGTAGTAATCCATAGCGCTCGCTAGTTTTGCCGCCTGCAAAAGAACACCACCAAGAAAGTTCCTTGGAGCTTCCCCGGAGCCCGAAGTCTATCAAAAAAGGAGTCAGAAAGAATCGAAACCAAGCTAAGTGAACTCGCGGAGTACACCCTTAAATTCCTACATCGATTTGTTTTGAAGAATATCCGGAGCTGAGTAGATTGAGAGAAGACCTCAAACGACCCATCCTTTGTTTCCTCGACGACTCCATAGTCCAATTTTCCTTTTGTGCTATCGCGTGGGCTACATATGAAAACTTCTTGGTGGTTGATCTCCTGTCGAGATCGCATGACTTCATTGTGCGAGCCTGTAATGCTCGAGCTTTATAGGTTTCCCAATGAAGGTACGGCATCTGTTATTTGTCAAATCATGAGCCTCTCCTCGGAGTAGGATGCGCCGGGAGTTTCATAAGAAGAGTACCCGATTCTTTTCCGATAGTTCACTAGGTGTGCCGCCAACTAAAAACAGTGTCAGTCATTCTGAAGTGATTTGTCAAATGCTGGCTGTAAACATTAAAAGTGACAGTAAATAATTCTCTTTCTATGTTGCCTCTCTGAACCAATACAAATCATGATTCTATATCTTTAGGAAAAACTTTTATTAACTGTTTAAAGAGGTTTGAATGGTTGATCAAATAAAAATGCCAAGTTGCTAGAAAGAATCAAGCAATTGCACTAGACAGCGAGGGCGACCAGGGAATCATTCGCAACAGCTTTTGATCCCCACTGCAAGAAGGGATTTATCCTAGGAATCACATACCGTTTTTGATTACATCACATCGAGGTCTCATTGATCTGGTATGAACTGGATCACTGAGCGAAGGGCCACGTTGTTGACCTCGCCAAACCTCCTGATCAAGCAAGATTTCCGATTTCGTCTTTAACGTGGACTGACTCTCCATCAAGTCATCAGACACAATCTCAAGATTGTCCGAGTCTCCGTAATAGCAGCTAATAAGCTCCTGGAATGGTGTTACTTAACATGATATGTTTATCTGGAAAACCACGTACCTCAACCCATTTCATATCATTAGCAGGCACGTGAAAATAACGTACTGTATCTTCTGGACATTTTTGCAGGAGCGGGTTTCTTCTAGAGTCCTCATCGTATAATAACCTGTTGAGAGGTATTTTTTTATCTGGAAACTCCTCGGGCAAGAATTCGCTGATTGTCTGAGGTGCCGAATCTTTGAAGAACATTACGTTCACACTAACATCCAGAGCTTCATCCAGAACGTCGAATCCTACTACCGGCTTTACCGGTTTGGGTGGCTTTAAATCATCCTCGAGCTCATCGTCTCCTTTTATTTCAATCTCCGAGGAATGGCCATTTGGGAGGTTTTCGACGGAACGTTCGCGAGGTTTCAATCCAGTCCAATTTCGCCATCGACGTATGGCTTGTTTGTGTCGGCGGAATAGGAATCCTTCTTCTATATCTTGCCTGCGCTCCGCGATAGATCTAAGTCTTGTGATGCGAAGCTCCTCATTTCGAACTCGAGCGCGACTGTTTGCAGGTAAACGATTGAGGAAACCCTCCCGCTCGGATTGCTTGAGGCAGCCAAAGAAATGCGAGTTCAGATCGCCTGGGCCATGGAGAAACCCGCTCTGGCATTTCGTATCCATGCGTTATAGGAGTTTGAATCTCAAGTTACATATTATTGAAAGAATTTGCTAGGTACGAGTAGAAACGAACTATGAAATGGCGCATTTTACAAGCGTCCTTCAAATACAGGGTGTAAGCCAATTTTCGGAGATGCAGCAGGGTCGGCAGGGGGCGGGACAGGGAGGATAAACATTTGATCCTCCTTTTAAAATTGAAGAGCAAGGATAATCAAAAATAATTCAGGCGCTCATCAGATAGCCAATCAAAGGTATCCGTTATGAAATGTTTAAGTTGAGCAGTAAGGTGGTCCATTTTCGGGATTAAGGTAAGATCCCACAATGACAACCTTTGGATTGCGCCAAGTAGATGTAGTATGATTTACGTACTAATCGTGTAATTGAGTGGTTACTATGCTACTCCAGTAACTCATCTTGATAGTTCATCGGTTCTTATCGAGGGATAGAAATGTATAGAAGGCACGGCTGTTGCTTCATGTACACTTTGAGAACCGCCTATTGTACTGGAAGTTCTTAAACGATCAGTTTATCTGTCCAAATAACCTAATACAATAAAAAGGTATTGAAGCCAATGTTTCTGATAAACCGTTCGTACAGCTGTTGCCATTTTGTGAACCTCTTCGGCAGATCTCATGGAAACAATTTTGATTGCGCAGAAATGACGGGGTTTCTCATATCGACACTGTCACTATTTAAAGATTTTACCTCAGGTTCTTGTATTTCATCTTGCGGTACAAAATGTTGAAATATGTGCCTTTTGTATCTATCCAATGGATATTTGTGGAAATTTGTTTACTGCTGTCACATTGTTCGCTAAAAAGTCAGAGAAATTATCTAGCGACTCAGGTCGGATCGGCGAATTTTAGTTGCATGAGAGTGAAAGACTAAATTGAACTATTTTCTTGGCCATTCCCAATGCTTGCCCGAAGAAACGAGAATGGGCTTCCTGCATACCCTGGGCAATATTCAATCAAACCTATTCAACAAAGAATTGCTCAAGCTTGGACGGGAAAAGATATTTCACTTTGTATTCGTCCCTCTTATTATAAATTTGGCCCGGGAACTGATTCTGTTAACACCCTCTATATGCATTCATCATATTTTGGTCACCCATTTTTGCCTATATCTAATAGCCCAAGCAAGTCTTCCCATTTCAAACGTATTTTCGTCTCCAGCTTTACCCAAACCCTTCAAAACTTGCCGCCAAAATCTTGACCTACTCCATAAATGCCCGAGAGACAAAGTGTCTGTGAAATCGATATTGGATTCCCCAGAAAGTCCATATATTTTCAAAAAGCTTTTTTCCTGCCTCTTACGAGTCTAAAGACTCATGATTGATTCACGCGTTCAGCCGTAGGCAAAGACTCATCACTTGCATGGACTTTCTCGTTTTTAAAGCCGTATTTTGTATCCAAGCTTTCTCTCAGCACAACGTCCTTGACGAAAAACGAGGCAATTACCCCTGATACAGCAAACGCCGTTCCCACTCCCCATAGAAGCTTTAAGCAGTTCCGAAACAATTCAATAACCTGTACTCTGATTGGACCACGTAGAGTTGTGATATAGGCCCTCGAAGCATGCTCATATGCTCCTGCTTGTTGAAATGCTTCTCTCACAGCTACATCGCTAATAGTGTGCAAAAGGCTCTGGGCCTTCGTCTCAAAAACGCTTGAAGGAATAGCAACACCGCACACAAAACCCAGCCCATGAACGAAACCCCATGTTGCGGTAGCCATTGCAACGTCTGACTCTGGCAATGGAGCTTGAATGGCGGGAAGTGTTGAAGTTTGAACGATACCGGCTCCTGCGGCGAACAATATTTGAAGTGGGACCCACCCTAGTGCCGATGAGTGCTGATCCAACACACAGAACAGCCCAATAGCTGTCGCAGCCAGTGCAAATCCTATGAGCTGGTTCAAACGATACCTTCCGGTCTTGGAGATAACGAATCCGCCAGCAATCCCGAACGGCACCATAGGGAGAGCCCCTGCCAATATATTGATTCCAGATTCCTGAGGAGAGTTCAACAGGACTCCTTGAAAGTAAACTGGGAGGAAGTACGTAGCCCAGTACAGTATCAATCCGTGGAGAAAAGCGAGGAAAAAAGAAAGTCCAGATGTCATATTGGAGAATAGGCGAAGAGGTGTCATGGGATTGGAGCAAAATGGAGATGCTTCGTAAAGAACAAATAGGGGCAGTGCTATGAGACCGAGCAGCAGCGGTACCAAAGTGTTCCACGAGTTCCATGATATTGAGGCATCTTTGGAACCCGTGCCCGCTAGAGCAATGAGGATTGAAGTTACTGCGCTCATCAGAAGGAAATTGCCGATATAATCGATTCCCGCTAGTTGTCTCCAAGCCGTCTTGAACCCGGTGGTTGCAATAGGAGACTCTGAAACCTCCAGCTTTACAAACGTTATGATCAAGGTAAGGGCCAGCGCTGCGACTAAGAGGTTCAACCAAAAGACCCAACGCCATCCAGTATGATCAACAATTATCTAACAGAAATTAGCCTATTGTTCTCCAAGTTCTTTTCAATGAAAACCTACCCCTCCACAAAGAGGTCCAAGAAAAGTACCAAGGGCATAGGATGCGTATACAACCCCTGTATATTTCTGACGTTCTCGCAGTGGTGCCAAATCGCATACTACCATTGCTGGCAAGATACTGAGTCCACCACCACCAAGTCCCTGGATAACACGGCCACCGATTAACATGGCTGTATTCTGTGCTCCTCCACAGATTGTGCTGCCTATCATGAATAGTATCATAGCCGTCAATATTGTTTTCTTCCGCCCAAACACGTCTGCAGATTGCCCGTAAAGTGGTTGAACGGCGGTAAAGGTTAAAGTGTATGCATTGACTGTCCAGACATAAAGTGACGATGAATGTAAATCTGCGGCAATAACTGGAAGTACCGTAGAGAGAATTGTTGAGTTGAGGGCACAGATAAATGAGGTTAAACAAAGTCCAGGAAACATAGCCCAGAAACGCCAGCCACGAACGGGTTTCTTGGTAAATTCTGCCACAGAGGACGTGGGAGTCGAAGATGTTTCTGACAAATTAGAGTTCATCTTGTTCTTGAGTTAATGAAGTCAAGTCAAGTTGACTCAACAAAATGACCATAGAGTGGCTACTCTATATAGAATAAGTGGAACAAGCGTGGCAAGATCATAGTATCTTATTCGTCATATCAATACGTACATTAATGACTATGCGCTGATCTAACCTTAAATCTCAGCCATGAATACGGAAGTGCTGGTGTGATGCTTTTGATTTCATGCATTCTGGGTACACTGCGGTTCTCGCCAAGCTTGCAAACTCGGGACTAACAACACCTTCATTCCATTATGCGCTCTTTCCTCGGTGCTCCTTTCATCATCCCGCCTTATTTACATCGTATCATTCCAAGGGTTCCGTATGTAGAGTGACGTTCCTTAGCTGAAAGTGCTTAGAGCATCACAATAATCGACGAACCCGGCATCAACCAGAAGATTGACTCGAATATAGACTTTCGGCTTAGAGAAAATGATCGTTGAGTAGCAAGCGCTAATTTGTGCTTGTAACCATCACAGGGTGCCAGCAGAGTGATAAAGCAGTTACCCATGGGTGGATAAGTGATGTTTCTCATAAGAGCCAATGACAACTTGGGTTCACCTTACACATTCGCTTTGTTGAGGAAGTAGACGGCTTTCTGCTAGAAGATCAAAAGCATTGCTAACACTCAGCCGGCAAATTCTTCATTGTTTCATGTTTGAACCAGAGAAACTGGGCATCGTAGTCGACATGTAACGCATATCTGTGGGGGCTTAGTGGAGTGATACGGACCGTTGCGGCGGCGGCACACTCCGGACTAGATCAACAGCAATCCGGAACAGCAGGTAGCTTTCTTCCACTGTGTGACTAAATTAGCCACTTTTTTCCTCGCATCAAGTTGTACATATATGCTACTCCTTGTTTCCAAATACATGAATTTCAAATGTATAGTGAAAGAGTTATTCGAGTAAGCACAGATGACCATACATGGCCGAGCGAGTTGTGTAATATGTCGTATCTCGCTCAGTCGCTGTATAGTAAATTTCAAACAGTCAAAATTGAGACATAGAATTCAATTACACAGCATTTGAGCGCGTGGTTGAGTTGAACCATGTGTAGATAATAGTCACTTTTCATTGGCGTCATATCTATCTTGTGTAAATGATAGGTCAACGAGAAAGATGAAATATGTCGCTCATTCATACTAGCTGTTAATTCGTTGATCTTAGCAAGTATCGGACGGATATCTCAGGGTTTTCAAGTACAATGATACACGACAGGAGTGTCCGGTAAAATATACTCTAGTGTACCATTTAGGAGGACTTCCAAGGTATGTCGTGTTTCTCAACATTTTGTGGATTTTTTCGGCACCACTTCATTGATTTTTATTAGTTTCGCTTGTTTCAATATTTATGATCAGCCATAAGTGTACCGGCTTACTCTTCCCGCCCCTGAAAGATCGACATGATGGAATTTTCGAATTCAGGATTTGAAACCCGAAGATTGAGAGCCATAGTCAAAGAATCCTGTTTACTATTTTTGGTCATTCTACCCATAATAACCTCTGAGGATGTTGGGCTGGCGACTTGATCTTGCACAAGACAACTATTCTAGACACGTCGAGATCACCCCGTATTTTTGCTGATTACAGAGGTCTCTTTCAGGATCAGGCCTAACTGGTGCTTCTTGAGTTCAGTTATTGTTCGTTCTTTAGCACGGCATAGCGCAAACTTTGACAATCAGACAAAAGCATACATGACCTTTATTGTCATACCTTAAAATCCGTTCTTCTGTCTGCAACTGAGCCTGGCCTCAGTTACTCTCAAATCTAATTAGAGGTTTCGTATTAGAATTTCCGGGATCTATCGGCTGAGAAAGAAAAAGCGTTTTTTGAGTCACCAAAAGATAACAAGTGATAAGGAGAAAAATGTTTTTCCATCACATTTCTTCATCCCATCATCGCTTTCTCACATATTACAAGATATGACGAGCACGCCTTTCCACATCATCTGTGTACCAGCAACATTATTGCCTCATAGAAGTATTGTAGTACTACCTGGAAAATATTTCGGATAAATTAACCCTTTTGGCTTTCCATGACGGATCAAAACATGGTGAATAATACGAGCTTCCGCCAGCTGTGGGATTCGTTACAAAGATGAGAAATCTGGAAACAATTCCTCCAATGGGAATTTATGACATCAATTCAAGAATTAATCCTGAAATTATTACTTTTCAAATGTGCTTTCGTCGGGGTCCGGAGAATTGCGACAAGAACTTGAATCTTTCATTTATTAAGTCATTTTGTTGTGGCACTGTCTTCGTATTCTACGGCACACCGCACCTTTGATATCAGGTGAGCTTCTTTCCAAGTGACTCTCAATTGACATTGTCAAAGGGAGTATGGTACTGTAACGGCAAACGTCGCTTGCGAGTCTTGGTTCTTTGCACGTGGACTGCATTACGTTTGAAAAGAGCTCTATTTTATGCAGATTGGATACTGATATAGATATAAACTTTCTCTCTTCGAAAACATACATCAGGAAATATCCAGCAAGATATGCATGTTTTCCACAACACTTTGAGAATTGTGTCCCCTGAAGTAACCGAAGAAAACTCGGAAAAAGATCCCACTCTGCTGGTTAACCAGGAGGTGGAGGAGTCGAATACGGTTGAACAGTTTCCTAGAACGTGTGAGTTATGTTGTTTGATTAACATTATTTGCATTAATATTTTACCTACTTTAGAACAATATATATATACTTAATTCCCTCTTTCTAATTAAGACCAACTATATCTAACTTTTAGTAGAATACGCTATACAAGAAAGTATGAATAATTCTGTTAGGTTTATATTAATACGCGAGGTAGCTGTTTTTCAACTGATTTTAAATACTTATTAGTATAGAAAGTATACTCTATAACTTTTCTAACTTCCCTACTTACCTAGGTACAGCGTACTGAATTCGAGTAGTTGAGTTAAGTAGTGACACCTAACCAACTCAACTCGAGTAGTGAAGATCGCTATTCAACTTGACTCGAGTAGGGTCGGCCTGATGCCCCGTAGCGCGCCCGGGTTCGCTAGCCAGACTCTGGTCGGTCGGTCTACTAAGTCCGCCTATTCGGACTTAGGCGGTCATTTAGCTAAGGGACCTATTTAATTATAAAGAACTGTTAGTACGTAAGATACTCGTAAATAAGGGTACAAAACAGCAGTAACGAAAGCATATAAAAGTTGGTATAATAGTTGATTAATTGATGTTGTTACTAGGACGAGGACTGGCTATAAGTACTCGTACAAGCTAAGCTTTCAGATATCCACGTGATAAAAGTGGTGGATATATCGCAACAAGAACAGAAACAGGCTCTCTAAGGATATAGCTAATATAATAACAAGCTTCAGGAGCTAGGGATTTAATATAGAACTAGCTAAGACAAAGGCTCTAAGAGAGCTCGCTATTAAGAATAATTACTTTATACCTTAGTTACTATTTATAGGAACACTTAAGTAGGTACCTATATATAAGTATTCAAATCAACTACTACTTAATAAGTTATATATAAACTATCTACTTATATATAACTTAGATTAACTCGAATACTATCCGCTTACTTATATTACTCGCAACGACGGATAGTACGACTAGCTACACGTGACAATCCTCGGTACTAATTAAGGGGGATGTATCGCAACAATTTTTGTATACGCTATTATAAAGTATTCACCCGAGGTTCAGTAGTGTTCAGTAGTGTTTAGAGGTTTATACGTTACTACCAGTGTAACGTGATGTAGCCTTTCCATTCGCCCACTCCCCCTAATGCTTTAACCTCATTCTTCCCTAACACTCTCTAAAGGAAAACCTCTGTCGTAATCATCACATACTCTGACTCCTTCACACTCGTTACTTCTCCTGAAATGACATCAAGTAGGTTTTTACATCACTCCACGTTGTGTTCTTCTGGGGGTTTGCATACCACATCATCCAACGCATCCAGAAGACCGATGAATTCAAGGAAGTGCAAAGCTAAATTCCCCATGAAAGTTGTGTCATGAACGTAAAGATGCGTTTCTCAGAACACAGGAAACCCTAGCAGATTGATTCTCGATGATTCTCCTAACAGTTCGATTTGCTTTGATAGTGGGGGTACAATGACTGCCGTCTCTAGATGAATCTTTGATCGCGGTGATTGAGGTGCTTCCCATGAGTTCACATGGACCCAGCTACTACATATAGCCTTCCGCGGTCGAACGCTTCCCTCCACCTACCGTAGTTTATCTCCATCATGTTCTGAAGTGGATCTTGTACGCTCTAATACACTTAGCCAGCAAACCATGATCATAATTAAATTTTTTGAATAGAACGGATAAGAAAAGGATTAGTTTTAGAACTCTATACCTTTAGATACTTCAAAAGCTCATATGGCCTTGTTTAATGGAAGTATCTTAGTTCCAGTATTGTATCTGAGAAACTGTGAATCATGACAGACTGCTAGATAGCTCGAATGGTTGTATGGACCAAGTATTATAAGTGTCGGAAAATTGGATGCCTTCTTTCCAAATTCTTTAGGCCGACTCTAAACCCGAAGAAGTTTCCGCCCATTGCTTTCTACCTTTGAGTTATATAATCATTCTTCAAAACAAGAAGAAATCTTTCTTGCCCCTCTCTCAGCCCCTTGACTCACGCTGTTACTTTGACTGCCTACTAATGCTTCTCCTTCTAACCCCGCCAACCATCTCAATACTGTCACCCAAGCCCTCACCATCCCTCCAACTACCACCCCTCTTCCTCTGTCTCTCACTCTGCCCGTTGATCCCTGGTCCCTCTCCTCTTTCCGCCCTTCCCTCATCACTATCATCATCGTCTACCTTCCCAACCAGAACCCTCTCACTTATTCTGCCCGTGTTTTCGTTTGTCTCTTCAGTTCCATGTTCACCAGCATCTACATCTGTGACTTCAACGTCAACATCCTCTCCATAATTCCCACCCACACTGATCATCGTAAAAGGACTGGCCGTCGGGCCGTCAAGCAACCTCAACTCCTCCTCCTTGAACCATTTCGGCAGCAACCACGTCCTAATCGGCACCAACACAAAAATAAATACCGGGAATCCAACCGCAGCAATAGTTTGCGTAATTGCAAAGGTAGCCGCGAAACCCAAGAGTTGGATACCTAGAAACCACCAAATAGCTTTCCTCCTTTCAATCCTCTTGAGTGGTTCCGAGTTCGGAGTCAAACTCTTATCTTTGCACAAAAAGAGTATCTTGGTCGTGATGCCGTTTCCTTCCAAAGCTTGAACACCCATAACGAAGAAGAGACCCGCGAGAACACCTTGTGGGATAAGGTGAATTACTATTAAAAGAGGACCTGACATGGTTCCGAGGGTCAAAAGCCCTTGTACGAGATTGGAGAATCGTTGTTCGACGACATGAGAGACTCTGGTGACGACATGGCCTTTGTTGGCACCTTCCTCGTCGGGATCTGTGATGACTTCTGTTACGCAAAGAGAGTCGGTGTGGAAGGGGGCTTGAGGAATGAGTCCGTTGGGAGCAGGAATTCCAAGTAGACCTGCAATCCCGGTCGTGAGGCCGAGGAGGAAGATATCCCAGTGAAAGCCGGCGGGTTTGCGGAGGGGAAATTCTGTGCCTTGAGCCATAAGGGACGACACTGTTACCGGAGTTAGATTAACGGTATCTGAGTAAAGAGGTGTAGGGCCATACCATTGTGATCGAAATAGAATAGAATTGTGAGTAGGAGGGCGAATGGAATGGCAATAAACACATCTGATACTCTTATATCCCAGAAATGTACGAACCATCCTCTGTCAGTTGTAGGAAAGAATGCTTTGCTGGTTGGTAGTGTCTCCAAAGGTATATTGGCCATTCGACCCATATGGACAAACCCTGTAAAGAAAACGACGGTAAGTGGTGTTCCATAGTCCTTAATGAAAGTTCTGATGTAATGCTGGAAGAGAGGACTCGTGCCAATTAGGCCGCAAAGGTACCCAACAGCCAAAACCAACAGAGCTACTATGATGGAAAGATAGAACCCTTCGCCAGATGCTTGTCGAGTGAGTACCTCGATTCCCTTTTGAAGATAGATAAACGCAACGTAGAATCCAAATATATCGCAAGAAAATCTCGTGACATATTTCAATGCGTTACAAGCGTTGGTGAAAGCGAGAATCCAGTGCATAGCTAGAGACCACCTAGAAGTGTCAGCAGGATAGATTTATGCCGGTTATTTTAACATACAATCCGACTAAAGCCATGAAAGCAAAGTAGTTAGTTCCGGTAGGTGTCATGATGTCGTAGACCGTACTGTAGTCTTATCAGCTTGCATATCCGTGATGATCGTGTATGGGAAGGAAAATCTACTAATTGAAGACCGTGATAGGACCAGTAACTCCTACAATAACCAATGGCTGTGCTGCAAAGATAGCAAACACCACGGATCCGAGGACAGAAGCGAGCAGCACCTCATTCACACCATAGCTCATATTCGTTTTTGTGAACCTACTCAAGGTTAATGGCTGTTTTCTGTTCATACTGCATGGGTAGACTTACATATCTAATGAGAACGCCAGAGCCGGAAGAATGCTAAGCCAAATTCAGCATTATGATCCTAGTAAACCCGAAGCAACAAAATTTGATAGAGGCGCCACCTACTTTGCAAAGTACATGTAAACGGTCGCCGGAACAACTCTATAATCCCAAGCATCCGTCCAATCAGTCATGTAATACGGCGCTCTTCTCCGAACATCGTTAACCATCCCTCTAAATAACCTGACCTTCCACCATTTGGGCACATGCTTATTCCTCATCGTGGCATTTGTATTCAGCTGTCGCAAATCATGCTGCCCGCTCTCGGTGCTGGAATTCGAGTTGGATTGCGACTGCGATTGCGACGAGAGCATGTTGAGATGATGCCTCCATGACTTGCGGGCTGCAGTCTGCGGATTTGTGGAGGCGTGGAGAGAAGTGGGGATCGTGTAGGTGTTTGCGGAGGTGTTGGCCACCATCTTTGCTGGGAATTATTGGACTCGCGTTGCACTGAGACACATACTAAGTTTACAGCAATCAGCTTATGAAAAACAAAGGAAGCTTCCTGGGCACACCCGAATAGACGACGGCTGTAGAGGCGAGGTGTCGGGGAAGAAAAGAGACTCTAGATTGTACCTGAACCTTACAATTTATAGACGGTGAGGAAAACCCAAGAGAAAACTGACTAGGGAGAAGATATCATCCTTGACTTCAACAGGCTATTTTTGTCTCTACCAAGTCCAAGTACTCGTAGTGAAGAAAGCCCTCTCTGTTGGCGGTGACTCAATAATGCAAAGGAATGCATTGCAGTTATCGTGAATCGAAGTTTTTAATCACAGGCTTAGTGCTTGGCTTGGGCCTTAACCCCACTTCTCCAGGAAAATACCCAAGTGGAGCTGGTGGGGGTAAATTAGGGGCGCCAATCAAGCGAAAGCACATGTAAGTTGACCAAATTGATGATATATGTTATTAAAGATCATTCAATTATCAATATTATGATGGTGTATCATATCAGTGTCGTGGTATCATCATATATCAATCAGCCATCTCAGCGTCCAAGATAGCTCTTCTTGTTGCATCTTCCTCGACCCATTTCCCAATCCGAGCACCCACGTCACCAACCAAGCTTTCATATTGAGGGCCTGGGAAGAAAAGGCCGCAGTGAGCACCCACCTCGTCAACTCCCTCCATATACACTCTGACCCAACATTCATCCCTCTCGCCTCCATATTTAGGGGGAAGAATACAAAACTTCCTGTCCCGCATGGGCTTGTCATCAACAGCTAACGGTGTGGCCGGCGCTTTTCTCTCTGGGGCCTTCTCAGGATTTACTGTAGCCAATCTCTTCTGCTCTTCTTTCTCCTTCTTAAGGCGTTGCTTTTCTTCCGCCTTCTGCACTTTTTCTCGTTCTTGCCGAGCCTTTTTCTCGCGTTTCTCAACCAACTTGCGCCTATCCTTGATAGCACTCTCGCGGTCTTTGATTGCTTGCTGATAAACTTTGGTGACCCTCTTGAACTCCTTTTCTGCGATTTTGCGAGAATCTTTATCTGTGTAGAGGTCAAGGTTAATCGGCTCTGGCTCAATGGGAATATGGGGTATTGGGGGCAGAGGTGGTTCAAAGCCCTCTGATTTGACCTCCTGGACTGGACTATCTGAAACCTCGTTTGACGGAGCTACTGGCTCTTCCAAATCGTCATCTGGAATGGGCATAGAGTCGATATGTTGCATCTCAGTCAACTCGACAGAATTTTCTTGTACTCCTGAATTCTCACCCAGATTCTGTATTTGCGCCCTGATGGGGAACATATCAGGTGTTTCAACGTTTGCCTCGAGCGGCCGAGGCGTGACTGCTCCATCGCCGTGTTCCTCAACCAGAATGGTCGGTGCTTTCTGCGAAGAGTCATGCTCTATGGGGTTTAATCCTAGCCCGTTTAGCCCGTCTTTGAGATTTTGAAGAGTCTTTGCCTCGTCCTCCAGTACCTCAACAGAGGGTGTCGGGGATAACTTGGGGGGTTTCGGTCTTCCAGTGCTTGCAGTATAATAATTCACAAACCTCACACGCATGTTTTGTGAGCCAGTTTGACCCGGGCGTCTAGTTATGTCGTCCACGTCTTCCAATTTGCGAAGGTTTTCATAGCGAATTTTCAGACCAGTGTAATCTGCCATAACTCCGCCAAACTCGATGTGTGACATGAAATAATCCTTGGTAGCTCCAGTGAGGCCATCCGAGTGCTTGTTTATGAAGTGTAGCAAGCTGGAAATGCCTTTTCTCTCTGGCAGACGAACATCATTTGGAAAGGGAGCGTTGAAAAAGGGATCATTTGACGGTGCATTTACACCAGGTGAGGTGATACTTTGCACCAAGCTCATTTGAGAGCTCGAATATGATCCTGCTATTGAAGGCGTGTGGCCTTGGAACGATGAATTAATAGAAGCCTGACTACTCATTGATGGTGAGTTTGCGCCACTGGTGGAGGCAGGAGGAGATTTGGCAGCAGGTGGATCAGCAGGTCGAAACAAACTGCTTAGGCCTGCCCCTACTACTCCCGGATGCATACCCAAAAAGGGAGTATCAAAATTAATTGTACCTAGAAGCCTATGCCGAAGTGGTCTGCCATCGATAGGTGGGAATGGCCTCTGCAGAACAACTTCAGCACTCAAAATACCTCCCATACTATGGCCAAGTAGGACGACTTCCGTGGCATCATTCTCGTGTGGTTCCAGCCTTCAAGTTTGTTAGCTAGATATGCTCGAGGAAAGGTTAGGGCCTACCATTTAGAAAAGTCATCACTAGCAAAGTTGATGGCTCTTCTAGACTCATAGCGTGGGTAAATTTTCGTATGCACAATATGAGTTTCCGCCATTGTGATTGTGAGGAGGTTGTGAATATGTGCTGGAAAGCTTTGAAAACTAGTCTCATTTCCCATGAATCCATGAATGAATACTAGTAGTAATGTTCGACGTCCATCCCTCGTCGACTCCAAAGGTACCAGAGAGTGGGTAGAAGATGACCGGGGATCATGCGACCGCCATTGTTCAGATATCATTTTACTCCTTTTGGCGTCATTGGCATTATATGCAGGAGGGGTAGCGTGAAAGGGTTGAAGCTGGGACGTTCGAGGAGGGGGTGGAGGAGGAACAGAAGGAAATGATCCTCCCAATGCATTGAGCCGTTTCTCTTCCAATTGTGCGTGCGTCGCCATATGTTCCACCGAAGCTCGTGGATGGCCTGCCTTCTCTGCAAGCTGCGCTGGGGTTGCGTGGTTATGGAATTGGGACGGGTATGCCGACGACATTTCGTTTCGACGTTTCTCATCCAACTGTGCTTGTGTCGCCATATCTTCTAGCGGGTCTCTTCTTCCCTTTTCTGCTATCTGTGCTGGTGTTGCTGCAGTATACACCGAAGGTTGAGGAGCCTCAGCTTTCGCGCGAGCTTTCTCGTCTAACTGGGCCTGAGTAGCCATGGTTGCCTGGCTTCTGGCGTGAGATCGCAAGTGCCAAAGATGCTGAACTTGGATGTTTTGTTTGTCGCTTCGGAGCTGCAAGTATCATGGTGGCAGAGGGTGGTCAAACCGGTTGTGTAGATCATTAGCGGGGGGAAGAGATCAATAACAACCTTGGAAGCGTGGGCTCGCGTGGGGTCATGGCACTTTCGTTGGTGATTGGCAGCTTCAGCGGATCAGGTTCAGCTGCATTGAATGGCCCGGGCCCGGCGGGGGGGGGAACGGCGTTAGTGAAGTCAGATGAATCAAATTCTCGCCAACATCCTACGCTCATTACTAGTATCGTCTTTAGCAGTATCTTTGCTCAAGATCTGCCATCCTTTTCTCAGATAGCCTTCGTCATCGTCATGAATTGTTTCATCTTCGATTGTTTCATTTGCCAAGCGAAACATTCGTCATTTACGGGGGTTGAGACAGATCGTAAGGAAGAGTGGGGAGTTGGGAGATGATTATGGGGGAGGTAAACAGATTTCGAAAGCTCAGAAGAAACAGAAAACATAGTTGAGATCAGCCCGTACTGGAACGAGACATGTGAGATCTGGGCGTGCTGGAGGAATTGTAGCTGCATCCTATGGCCTTCAAGTCATTCGATCGTATTTGAATGAAGAATTAGCGAAGCTACGACTTACTGGTGAGCCTCCTATGATAGCTCGACGGGATCCAGAGTAAAACATCACTTAGCAGTGGGAGATTGGCTTGCAGTATTCGCTTTCTTGATTGTTTCTCGTAGATGGCTACGACTTTGCATCGTACCGAGTCTTAAAAGTACTGACGGGTAAAGTCGAAGTTGATTCAAGGAGGCTGCACCCGGACTTTGACGCCCTAATAGTACGAGTAATACCAAGTGCAACATGCAACGAGTAGGCCAAGTCTGTACAGAACTGAATCGCTGTACTTGTACACCTCCCAACAACTTCCAGACTTGACGATAGTAAAAGCAGCAAGATATGGCTTCTAGTAACTGAACATTTCAAAGCAGTAAAGAGAAATCTAAAGCTCAACCGGTGTTAGTGTAATGGATATTGCCAATTACCCCAATGGATTAAAATGAGTACGTAAATTTACCTACTCAAGTACACTGGATTATTTCAGAGAGAAAGAGCAACGAAGAGAAGGAGGGGAAGGATGAGGGATCGCGAGGGTCCACTTAAAACCCAAAAATAATTCTTTCCCAGGAACACCAACACAACACACAATACCCAACCGGGCTAACCAGCTCCAACCGACTTTTAATAATACCGAAGAACTTTCTTAAAAGTGCTCTCTCTGTTCTTACCATGTTACGGAGGTACTCGTACTGGCCAAACAGACCAATTCCTCCTTCCCTCAATCTGTTGGATGCGCGCACGGCAATCCATCGGACCCTTAAATGTTTCTAATGACGGCGCTGCAGCCGCTGTCATGGACGCAGATGCCAGACACACGCTAGAAAAGCGGCACTCGACAACCAATCCTGCTGTGTAAAGTTTTACTCGTGAGCAGTCAGTACTCCAGTAGTTGATTAAGAGCAGAACATCTACCCCGACAAGCAAAGCATACTCCAATTGCTCCCTCGCTTGTTTGGCATAGACTCGGTAGACCAATTGGATGATGTCAAAGACTCGGAAATTCCACCTGTTTGTTTACGAGTAGACAGACTTGTTTGGATGACTGCGAAATCCGTAGGATGAAAGTTACGAAGAGTCTGAGACTAAATTTACCGTCATCGCCGGTACCGGTACTCGCGATATTAGGTGATTTCAACAAGCAGCCGTTGGGAGGAGAGTATTGGGGAAAGGTGTGATTTTTAGCCGTACACAGCGTATTCGGCCAACTCCTGCTCGCAATCTCAAAATAGACCAACGACTTTCCAACGACTGCCCAGCTCAATTTCAAGAGAACAACAAGTCAGTGCTGCTTTGGCGAGTGTTCGCTCCCCCTGGGACCCCTGGGAAACTTTTATCGACGGGGATTTATACACGGACCTACCGATAGTGGTCCAGAGGCGGTCTGATTGGCCGTTGGTGTGGACCATTCGACCCACCTAGCCTTTTTCGCCCCTTAGCGAGATTGACTGACAAGGAGACTACAAGGAAGCTAAGGAGGCAGGCGAGGCAGGGACCAGCCCGTCCCACGAATCAAAGCTCAAGAGGGTACCCTGCCCGTACCCAATTTGCTCTGCCTCTCCCTTCAACACCACCTGGACCTGCTGCACCTGCTGCACCTGCTGCACCTCACGACCACCTGCAGTTCGCTCTCTCTCACCATGAGATGATTGCCCGTCTGCACCTCTCATCGCGTCAGATCGCCGAGTCCAACCGGCCAGCAGCGCTGTAGAAACAGCAGCACCCTCCATCGCGAACTCGCCATGAGGAACCAGCTACCTGACGGAATAGCTGTAGAGAACGTCCATCGCGGGCACACACGCAACGCTAAGCACTACCATAATCACAATCACAACCACAACCACGCGCGGAATCAGATACACAAACGCTTGGAGGGAGGAGGAACAGCTGTAGAGCAGGCCACTGCCGTCACGACCATCATCGCTACGGTATCTTATATCCAGCAAATCGATGTCGATGCCAATGGCAGCACCTATGCCACACAGCATATCTTGACCAATGCTCCTCCTGATGCCTCCGGCGCTGCACCGGCGACGACGACGTCAAGCTCCCCCAATGTAGCTTCCAGCTACAACTCTGGGCCATCATTAATATCCTCCAATGCCTCGGCGCCTGAATCACAGTCTTTACAAGCAGTTTCGAGCACATCACTGTTCTCGACATCCACTCCTTCAACATCCCCTTCAGTAACTTCGACGATACCCCCTATTGGCACCTTTGCCTCAACTTCTGTTTCTAATTCTACTACTTGTAAGTGAAATAGGACTTGTGAGGAATTGGCCTGATCAAATACTAATGGATCCTTAGCAACATTAATCTCGAGCTCTAGCAGTTCAGACTCAAGCACCCTGTCAAACTCGACCACTCTTTTGACGTCGTCCACTTCTTTTTCATCACCTTCATTCACATTCATTTCAACTTCTTCTTCTTCTTTGTCTTCTTCTCAAAATTCTTTTACATCATCCTCATCTTCTACAACTTCGATACCGTCTTCAACCTCGCTCAGTTCGTCCTCATCTGCGCAAACCACTTCAACTGCAGGGGGAGGATCCGGCGAAACCCCATCTGGAGCTTCTCCTTCGAGTACGGCAGGCGCCGATAGTTCATCATCCGGTTCTTCAGGGCCGCCTACGTCGGTAGTCGTAGGTTCTGTCATTGGTAGTGTTGCTGGATTTGCTTTTATCGTCTTGTTGATATTAGCGCTTGTCAAATGGAGGAAACGTAAGAACATGTTATCTTTGGGTAATGGTGGTAATGAGGGAGCCGGATCAACTGCACGGGAGCTACCTCCGACTCAGCCTGAACCGCCAACTGCAATGACACAGAGAAAGTCAATTGCATTTGCGGTACCATCTGCGTTGGCAGCCCTTACCGGAATTAGCAAACGAGCTTCCCAGAGAACTGACAGGACAGCTTCGTCGACGGCTGGAAGTGAACGCGGTTTCTATCGAGTGTCTGGAAGGAAACTACCTTCGGTGCTACAGACGGGTGGTGATGGTTATGGAGGGGGGATTCCCGAAACAAATACCATGAGCATGAGCGGATCATCCTTTTACCGGGACTCCACAGGCCATTATGGTGGGCCAGGTTCTAGTTTTGAACCCCCGGTACCCCCTGTTGGAATTGGAACAGATCGTGATAGCGGGGTACCTGTAATGCGACCAAGTCCCGCCCGTACGCCAGTTACAGAACATGGACCATTTGGCGTTTTGCCACCGCCACTACCTTCTCTAGAGCCGCCTCGACGACCTAGTCAGCCCGATGGACTCGGTCGATCGCATCCATCCCAAGATGGCTCACACGCTTCGAGATTTACCGAAGAAGTTTGATTGAAAGAAGTTTTTGCGTCTCGAGAAGCCGTCTGTGCCTCGGGCTCAGGGATTTCCGGATAGTTGTATTCATGATGATGAAATCTTCCTTCAGTTTCTGTAGATATCTTTTCGGAATTTCGAGCATTTTTGGGGCGAGAACCCCACTTGACTGGTCTTTGCTTTGGATACCAGTGCAACTTTGCACTTTTGAGTGGCGTGTAACTAGCGTCAATCTTCAAGGTCAGGGTTAGAGAGGCCCGATACGATTTGCTTTTTGATGTTGCTTCAGCGAGGTCCTCTTGTTGATATTTCGGTCATGATGTTATTTGGGGGGATGGCTTTTTGAGGCAAGGGGCGAATTTCCTCGCTTCGTCATCATTTGTAAATGGGGTGTTGGGGGCGAGGACTGCTGTTGGATTATAATAATTGTTTCGGCCCGTGTCGCTATGTATTATACCATACTAGTTCAGATGAGAGAGAGAGGGATTTGGTAGAGGATAAATTCTAATGCTGCCCATGATTCTTTTCGGCCAACTTACAAGTATTTACTTTCAAAACCATAGAGTGAAAATGAGGACTTGGGAGATCTATATATCAAGACTATAAATACAGGTACCCACCCACTCCGACTCCGACTCCGTCTTTCGTTCATCTGAAGAAGGGAGGAGGGGCCGGGCGTTAAATACCAGTAATATACCATGACGGACGCAGGTCACTGAAGATATCGTGGCTGTGCTCCGAAGATGAGTGCTGTGAGGAGAGAGATTTGTCATTCTGAGTAGGTGGGCGGATAACTTCATACCATTCTGAAACGACGATTTTGATCTTCCGGGACGAGATTGTACCGTTGAACCAGTCTGGTGGGGTTTGTCCTTTTTTCTTTACTATTCTCCTTCTGATTCTTTAAAGATGTTTTTCCGTCCCTTTTTTTTTTTTGCGGGGATGATGACGGATTGCATGGATTGTTGACTTGAGTTTAGTCTAGTTCGTGTGCTATATCCGATGGATATCTTTCGGTGTTTGGAGATAGTGGAGCGGTACTTGTAATCTTACTCATAGTGAAATACCGATACTTTTGGAAGTATGTAGTCTCGGTAGTTTGATTCAACCAGTTTTCATCTAGAAGAGTTCGGGGTTGTGGTTTTGAGTCTTTCGTACTTCGTACAGTACTGCAAGGTGTAGTAGTGCAGTATCTACTGTACGAGTAGTGTTGAAGCTTCAAAGAGTAAGTCTTACATACCTCGTTTGTAGGCGATCAGTAAGCATGTCATGACGAGGTGAGTACCGGTATAAATGATGTGATGATGTATTTCGGCCTTCTCCTAAAGGAGGAGGGGTGTGTTGTGTGGTGTCGCATCTGCCCTAAAAGTCGTACTGAGGAGATGCTGATTCGTGGGGTGGTGATGAACGAGAGGCGCAGTCCAAGTGCTGGTGTTGTCATATCCTGGTACGACTTCTCAACCGAAAAGGGTCGGCTCAAAGGGGTATTGTAGATACTCGACTCGTTGCTCTGTAAGCGTCAGCCATCTCTTTTGCTTCGAAGAACATTTACCGAGGTTCTTTGAAGTTTTAAGAAGCTCGAGGGCCTGGAGGATGCAGGCGCTTTGATGCCCTGTGGGCTGTACCTCCGTACTGTCGAGAAAAGATGGGGACGAGGTCATGGAGTGCAGCGAATCGAAACACTGCTCTCGCGCATCAATGACACGGCACCAAACGCGAGTTTACCTAGGGCCCAGAATGAGACACAAGGCACTCGTACTGTAAAGTTAGTGTACCAGTACAAGTACGGCTCCCAGGACAAGTCTCAACCATCAGTTCAAGCCATGGACTCATCCATCCACCTGAAGCCATCACCCGTCAGTCATCCCTTTTGAGTCTTGACAGGACTCAAGCTCTGCGGTAGGAATAGACATTCCTTGGAATCCTTTGGCCTTTGCTTGTCGTTGCTCTTGCCAGTGCTTGGCACCGTCGAGGTCTCGCTAAGGCCAGCAACATTGGCCTGGGGTTCGTTCAGGTGGTGGTCGAGGTGGTGAGGTGTTGTTCTAGATGCCTAGTGCCTTACCCACCTTAACTCCGTAGACCAGGTACTTCTAGAAGTAGATTTACTTGGTACTTCTAACAGTCAAGGAAGCACTCCTGAATTCAAAAAAAGACCCTTTTTTATAGACCTGTGAAGCAGACGCAGATAGACGCAGAAGCCGGCTGATTGATATTGGGCATTGCAACCTTATGTGACTCCGTACTGCGGTAGGTTGATACTCCGCAGCGACTCGCCCACCAGTTCCCCTTCCCCTCCATCCACCAGCATCCACACATCTCTATCGCCGCCACCACCCATCGCCTGCACATATCCACTAATGACCTGCAGCGACCGTACAACGCTGCCCTCCCTCCTCCCCATTCCATCTCATCCACCACTGAAGACCTCCGTACACAAACCACCCATCTCCATCCTTTGGTACTGTACTCCGTACTACCGCATCTACGTCCAGCCTCGAAGCCCCAAATAAGGCCCTGAAGGCACCCCTCTCGTCCCTGCATCCCCATCACCATCCCAATCGCGCCCCTGCACACATGCACTCCTGCCCCTGCCACAGACGCTGTTAGCTGTTACGGAATTTACAACACTCCGACTGATTGGGCTTCACCTCAGTGCCCCAGGAGTAAAGCTTGTCCAGAAGATTGAACTAGGATAACCAAATAACGAAAGGGCCCTCAATTCGAGGATTTCTAAGACGTACCTGAACACTTCATTCACGCGCCCCCGTATGAACATCTGGATTGCTACACGACGCTACTCAAAACGCCCCATCTCTAAAACCATTCAAGCATACCTCTGTTAAAGGACAAATACCAACTACATACAGCATACCACACCTCAATCCCTCCACTGATAGTGTTCTTCTACGACTCCCGACCAAACGGTCGAAGTGCTGGTCGCATTTCAGAAAGATGGATCCCCATACCAATGGCTATCAGATGCCGCAGATGCAACAACCCCTCATGAATCCGCCACCACAAATCTTTGGAGGATATAGCGCCGATGGCATACCCATGAATGGAAGCATGTCGGATCTGTCTGGGGCATTATTTGGGGATGGAACCTTGTTGGACGATAGTAATGAGGCAAAGAGGAGGAGGATCGCGAGGGTAGGATACTCTCGGATTTCACCAATATCGCCCTTCAGCTCTTGCTGACTTGCAAACAGGCTTGTGATATGTGTAGGAAGAAGAAGATCAAGTGCGACGGAAAGATGCCAGCATGCACCCACTGCATCAACTACAAGACGGAATGTGTCTTCACACAGGTTGAGAAGAAGAGGAACCCACCAAAAGGGTATGCACAGGCATGGGAATAGGATGGGATAAATTGCTAATGTTAGATTAGTGCGAAATATATCGAAGGTCTGGAGAATCGATTGGGAAGAATGGAGAGCTTGCTGAGGTTATCCGGTTCGTTCTGAAACACAATGTTTTCGCGCATTTGTAAGCATCCATATACTAACTTTTTTCAGGATTGTTGAAGGAGGATGACAATGGGCGAACGGATCTGGGTACATTGGAGAAACGACTTGCGGACCAACAAGCGCGGAGAGCCTCACAAGCACCAACCTCCGGTCCAACATCGCCCACGCATAGCTCTCCCGGACACGAACCAAATTCTACACCCACTCCACGGAGCACTCTTGCCTCACCTGAACCTTCAGGCCGAAATGGCGAGAAGCGCTATTCACACGTTACGGTGGAGGAGGAAGAGGAGAAGCAAGAAGGCGTGGAAGAACTCTCTGATATGATGTGCTCTTTGGTGACCAATAATTGTGGTGAAACTCGATATATTGGTAATGCTATCTGCTAAAACTGTTTTATTTTATTTTACAAGATATACTAATCAGACACTAGGTTCATCTTCTGGATTTTCCATTTTCTCTCCAAAAGGCATTCAATGGGTCAACGATAAAACTGGCGATTCTTCTTTCCAAGAAATGATATCCGCATCTTCCGTAGACGAAAACAAATACATGTACTGGAAGCCCGAAGTTTTCGGAGACCTCTTTCATCGTAGAGTATTCAGACCGCTCCCGCCAAAAAACGAATGTATTTCTTTGATGAAGGACTTTTTCGAAAATTTCAACTGCATGTTCCCACTTTTTCATCAGCCAACATTTATGCATCTTGTCGATAGGCAGTATTCGCGAGACCCATACGACGGATCTGGATGGTGGGCTAGTTTAAATGTTGCGCTTGCCATTTCGCATCGATTACGAGTTATGAGTAATTTGGTCCCGGCAGAGGAAGATGAAAAAGCTTGGGGATACATGAAAAACGCACTTGGGGTATTTACGGAACTCACAATGCGAAATACTGATCTTCTTAGCGTGCAAGCCCTTCTTGGAATGTCACTATTTATGCAGGGTACACCAAACCCACAGCCTTCATTTTTCTTGGTTGCGGCTGCGATACGCCTGTCGCATAGTATCGGACTTCACAAGAAAGGTTCTGGTTTCAATTTGAACCCAGTTGAAATTGAGCAGCGAAAACGAGTGTTCTGGATTGGTTACATGTTGGATAAAGATATTTGCCTCCGATCAGGTCGACCTACTGTGCAAGATGACGATGACATGAATGTCGAGCTACCGAGCGCGGACCCAGACGACAATATTGGCAATATCCCTCTGGCGGATGGAAAAGGAAAAGTGAACATATTCCGTCTTATGTGCGAATTTGCTACTATCGAGAGTAAAGTATACAAACATCTATACTCAACAAAGGCGGCAAAACAAACGGACGGCGAGCTTCTTAATACTATCGGAGAACTCGACCGACAGTTGGAGGAGTGGAAGGATAATATTCCTGTCGACTTCCGCCCAGAACACGAAATCAAGGCTTCCCATACGCCATTAATATTACATATTGTTGTCCTTCATTTCACTTACTACAATTGTCTGACAACAATTCATCGTATGTCCGTTCATCACGGCTACTGGACCAGCCGATTATCAAATTACGCCATTCAAGGGTTGAATGCTAAACCGCTCAATCCTCGTGTATTTTCGTCAGCCGCTCTTTGTGTTTCTGCAGCCCGTGCTTCGATACATCTGATCAAATATGTCCCTCAAGGGGATTTTGCTTGCGTTTGGTGAGTTTTGTATTTGCGCACAGTCGTAATCAATAGCTAATATATAACAGGCTCATTCTTTACTTCCCCGTATCGGCGCTTGTAACATTATTCGGTAACATTTTACAAAACCCACAAGATCCTCGAGCTCGTGCAGACGTTCGACTGATGGGTCTTGTGGTCCAATTTTTATCCATGTTGGGTTCGGAAGAAGAGAATGGTGGTGTGAAGCGTATGCTGGGTGTTTGTACTGAATTCGAAAGAATCGCCAAGGCGGTTTTGGATAAGGCAGAAAAAGAGAGTTCTTCAAGAAGAAAACGCAAGAGTGATGGCGATCATTTGGGCAAAACAAAACAGGCACCTCCACAACCCATGCCACACCCCGGGCATCCACCAAATATCGCGGGTGTTTTCTCTCCAGCCATGTCTCAACAGAGCATTCAACAAAACGGCTTCACAGGTACTCCGATGGCCAACCACGCTTCCCCTCCACCACCATTAGATTATCAGCAAGAATTCGGAAACTTTGGACAGGATTTCGCAACTCCGAATGCTGGAATGACTGCTTTCCCTGGAGATATGGGATATACCACAAATGGTGGTCAAATTGGTTCTCCACTCGACATGAACTCTTTCCAACAACCATTCGTACCTCAAGATATGTGGCAGATGCCTATGACTTTGGAGTGGGATTGGGCAGAAATGGCAGGTGGTGCCTATCCTAGCTTCGAGAACGGAATTGTAGGCGATCCAGGACTGCACAATTCTAATAATCAGCACCTACAACATCAACCGATGTAACATGTACGTTGAGAAAAGCCAAGTCTGAGGGAAGGGAATAGGGATGCATAGACTGGGAGTTCTGCTTTTCCTTTTAATCATGGATGCTTTATGAGTTTTGATATGGGAATGCTTTTTGGCTTTTGGGATTCATGAATTTTGCGACGGCGTTGCTGAGAAGCGATTTTTTCTGATCAAGAGCATTTAAGCGTGAGCCTTAGTGGGCTTACTATGTATTCACTCCTCTTCAGCGGCGTCTCTTGGGATTTTAAAGGGAAGGGAATTTAAGATTGACGGCTGGACTGGCTGAACTTTGCGTTACGTGGACAGATCAATACCTCTAATTGTTATTATAGCAGCAGTAATACACGTTGTAGAGAAGCAAAACCCTGACAAGGCGTATCTATGTGAATACCTGTGTGACCTTTATTGTTAGTAGTGAGCATCAACAAGAACCTTGTACAAAAATTGGACCTCGGAGTTAAATCACGTGTGTAAGGCAAAAAGAAAGCTCTCGAAAGAATCGCAGTGCTTCGTAAGGGTCATGGGTGTTAGCTTCAGATCAAAGTCCGACGACAGCCCATCACCACCTCCCAATGAAATAACACCGGAATAAAGGTCACTGGAAAACCGCCTCACGACACATTACAGTGACTTCGTCGCCCCCGATCTCCTGAAGGTTCGTCCTTCTCAGCCCAAGGATGAGCTCGATATTACGGCAGTCGAGCGGTTCTCTGGCACGAATCTCGAGATCAACCTATCCATTCGCCGTGGTCTGTCGCACCGCCACCCAAAGCAGTTTCTTCAGAGCTGCGCAAGCTTCGAGGATATCAGTCAGCCAGACGAGAGCGTATACGAATCCCCCGCCGAGGAAATCCAAAGACAATGGCGCAGCGAAGAAGGGAAATGGAGAAAAGACGGACCCGCAAGCTGCGGCTGGGACGGGACATTTAGGTCATGACAAACCATCTCCGTCAAAACCAGCAGAAGATGGCAAGTCTACGGATGAGACCAAGGCAAAATCCGCAGAGGAGGCTCCTTTAGAACCGGGAATGGTTAGGATGGGACCGGAGGAAGAGAAGCTGATGGCAGCCCAGTTCACGAAGCTGAAGGCCGGATTGCCACAATCCTCGGTGGAGATTGTCGACCGGGCGTTTGAGCTAATGAAGCAAAAAGGGATTCCCAAGGAGATCGTGGACTTGTTAAGGGAACACGGTAACGGGAAGACTTTCTCGATGGTGGCGATGGGCAAGTTGTTTAAATTGTCGGTGAAACTAGTCGGTTCAATTGTGAACCAGTTAAGTGAAGAGGAACTTAATAAAGAAAACAAGGAGTGGCAGGAGAAGAAGAGGATCCTGTCAGATTTCGAGAGCAATGAAACGAAGTCGAAAGAGAGTGGTGGTGGTGCGGGGTCTCCGCCACCGGGTGGAAAGAAGAGCAACAAGAGCAAGCAAGTTCCACCAGGATTTAAAGTCCAAGAGTTCAAATTTGATATGAGTACGCTTTTACTGTCGGGTTTCACATCCTGGCTCTTGTGGAAAATGGTTATGCCTGGCGAGCAGGGGCGGGATATCACGTACCAGGAATTCAAAAGCACCTTTTTCGATAAGGGATTAGTTGAAAAACTTACAGTTGTCAACCGGGATCGAGTCAGGGTTGGATTACACAGAGAAGCTGCACAGTCAATGTACCCAGACTCACCAGCCGCAAACCCAAATTTCCATTACTACTTTTCCATAGGCTCTGTTGAGGCTTTTGAGAAGCGATTAGAAGATGCTCAGAATGAATTGGGAATTCCAAGTTCGGAACGCATACCAATTAGCTATACCAGGGATACAGATTCCTTCTCACTTCTTATCAACTTTGGGCCTACACTTCTATTCTTGGGTGCCATATACTTCATGACAAGAAGGGCTGGAGGCGGTGGGGGATCAAGTGGTGTTTTCGGAATGGGAAAAAGTCGTGCTAGGCAATTCAACCACGAAACTGATATCAAGGTAAAGTTCAAGGATGTCGCGGGTATGGACGAAGCCAAGTTGGAGATTATGGAATTCGTCTCATTTCTCAAGACACCTGAGCAATTCGAACGACTGGGTGCCAAGATTCCTCGAGGAGCCATTCTTTCTGGTCCACCCGGTACTGGTAAAACTTTGTTAGCAAAGGCCACAGCTGGAGAATCAGGCGTGCCTTTCTTTAGTGTCAGTGGTTCCGAGTTTGTAGAGATGTTTGTTGGTGTGGGTGCTTCCAGAGTTCGGGATCTCTTCTCTCTGGCAAGAAAAAATACGCCTTGTATTATCTTCATTGATGAAATTGACGCAATTGGAAAAGCTCGTGGAAAAGCTGGTTCTTTCAATGGTGGAAATGATGAACGAGAGGCGACTCTCAATCAGATTTTGACCGAGATGGACGGTTTCAATACGTCTGAACAGGTTGTGGTTCTTGCTGGTACCAATCGATCGGATGTTCTCGACCAGGCCTTGACAAGACCTGGACGTTTTGATAGACAAATTGCCATTGACCGACCTACGATGGAAGGTAGAAAACAGATTTTCTTGGTTCATCTGAAGAAAATCGTTACCTTCGAGGACCTGGATTTCTTGACTGGTCGTCTTTCTGCTCTTACTCCTGGATTCTCAGGTGCAGACATCGCCAACTGTTGTAACGAGGCAGCATTAATTGGTACGTCGTTGATTTCCTTTTCTGAAACTCGTTTTGCTAATATTCCACAGCCGCACGCACAGAATCCAAGTCAGTAGCGATGATCCATTTTGAGCAAGCTATTGAGCGAGTAGTTGGAGGTTTGGAGAGGAAAACTCTCATCCTCAATCCTGAAGAGAAGCGAACGGTCGCCTATCACGAAGCAGGTCACGCCATCTGTGGTTGGTACCTGAAACATGCCGACCCTCTCCTCAAGGTCTCTATCGTTCCTCGTGGCCAAGGGACTCTTGGATATGCACAATACCTCCCTGCAGGCGACTCCTACCTCATGACCACCAATCAACTCATGGATAGAATGGCCATGGCACTCGGTGGCCGTATCTCTGAAGAACTTCATTTCGATACCGTCACCTCGGGTGCTTCGGACGATTTCAACAAAGTCACACGCATGGCCACAGCCATGGTGACCAAGTGGGGAATGTCCAAGAAAGTCGGGACTCTCCATTTCCAGGATAGCGATGACAGATTCAACAAGCCCTTTGCGGAGTCGACGGCACAGGCGATTGATAGCGAAGTGCGTCGCATCGTGGACGAGGCATATACCAAATGTAAAGACCTACTCACGGAGAAGAAGGCGGAGATTGGTATCGTAGCCGAGGAACTTCTCAGCAAGGAGGTTCTCGGACGCGAGGATATGGTGAGACTGCTTGGCCAACGACCGTTTGAGGAGAACAAGGACTTTGTCAAGTATTTTAATAATGCTGGGCCGAAGAGTGCACCGCCTCCACCGCCTACCGAGATGACCGGCCATGGACCGGAAAAACCTCTTCCTATCTGATATGAGTTTCTGGGTTTGGGGTTCGGTTTGTGAATGGGCTTTTTTTCTCTCTCTCTCTTCGGGGGAGTGGTGGGAGGATGGGGCATTGTATGTAGATATGATATGGAATGATGTGGTGGGTGGCTCATAGATCTTGATGGGGGAAGGGAAGGAAGGGGTGAAATCACCTATTGTGTGTTGGGCGAGAGGGAGATGGATGAGGAAGGGACAATGTGCATTTAGCTTGTATTCTAAGTTTATATTTTCTTCTTTTCTTCTCGCAGCTTTTTATGGGGTCCTGATGCTACAGCAAGGAAGAAGAGAAGAGAAGAGAAAAGAAAAGAAAAGAAAAGAAAAGAAAAGAGAAGAAAAGAAAATGATTCCCCTCCTTTTTGCTGTACCCACTCTCTCCTCTCCTTTTTCCCCTCTATTTATTGAGACTTCACCCAGGTGGGGGCCCTTACGCGGGTGGCTAAATCTTCACTTTTTGTAAAGGTACTTTTTATGGTTGTAAGGAAATATGGAATGGAATGAAATATTGGGAAAATGGAAGTGAGAGAGATGGCTTGGATTTGATTGGAGAGGTTATATACTGTTTGTCTGTATGTAGCTGGGGGGTAGAGGAGATGGGATTGTATTCGTTAAGGGATTTCAAGGATCAGGAAATGTTGGTGGTTTGTCTAAAGGAGAAGGGGGGGTTTAGCTTGTGCGATTAGTTGATTTGATTTGATTTGACTCTTTTTGGTTTGGGGGGTTTTTGCCACTCACTGACTACTGTGTTGGTTGATTTGACGATGAAATAGATTGTTTGAGTGATTGGTTGCGTTGAATTCCGAATCAATCGATAGCTTTGGCTCTTTGGTGAGTTAGTTGGTTGGTCTTGATCGTAGTGTATTGTATGTTCGTAAGTCTTGCATAGATAGTAGAAAGCCGTAAATTAACTTATTTTTATTCTGGAGATTGGAATAGAGTTACGCTATCGGGATTATCTATACGTTCGTCTTTCGAATATGTTGGTTGTTGGTTCTTGTTTGGCCAATGGCTTATGTCTTGGATAGTAAGACTTACTATTACTTAGACATAAAGTGGTTCTAGATAGATACTACATCCTGGTAATTTTTGTGATTTTGAGACGAGGATAAGTCCTGTTTACACTTATTTACAAGTTGCTTATATTACACTTGCTAGACTTGTAAACTATATTAATTTACATTTATAACTCTAGACGGGATCTTGGATGAGAAAGCAGGAAATATAAACTCGACTTGCTCGATAAGTAGAGTATTTTTGTTCTTTCCTCTCTTTGAGCAGAGCAGAGCATGGTAATGGTAATGTTTAGGATCAACTACTTTCTAAAGTATGAACTTCAGATTTACTAGCAATAACGGAGAGACGTTGCTCTTGAAGTCTTGTAGAGCACGTCGCCGGTATCAGTTGGGTTTGTTAAGTCAAGTCTAGACGTTCGGGTAATCGAATCCAGAATACCGAGCGTGAGTACTCTCATTCCAGGTACTTTCTTACAAAAAGAAAGAAAAGCAAAGGAAATCTCGTGTTCACTTTAGTCGCTCCTGCCCTCCTACCGCGCATAGTCCTAGAATTCGAGTTACAACTCATGAGACTCAAGCCAGAACCACAACCCAACCCCCCAAAAGTCCAACCACAATCCCAATATATCCCAACACCAAACCCCAAGAAACAAAAGGCAAGGGGTAAAAAATAAACGACAAACGACAAGCTAATCTAGCCTAACGCGGGGATCGAACCCGCAGCCTTGTGATTTTTCTTCTTCTCCAACAACCTCATATCTTTTCAAACAGAGGGAAGCATCAGAATAAGAGTCACACGCTCTACCGATTGAGCTAGCCGGGCCTAGTCCTAGTTTTTAGTTAACCAGGTGGAGTGTTCTTTTGTCGTCGTGCGTTGTGATTGGTTGAGTGAAAGTTTTCTTATTTGTGACCTTATCCGGTGTTGTGAGATTTGTGGGATGGGATGGCGAGGATTTACCGGAGTGGGGTTGTGGGTTTGGGTTTGGTATTGGCAAGAGGCAGGTAGAGTAAGGGTGTCTGGACTTAGAATGGGATTTGGGCGAAGTGGGGATTTGTGGTTGAGATGTTTAGTAGATGCTACTTGGAGGGAAGCGAGATGTGTAAGATTATGTGTGTGGCGTGAGTGGCATTTGTCTTACTTAGATGTCATTCGATACGTTGAAAATATTTCCTTTCGAAGAATACAATACTCTAATTTATATTATAGATTACTTTAAATTCTATAATAGATCTTTTATTTACGAGTACTTCTTTTTCTATGTAAGATGTATGTAAGGAGACTTCGGAAGTCTTAAGAGTAACTTGCTATAGACAAAATTACAGGGTATTTCTATCTTGTTCTTTGATACTACGTATTTTACCTGATACATTAAATTTCTTGTTTAACAAATTCAGAGCCAGTTTCAAATTCTCGTCGCTTCTATCCGTAGCATCAAATAATGCATCATTGGGTAATAGGTAACGACACTGCTCTCTAGTGTAAACAAGCGCCTCATTAACATCAGCGCTGGGATCTGAGCCAGCAGCAATGATAGAAGCAACATGTCCTTCTATGACAGCTTGCTCCTGCACCAAGTTATTAGGCTCATCATTCGAAACCCTCCCAAATTGTTTCCAAACCGATCCTCTGGCAGCAATATACGATCGACTTTCGATGGCCTTTTTAATTCCATAGAACCCAGCAAAGGGCCAAGCTGTTCGCCAAAAGGAAGTAGCCGCTTTCTCTGCCTTCTCCGCTTCCACGTCGACTTTGACTTTTTCATATACATTGGGAAGGGGGGTAGCATTGTACTTCGCTCGAAGTTTCTCGTACCAACTTCGGTCGAAGAGCTCCCAGAATTCATTTTCGGTGTAATATGTATGTGCATAGAACCACTTCATACCACCAAGCTCTTTCAATTTCCGTTCCAGATCCCGATTCTTCCGCACAAACTCCTCGTGGTTTTCAGGTCCTGTGCCCCACAGTCCAATGTTGAGCATCTGTTGTAGAGTCTTGCCGTCTTTTTCGGTGGCGGCATAGTGCGGGTGCATCGTCGGAAGAGGGTTCTGCTTCAATGGACACAGCCATAGAGGATAAATGCCAAAAGTCTCATCGGTGTAGTCCACAAACTTTTCTGCTGTGGAATATGGGAGAGCTAAATCTTGAACAACGTATTTCTTGGATTGCCCACTGGCGTGTAATGCCGAATACATCATCCGTGTATGTATAAAATCGTCGAGGAACCATCTTGTAAAGCGATTGAAGGGAAATTTGAAGTATTCAAATGCCGAAGCTCCAACCCAGAAGCCTCCGCGATCGTAACGAAAGAGATACTCGGCTAGAGGGATTGCTTCAGTGACAGGCTTGTTATTCTTGATTTGGTCCTTCACATGTAGGTAAAACCAAGGATCCCAAGCACCACTAAAACGCTGGACTTTGAGCCCGTATTTCTCGTCCGTCAGACGGCCTGTGATTATTGCCCCATGTGTCTTGGAATACATGATACCATCAACGTAATCAAGACCAGGGCTGCTTGTTGCCTCTTTGAGCTTCTTGGTCGCTTCTGTCATGCTAGAAACCGGATGGTATGTGGTTTCCACATATTTCTTAGCATCGTGAAGTTGTAGCTCGACCAGAGTTGTGACCCCAAATGTCCCTACAGCGCCTGCTGCCCCATTGAACAGGTCAGACTTCTCCGTGGGCGACAAATTGGTCACTTTCCCATCCGCCAGTACCATCTCAACACGATTTATTGTTCGATCGAAAAAGCCATGCTTGAAAGACGAACTTTCGCCAGAGGTGCCCGAGTATCCGCCTCCAACTGTGATGCCGGGGAATTCCATAACGACGGGAGGGACAAGTCCATGCTTCAAGGTAGCTTCCACCAGACGGTCCATTGGGACGTTGGGCTGTACGAGACATGTTTTTCTCTTTATATCCACCTCCAAAACGTTCGAGAGGTTGCTCGTATCTACAAGGTTCCGCTTGAGAGTTGATCTTGTACTGTTGGTTGAGCCGTGGAAGATGCGGAATTTCTCGCCTTTTTCAAAGAATCCTCTGACACTCTGGGCTATCTTTTCGACTGCTTTCTCGTGCAGCTCCAGGGAGCTTCGTCTTCGTGCGGTGGTCGAGAAGCATCGTGTGGCGCGTGAATCAGACTCGTATATCGCTCGAGGCCTCGAGGCAGAGTTGGGAAGTGGGGGCGTTTGAAGGAAGGTTGAGGCGCATCGTTGTTGACTATGTATTCTCACGCAGGCCACAAATAGTTGATGGTGGCGACATCTTTGCCCTTTGGCAGCAAATGCTGTCAAAGGAGGCCTCATCGTCGATGGTTCGCTGTTGGACCTGGAGGTCTTTTCTGGAAAGCGCCAGGTATTTTTTCCGCTGCCACCTTAAGCTAGAACGCGATACGATCGCGAAGTCACGTTTTAGAGAGGTCAACTCGAAGACTTCTAATTACAGTATCAGTTCACAACCAGAACAGTCGCACCTCAATTATACAATCGCATCTCCCTTTTAGTCGTGCCGGGTATGAACAAAACCGATTCAACATATGAAGAGCGCCAGGAATGGAGACAGCGATGCATTCTCTCAAATGACAGCTTTATGATGGGTCTCCCCAAAATCGAACTCCATGTGCATATCGAAGGAACCATGTCTGCAGATCTCAGGTGGAGGCTTTCCGTAAGGAATGGTATTAGCCTCACAGCGGGGTCAGATAAAACGCCACTCTCATCGCTAGAGGAAGTCAGAGAAGCTTACAAACACATCCGAGGGAGAATTGGCGCTGCAGCAGCCGATGCAAAGACCAATATGACATTCTATGAGGCCTACTATGGTGGTTTTGACCTTCTACAGACCGAAGGAGACTACTACGATTTAGCTATGGGCTACTTTGAGCGGGCTAGCCAGATGCAAGTGAGGTATTGCGAACCTTTTTTTGATCCCCAAGGTCATACAAGACGAGGGATACCATCGGATGTTATGATGAGAGGCTTCAAGAGAGCTCAAGATGAAGCAGAAAGCAGACTCAAGGCAAGAACCATGGTTCCTAATTTTTAATACGAACCCAACTAATCCACGATAGATCAAATCCCAGTGGATTATGTGCATACTTCGCGATTTATCACCAGAATCTGCGATGGCTCAGTATGAAGCAATGTTACTATATAAGTCTATGGTGGTAGGTATAGGTCTGGATTCCGATGAGTTTCAGCAGCCGCCTTCCCTCTTCCAGGCCGTCTTTAAGCGTGCTCGTGCGGATGGCTTCAAGCTCACAACTCACTGCGACTTCAACCAAAAGAATACCCATGAACACATCCTCCAGGTTGCCAAAAGTCTAGGAGGCAACGGAGCAGAACGCATTGATCATGGCATGAACGCTGCAGACCATCCGGAACTCATGCAGATTATTAGAGAAAAGGGAATAGGCATGACGATATGCCCTTGTGCTTATATTCGACATACTTCTGAGTACGAGGTATTTCCTCGCATACGGAAGCTGTTCGATGCAGGCATTCAAGTCACGATTGCAAGTGATGATTCAGCGTATATGGAAGACAATTGGATCTTCCATAATCTATATTTGGTTCGTGAAAAGTGCGAATTCACAAATGGAGATTTGATATCCCTTCAGAGAAATGCTGTGTCTATTTGCTGGACTGACAGAGAAACAAAGATCGCAATACTAGATGAGCTTGCAACTTTTGAAAAGAATGGTTATTCTTCATAATGTTTTTTTAATATTCGTAAGTTGCAAGTCATTGGGCTGCGAAGTCCCTACTAAAGTGAATTGCAATTTCCACTTCTTGATATTTATTGCGGCCAGTTCATCCATTCAGTTGCTTGTTTAGTTGAATTGTGCGAATCAATTAGGACAATCATGTTTTGTAGCTTTTCATCAGCCCAGGTACTTCAAACTTTTCTTCAATTGTTCCACGAAATCTGGCACAGCATTTCCTCATAGATGTTCGCGGACCAATGTCCGAGTCTACAGACTTATCATGGCGGTGTCACCCCGCCATAGTGGATCGAATGCCGGGCAAGCAGGAGCCCGTTGAATGTTGTGTCTCGGCGTAAAGTGGGATTTACACCCGAACCTTGTGATTGGCCAGAGCGGTAGGAACCTTATCTTCCATATAAACATCAATTTTAATATCAACCCATGATATCCATTGATTCCAGAGGCGTCGTTCATTCGTTTTCATCGCGCAAGTACGGAATAAGCAAAGATGGCGAACGAAAGTTCAACTGTCGGTGAGGAAGAGCTTCAAGCTGTTAGCCCCTATACCGCGGCACTTGCTAAGCGTGTTATTCGCAAGATTGATATGCGACTCTTGCTTATAATGTTCATTACTTGCAAGTAAGTGTCTTTGGAGTTAATTCTTTTCCGTTTCGGGTTCTTTTTGCATGTTTGGAATATCATTTTATTCTAAAAAGTGACAACTATAATCGACAATGCTGACTCCTCCACAGCTTGAATTTTATGGACAAAACGGTTCGTACTCACTGCCTTTTACGAGTCTATTCGAGTTCAAGGATTTGAAACAAAAATTTGCATGTGGACTTTTGAGTGATTGTTTGTGTTGTGATGCGATGCCATCTTACAACAAGATTCTAATGGTGTGATTTCGACAGATATTATCTTCTGCTGCGGTATTTGGGTTGACCGAAGATAATAAGCTGGTTGGCACTCAATATTCTTGGGTCTCTTCCATCTTTTATTTCGGATACCTGCTCTACGAATACCCGACAACGATCTTAATTCAACGATTACCAGTTTCAAAATATCTCACCGTTATTACATTCATATGGGGAGCTGTTGTCGCAACTACAGCTGCTTGCACCAGCTTTGGTGGGTTGGCTACTTGCCGCTTCTTACTTGGTGTTGTGGTAAATGTCCTTTGATACTCCATCTAGAGAATATCACTCATCCTTGTGTCATTAGGAGTCAACAATCTCGCCAGCATTTGTGTATATCACCAGCATGTGGTACACCCGAGATGAGATACCATCGCGTACTGGAGTCTGGTAAATCCACTTTCTCTTCGTAATTAACTCAACGCAAATACTGATCAGATCAGGTTTGCTGGTAATTCTACTGGGGGCTTTGTTGCTTCATTACTAGCCTATGGCATTGGGCAGATATCGCACCCACTCCACCCCTGGCAATGGATGTTTATTGTTAGTATTCGATGCTCTGATTCAAAAGAAATGTGATTACTGATCGTAAAAGATATTTGGCTTCATCACCAGTCTGTGGGCATTTGCTGTTTTCTTCTTCCTTCCTGATTCAATTAACGACGCCAAATTCTTGACGGAGGAGGAAAAACAGTATGCAGAAGACCGCGTAGTGATGGGAGGGACCGGAAGAACAGATACCACTAAATGTGAGTGGAAGAAAGACCAAGTTATCGAATGTCTCCTGGACCCCAAGACGTACTTCTTTGCTTGCATATCTGTTTTGACACAAGTGCGTATCCACCCAAGTATTTTTATACCAGTGTTACAGCTAATAAACAATCAGATTCCTAATGGTGGTACTGGAAGCTTCGGAAACTTGGCTTTAAAGAGTTTCGGCTTCACCAGTCTAGAGAGTACACTGGTGACTTTACCATCTTCGGTCATTGCGATGTCAACCATCCTTGTGACAGGGTGGCTAGCCGGCCGATTCAAAAATATGACTACCTTTCTGATTATCGCCGTTGTCATTCCCCCAGTCGTTGGGAGTGCCATCATCTTTTCCGTTGAGGCTAGGGGCTTGCGACTCTTTGCTTATTATTGTGTAAGGACAATCTAACATTTCATGTTTGATTCAACTTATTGACTACGTAAACAGCTTCAGACCGGCCCAGGTGCTCTCCCTCTTACCCTTGGCTTGATCTCTTCAAACTACAAAGGAGTTACGAAGAAAATGACAATTACGGCTATACTGTTTTTGACGTACTGCGCGGGAAATATTGCAGGGCCACAAACATTCAAAACTTCCGAGAAAAGCAGGTATGTTGAGTTGTTCTTTTTCAAACTACTGGTGCCAAGCTGACATTCTTTGAGGGGATACCCCACCGCCTTCAAGGCAATTACAACATGCTACGGATTAGTGGTTCTCGTTTCTCTAGGTTTACGAATGTATTTGACCTTCGTCAACAAATCTCGAGATACAGCGGAAGGATCAGCCTCTCTCATTCAGGCAGATGAGGCTGGCAAAAGGGAATTGACCGCTGAAGATTACGAGGATGTAACGGATTTCCACACACCGCGATTTAGATATCGCATGTAGTCAACCGCCTCGCGATTGGCTCACATATGCGAATATTTCATTTTACCACAAGGCTCTGGACCACCGTTCAAATTGAAGAAGGCTGAGACTAAACCCCTATTATGCAAAATTGAGGCTCTGCGGAGTAAATTTATGGATCAGTTCCATAGCCTCATCGCTAGAAATAGATCTCGTTACGTATCCCAGACTCTAATATCTGTTGGCGAAGTCAGGAGGCGTAAAAGGGCTGTAATGCAGCTTACCACGAAGGGGCGACTGGGGATCGTGTCCGAAACACCAACCGAATCCAAAGATCTAATCCTTGAACACCGACCAATGAGAACTACACGACTGGGCGTTTTGGTGTATTCCTGTTGGCAAACCTCTTTACGCCGCAGCCGCAGCAGTGCACCCTGTCGTGTAAGCAGCTGCAGCCACAAAGCCCACATCTCAGCATGGCTGTCTTGCATACAGTAACGTGATTTTCTTCTGTAACTTTCCTAGCATGCAAGTATTGGTCGAGTCAAATCTGCTGTCATCCTTCGAGAGTATATGGGGTATAAGTTGCCCTGTCTCTCACGGCGTTCTACATCCTTCTTCTCATATCATCTGCTTTCTTATTTCTTTTCACCGCACTGCATTTTTTCTTCACCTTCTCATCAATCTTTCTTACTTCAAAACAAATCACTTATACACCAAATTTTCAAACTTCAACTACTCTCTCTCAAGATGTCTGCCTTCAGCCTTCCACCCGTTGTGATCCCAGCAATCCCAACATCAATTGCCATCCCAGGTTTTCCAACAGGTGTCCTCTCTTCAGTCGCCTCTTCCTTTGTTTCCTCTGTTTCCACTGCCGTAAATGGGCAACTAGCTTCAACTACACTTATCACCTCTGCAACCTCTTTAGCAGCTGCGCCCACCAGCGTTATCCCAACTTCTGGAGCTGCTGCTCCAACAAGCAATGGCGCTACTGCCGTAAGTCATATCTCTTATTGACATCCAGCCTTCTTTCGCTAAGACAAATAGGCCAACGGTACAACCGTTGTAGTACCTGGTACCCCATCAAACGGCACTGCTCCAGCCCCAGGAGCACCAACAACCGCTCCAAAACCATCATCCCCTACTGCTCCAGCCCCTGCAGCCTCGACTACCAAAGCAAGCGGGGCTTCAGCTGGCAAATCCGTCTCTGTGGGTGCCACAGCAGTACTCGGTCTTGTCCTTTTGGGTCTGGTGTTGTAAACAGATGGTTTGAATTGGAGTTAATTATGGATTGCTGTTCACAGATTGAATGTTAGATTGGGACTTGATATGGCCGGCAGCTCTTTTGTACTGGGGATGTAATGTAGGATTAGTTCTGGGTGTGAGTGGAGTAGAGAAATATACCATCATTTCGCTCGCATTTCCTACCAAATTCTGAGTATTCCTTTTATGTTTGACTGGAATATCTGGCAGCAAACGTCGTAGGTTTTTCACGCTTGTCAGCTTGAACTGTCATTGGTTGGTCCGAGAGATCAGTACGAAGCTGATGTGGCGGAGCTCCCGTGTTGGTGAGCTTGGCCTGTGCCTGTTCAAGTTTGGAAGGGTGCGGTTTCGTAACATTTACTACGTAAAACTCAGAGAATACTGGGAATTTGAGTGAGACTAAAGGCATCGTACCCTGTTGTGGAGAGTGACAATAAAAATAGGTGGTGCATGGTGTTGCCCCACATCAAGTTGCGTGATTGGTCGAGTTGTACGAAGTATTTACTTCGTCCATAGTTAGGAACTGATGACAGCCCAAAATCACTCCATTTCGAAAAATGGGGATTGTGTTTTACGTGATTTAGGCAGTGTGGTTCACAGGCTGAGCTCTTGATATGTTAGGTGTTGTTGGGAACCCAGTTTCATGGCTGGATTTTGAAGTGTTGGTACCGCCAACACACAATGCGGTTGCGATCCTTCGTTGGAAAGGTTGCACGAGGTTGTACTAGCAGCCAGCATTATGTGTTATAACTATCTTGTTGGAATCCAACATTGACTCGTGCATCTGCGCCAAAATTTCAGCTCCAACAATCTCTTGGTTTCATCGTCGCTCTGTGGTTATTACCCAGACAGACTCTGAAGCAGGGCCTGGTCGAAATGATTTTACATAGTTGACGACTTCAAGGAGGTACATATAAGATGTTTTGGCTCCCATTAGTTATAAAAAGGGAAATTAATGATTTCACCATTCTGCCACACCGTGTCAATACCGTATACGTTACACTTTTACTTTTGGTAGCTATCACTGGGTGTAACTTGATATTTCTCACATCAATTACCAGAGTTGGCAATTTGTGACCAGCTTAGCTAAATAACATATTCGGCCGTGACCCCAACTAGCTCGTGAGTTGTTACGTGAAGGACATGAGGTCAATTGAGTTGAGGGTATATATTCTCAGATGGCCCCACTGTCTATCACTTGACAAAAGGGCATGCGCTTTCACAGAGACTTTACGTAGCTATGGAGGCAGGGTGAGGTTGGAACAAGACTGCGGCTTTGTGGCACCACAATTTATCCTGGAAAGCTTCAATCGATTATGCCGCTATACGAACGGCTGGTGACAAAATAACCAGAATTGAGAGCTAGTTTGCCCCCCAAAATCACCCATCCAACTAGTTTAAAACTGCTGAAGGAGAACGATCACCTCAAACATGTATACAGAGAGCCGTGATCAAGAGGTTAATGTAATTCCCACCAAGATACTGTTTGAACATTACTCACGAAAGAGAAACTCTTTATCCAACAGGTGATCTTCTCGTCCGCGTCTAGACAATTGGGTTCATGGCTGGCTGGATCCTGGCAGCCATAGTTCCAGAAAGGACTCCCATCGCCACCAGCGAGGACCTACCGGCGTGGAGTCAGCCTTCTGAACCTTTGCCGTATTTAGATACGGAGTGTTCAAAGATATGTGGAGAAATTCTGCACCTTTATGAGTTGTCGATATTGGAGTATTAATTTCTTCAAACATGTTGATCAAAGAATTGTGAACGTACTCTGGCCTTGAAAGCTGGACAATGAGAACTAAACAATGTGTCAAGATTTCCGTTTTCAAAGCTCCCCATATCTTCGGGTGTTTCCCCTCTAACTTCGCGGCCTACATTTACGTTCACCTCTACTCACTATGCCAGATCAGTACCCCTGAATTTGCCAGATCACTTGTTAAAATAAAACTTGAAAGGCAGGAGAATATCCTCGGAATTAAGCTTTGAGGTTTTTCGCTACACTGCTATAGTAGAGCATGAGGGATGGGAAAGTCTTCAGTGTAAGTAATTAGCTTTACCGCGCAGGTTGTGTTCACACTTCAGATAAGAATATGCGGAAGAAATTCATAGTTCGACATAATAATCTCGAAAGACGAGAAGGAGGAGGAAGGCGTTGAGTAGTTCTAAGGAGGGCCTGTTCCGCTTGAGGTCAAAATGTTCTAATGCAGTGCTTCACGCGATAGTAAATCCTAAGCGAGTAAATCTTTAGCGAATTGAATGGGACGTGTATCCCGTATGATGCTGTGGATTTAATACCGAGGTCTCCGACCGTCAGTTAATAAGTATAAGGTGCTCTGAAAGTGTATCGATTTTTGAGGATGTATTTGTTCTCATGAGATCGAAAATGCACGCAAACAGGGGTTGACGTCTCTCATTGCAAATCGATGAAGATGTGATAACTGGACGAAATACTTTCACCATATCTACCTGCCTATCCACTAACGACCATCTCGCCTTTTTCTTGGATGCCACTTATATGATGTACCTTGAAAATGCCTCTGGATCGCTCCTTCCTCTTTATCTACAGTCCTTCGCTCTCCAGAACCCCAGGAGTATGCCTCAAAGCTACCTAATCCAATAGATTTGTTCGAAGAAGAAAGAAAACACCAAGAATGACGGTAAGTAGGCAAAGTACCTCCAAGGTGGCCCAAGAAACGAAAGCAAATACCAAATTGAATTTTTCAGAGTTGCGTTGAGGTGAATATCCAGCTGGACCCAGAACGGGCACGCGCAGGCTTACTTCCTTGCCCTTTGGATTTATCTCATCAAACAACAACAAAGCTATCACATACGACCATAGACTGAGGAGAATTGGGCATCCCGTCCGCTCTGCCATACACAAGCCTCAGATCGGCAGATTAGTAGTTGGGTGGGTGACCACCAGCGAATACCTGCTGTTGTATGTTTTTGCATTTTTTGCTCCTTTACTTTTTGCTTTTTCTTACTCTCATTTGTCGAATCCCTGGTAGCCGCGAATTTCAGCTTTCTTTTACACCCATTGGACGAGATAATTGTTCGACGTGATTATTACGATAGTCTAATGCTAGTATGATATGTAGGTCTTAAAACTACCCGAGCAATACTCAACTCTTGATACGGGACCTACTTGGCAATTACTAGAGAAAGCTCTCAAGAAGTCTACTCGACAATTCTGCATATCGTCTTTTACTTTTCCTTTAATGTAAAAATGCTAAGTTCTTATGAAATTTTCATGAAACCCCCTCGCTACTTTGCTCTTACGGCATCTTTTGATTGACATCCCAAGATAACTTAGAAAGCTCGCCTTGGTTTGATTTTGTACAAATTAGTGGAAAACCTGGCATTCATTGGTTTTTTTCTTTTTCGAAAATGCAAATAATAGAAAGGCAATACTACAAATTAATTCCACGTGTTCATTGCTTTTACTTTGTCGGTAATTTAACCTATCTCTTTCCTATTGTATGCTAAGTAGTTGTAGGAATGGTCTCGCAGAAATCTAGGTGGCACTATTCCTGAATAAGGTATTATTGGGTTGAAAGGGTATTGGGTACTGAAGGTCATGGAGAATTGATTGCATTGTAAAAGGTAGCTATCTAAGGTGTTTATATAAAGAGTGTTAGTTTTATGCAGACATGAAGCATTTAGGCAGCAGAGCTATAAGTGGATCAAATCAGGAAGTGGAGCAAAAGAGAAAGTAGACCCAGCACAACAGGTATTTATTATATGCTAAAAGAAAACCTGAAGAGATTGTCCTAATTCAATCCTGGTCTTTGCTAGAAAGTCGCTGTATGAAATTACTAAGCTAAAGACGAATTATAGGTAAAGATTGTAGAAAGTAGATTAGAATTCTTAAAGCAACAAAACCGTGTAAGAAGCGGAGAACATAGGATGACAGAGATACATTATTATTCCACCACCGCTGACTGTAACACATTAGTTTCGCTTAAGGTTGACTTCACGTTCTTAATGACTTTGCCAATTTATAACGAGCCTTTATAGTACTGTAAGATAACTATCTAGTCATCTGAGAAGACAACCCGAGTGACAAAATGCGCAACGCCGAGAATCCGGGCATTCAAAACGTAGCATGGCTTGTTGCGCCAATCATGCTCCTGTAAGGAAGACTCATGCAGGTGGCTTTTCTCATGCTCAAAATTATAAAGAGTGGGCGTCGACTGCAAAGAATGAATTCCGATTCCTAGTTATAGCTTTTCAAGAAGCTCTCTTTGGGGTTTCTATTCGTCTCCAGTTACGAGAAAACCAATAGGCAGAATGGAAAGGTATAGAATGGGGTTCGACAGTGGGTCGGACCCAGTAGTTCTGACGTCGCATTGGATTTACTGACAAATCAAGAATTTTCAACAGTACATATATAGCTATTTCTTTGTACAACAACCTCTGAACAGCCTGCTTTCAAACAAATACCGTAGTGTGACCGACATTTTTTAGTTTTACCTAGCATAAAATGGCGTCTAAAGTTGACAGTTTCAAACAATGGACTCTGCACGAGCAGAATGGAACCGAAAGTCTGGTGTTGGGTAACGCTAGTCTTCCTAAAAAAGAAGACATTGGAGAGTACGAGGTTTTGGTTAAACTTCATGCTGCTTCTTTGAATTACCGCGATTTGGTTATTGCCAGGGTATGTTGAATTGCCACACTGAGAATAATCGCATTTTCTTTTTGTATATCAAGTTCAAACCACTGAACTAACAAACCAATAAATCAGGGTGCTAAAAATCTCCAAATCAAGCCTGGTGTAATCCCCGGCTCCGACGGCGCGGGTGTAGTCCTAGAAATAGGGAAATCTGTGACCAAATTTCAGAAAGGGGATAAGGTTGTAACCCATATGCTGCCTCAACTCTCGGCTACTACTTATCCTACCATGGAAGATATCTCCAATGGTCTAGGTCAGACTATTGATGGGACTTTACGAGAATATGGGGTTTTCTCTGAGACGGGTTTGGTTCACATGCCGAAGAACTTGACGTTTGAGGAGGCGGCTACGTTGACTTGTAGTGGGTTGACGGCTTGGAATGTGCTTTTTGGGGGTGGGAGGAAGTTGAAGAAGGGTGAGAGTGTTTTGACACAGGGGACGGGTGGGGTTAGTGTTGCTGCTTTGCAGGTTAGTGTGTATTTTCATCTGTACATTGTTCTACTGTAGTCTCGCTGGTTGACTCTCATTTCTTTGGATTCTATGTGGCGCTATAGATTTTGAGGTCTCCATATCTTGAAGCGGTCATATTTTCCGGAAGGACTAACACAACTCAGTTTGCCCACGCTATGGGAGCAACGGTAATCTCAACCACAAGCTCAATCACCAAAACCCAACGTCTCTCGACCCTCGGTGCCTCACAAACAATAAACTACATCGAAACCCCCTCCTGGGGATCTCTCGTCAAAAGTCTCTCCCCATCCTCGCTAGGAATAACAAATGTAGTAGACGTTGGCGGTCTCTCCACGTTGTCTGAAAGCATGAAAGCGGTAGCTATCGAGGGAACAGTCACAGTTACTGGTGTTCTTGGGAACGATGAGAAGGAACACGTTGGTGCTTTGGATGTCCTGTGGCGGGTTTATTCAGTGAGAGGCGCGCTTCTCGGGACTAGGGAACAGTTTGGAGAGATGTGTAAGTTTATTGAGGAGAAAGGGGTTCGGCCTGTGGTTGATGAGAGAGTCTTTGGGTTGGAGGAGACAAGGGAAGCTTTTGAGTATTTGGAGGGACAGAAGCATTTTTCGAAGGTTGTTATTAAGATTTGTTAGGCCCTTGGATTTGACAATTCGGGAGACAGAATTGGTTGTATTTTTGAAGTACCGTTTGGGTACTTCGGTTGCCGATTCTGAGATATAACTCAACTCGGACCCTTTCAAAATAGCTTTCTGGGGCCAAGAGAAGTTGAAACTCGCTTAGACAGTGGCCAGAAAATACTAGGATTGGGAAACATGATTTTTGTACTTTCCCATGATCAAAAAATTAGCAAAAAAAGGGTAGCATTCTATTTGATTGTGCGTATCATCTTTGTGCAAGGGCCATGCTAATCTTCTCTGTATTATTTCAAGTTGACCAGTTGCCCGTAGGCGATGTGTATTTAGTTGTTTGTATTCATAAGAAGATGTGTGGATGGCTGGGTGTCAACAATTAGTTCGCAGATTACAGTAGATTACTTCCCAATAACGTTGTTATTATGTGACCGTGCTATTTTATTATAGTAAATCCATTTATACGAATACCTAAGCTTGCTTATTATAATGCAAGACCTCGTTTTAGATTTACGCTCGAGATCTGGGAGAAGGAAGTGTAAGTTGAAGCAGGAGTCAAAGTCGAGGAGAATCATGTGATTTGTTGTTATCTAATCGCCGATACTCAACCCCGATCCCGGCAATGACCCGAGGCTACCAACATTAAAGCAAGCATCATGCCTTTGAATAATTCACCAACAAGCTATCTTCAGACAACATAAGCTCTCCACCACCTCAAGATGTCTGTCCTCGCAGGAGTCAAGGGAGATACTGGCCAGCAAGCCAGGTCGTTAGTATGTTCATCTCACTGTCATTTCTTTTGCGCCTCGGTTACATTTGTTCCCGTTTGTAGCTGGCTCTTGTTTGGGTTGAGGGGCGGGGCCGCATGAATGCGATTACCAGCAACTTTTTGAATGTGCACTAATATGGTATATAGTATCGACAGCTGTTACGGCAAGGAGGTCAATTCGCGGCCTACAACTTTCGAGAGTATGCGAGAAGGAGGACGAGAGACAGTTTTCGGGAAAATATGGGAGTGAGTGACGAGAGGAAGATTCAAGAGTTGATGCAGAAGGGCTTGAAGGAATTGCAGAGTTTGAAGGTAAGCAATTCTTTGCGAATAGGGCCGAGTTGGATTGGGGATGGCGGGGAGAGTGTCGAGGTGTTCAAACAAGAGGAAAGGATGCTTTTACTTGTCACTTGCTGACAACTTTGCGCAGAGACAAACTGTTGTCAGCCAATTCTTCCAGCTGGATCGATTAGTTGTTGAAGGTGGCAAATCGGTACGGATACCCGAAGACGCTTGAACTCCGTTTGAAGATAGTTGGAATATTGATTTGGAAGTAGGGCAAACAAAGCGGACTGAGAAACGACATAGTAAGGCAAAAGGATACTGGGTATGTTTCTTTTCATCAAACGCTTGGCCGCAAAAACTGGAGGCTAATTGGCTTCTAGATGGGATTAATACTCTGGTGAAGCTCCCCGGATGGGAGAGTTGGGCGCGACGGACAGGAATACCCAATAACAGATCGCAAGATGACGATAGTCTGGTGATCTGATCTACTCGTATGCCCAGAGCTTGTACAATACGCATGTATAAAAGGAGTTCAAGGACAGAAGTCCGTTTATGAAGGATGGAACATCAATCCCCCCTCTAGCAATCAGATGGGAAGACGTTTAATTTACGACCTTGAAAAGTTTCGATTTTCGTTAACTTACTGATTCAACTTTGACCGTTTTTCAAGCCTGATTTTGGATTTTGGGGGAATTGATCATTATTCATTTATCTCATTGCTTTGGGTATTTAAAGCTGTCTGTTTTGGTTCTTGTTTCCAGATTTCCCTGGCATGGTAGAATAGGTTGATTCCAGGTAGGTTTTTTGGAACATACCCGTATCATACACCAAATAGATTTATAGTTATTGGGCAGATATAGATACTGATATGAGGCTTTTCGAATGAATGGTTTGATTATCAGTTATAGCATGTATAAGCTCGATCCAAGGGGGTCTAATATTACCTAAGTAAGACCTCAACGGCTGAGGAAGCGTGGTCATGTGACGTAAATGCCAAGGCGCCGGGTGGGCTTCAGCTCCAGGACCGTGCCCAAAGGCCACTGGCAGTCGCGACTGCCTCAATTCAACTTCACAACTCTACCCATCTTCACCTTGCGCCTGCCTCAATTGCTCGGTCGCTCTTTCCCCGCGAAACTCCTACTACCACCAGTATTCCCGACGGATTCACTGTAAGTCTCGCCTATCATTTTATCTCGTCCACCGCCCGATTTCATCACCCCCATCTCACCTGCACCCCGTCCAACGCATTCTCTTGCTGCGCATTTGTACCGAAGCAATTGACTGACCATGGCGGCGCATTCAGATCAGCATTACTGGTCGCTTACCACTACCAGTGCCAGCACCAGTGCCCAAGGTAATTTCGACTTCCTTACTACTGCTGAAGCTGCTCTCTCGCAACCTCCGCCGACGACTCCTCGCGATCGCTTCGCCGACCCAGCAAACACTCAATTAGGCTGCTGGGCTGAGTCGGTTGGGATTGGCGCAACTCCACGGGTTCTCGATTATTTTTTTTGGAATACAAATGTTATAGCAAACAATCCAATAACCCCAATTACCCTTTTCTCCTACGGAGAGGATCCTTTCCTCGACACCCCTCCTCTCGTATCAACTCCAAACTTTCATTCACCAGGTCTAGCCGAATCTTGGGATCCACAAATCGACCAGTCACCGTCCTCCACACTTGCGCCAGAAACACCTACATACCAATCAAAGCCCAATACAAAATATTTCTGGAGCCAAGCATCTGATATCATCCCCGACCTTAATCCACTTGCTTTTGTAGTATCATCTATCAGCTCTGCCAAATCGTCACCCGACGACTCTTCCGAGTTTGAGTTATCTCCTTCTCCGCCCAAATCTGGACCACGAGGAGCAGGATTAGGAAGCGGATACTACAATACCCCAGCACCAAAATTTGATTCTTCAGTCCCCCAGTCTTCACCTCGAAGGTCTTCTGCCCGGTTAAGACGTTCGCAAACTCCATATACCGGTTCCAGGAGTACACGGACAAGAAAGGGAAAATTCAGCCCACATCGTAGTCTTTCCGGTACTAATAAACGCCCAAGAGGACGCCCTAAAAAGACTTTCATCGACAGCACATGGCAATCTAGTGCCAGCGACCCGAGCAGGCAACCTTCCATAGTTTCGAGTGATTGTGACTATCCTTCAAGTCCTTTACCAAGCCTTGTTGTAAAGTTACCAGTTAAACCAGCACTTCTTGAAAGATTAAATTATATCGGTCGATTTTCCCCTTTGCCTATCCAGTTTGTCGAAGCCAAGCTTGATATACCGAAGCCAGAAGCCTACGCGTACCCACGAGCTGTCAAACCACCTTGGCGTTATCCCTCATACCGAGAAGTCAGCGAAGCAAACATGGCCCCAAGTGTATGTCATATCTTTACGTCTCTAGTCCTCCTTGTTACTAATTTCCAAATAGTATCGTGCATCGAATAGACGGCAAAATCGAGCTGGATATAATGACCACGATGTTTTTGACGGACTACCTGTTCGGCATTGGCGACGTGAGATGACTACAGTTGTACCTCCACCTGACCAGGATAGTTCGAAACCTCAAAACGACATATGGGCTATAGAGCTTCCACACGGGATGCCCAAGGACTCGCATCTATTGCCACAACATAGTCAAGATCTCCTGCGTGCAGCTCGTTCCGGGAAGATATGGAAACGCCCGGCTCCAACAGAAGAGGAAGAAATAGATCCAGAAGTCGCCGACAAGCAAGAAAAAAAGGAAGATGACGGAAAAGATAAAGCTTTTTCTGCTCGCGCATGGAAGCAGATTCCTCGGAACCAAGAAGGTCCAGATATTGAATACTTGGCCAAGCGGAGAAAGGGATTGATTACTTATACCAAGCCAGCACCAGTGGTACCGACAGTGACGAAAACGGTAGTCCGTAAAACCGATGCCGCTGGAAATGAATACAACCAAGAACTTATTGTTCCCAACGGCCAGCAGGTGGATGGCGAGGTCATTTCACGAGTAGTAATTCCAGATCCAAGTCTCATTCCACAGGCTGCACCGTTGGCAACTCCTCCGAAACGAAAGACGCCTGTGGCCAAAAAGAAGATTAAGGCAGTCCGAGGGAGAAAAAAGAAAATTGTACCCCCTCCAAACGCACAAGCTATCGCTCCAGCCGACGGTGCTATACCATCCAGTGCACCAATTTTAGAAGCTGTCGGGCCGGCAGTTAAAACTGAAATAGACGCAGCCGCTACCCCGATCACCGGCGAAGATACCGTCATGGGCGAGGGCTCAGTCGCAGCATCCGACGAGGAGGAAGGAGATGAGGATGGTGATGAGGGGGATGATGATGATGAATCTGTCGGGGGGCAACCATCTCCATCGAAAGTACCGCGAACCACGGAATCTCCAACTCCCGTATCCTTACCTACCATGAAAACGATACCGGATTTTGCTCCTTCTAGTTTCCCACCTTCGGGAATTATTCCTCCACCACATCTTGAAAAAGAAAAGTCTGATGGCAAGAGTGGTAGTCCCTTGAAGAACGTCGCGTTGAGCACTTCTGCAGTAGCAACCCCTCTCGCCTCACCAACTGTCACAGGACCTTCACAGTCCTTCCCAGATACATCCTCTATTGGCAATGCACCACCTCAACCTCACGATGTTCCTGAACCTGGGCAAGAAGAAGAGATGGAAGCGATCAACGACGATGCTATGGATATTGATACAGTCGAGGCAGAATCCACAAGTCTCCCACCGCCACCGCCAAATCCCACAACCCTCGAACTCGAAGCTTCAGAATTGGTCAGACGGGAAGAGGAGGAGGAGGAAGAGATGCTGCTCGAGATTGTGGAAAATGCCAATAATGTTCAAATTGGTCAAGTACAGCCATTGCCAATAGCAGTGCCCGAGGTTGTTGCGCAAATCGATATGATACTCGAAGAAGCGGTACCATCAGCACCAGTCCCAGAGCAATCAGCAGCGCAGGATCTCGTTACAGCAGTGGAGCAATCTAAACCAGTAGAACAAGCGTCGGAGCCAGAGAAGATAGCAACGCCTGTTGAGAAGGCCCCCACGCCCGTGGAAGCACCAGTGGAAGCGCCCGTCGAGGCACCCGTCGAGGCACCCGTCGAATTGCCGGTTGAGCCAACAAGTCCATCAAAATTACCAGAAGCTGCCGAACCCGAGGTTACACATGAGAAAAAAGAGGAATTACCGGAGACTTTACACCAGGATTTACCATCGAAACCGGAAGTTATACATGAAGACGAACAAGATTTGCCTGATACGCAGCTCCTACCTCATGCTGAGATTTTACCTGATCCACAGGATGATATCAAGCATATTAAGGACGCCATTGAAGATGATAGTGATGATTTTCCTGATTTACTAGGTGGTCTGGAGAAGTCTTTGGGACAGCCACCGCCAGCAAAAATTGACGAACCGGTGGAAAGTGTAACTGTACAGGAAGTAGTAGCTCCTATTATTAGCAAGGAGGAATAGAAAACCGAAGCAGTAGAACCAAGTGCTGAAAGATCATAGGGTGAATGTTGCTGGTAGGATACAGATACATTGCGTTTGGGGATGTATTAGTTAGCTTGTTACAAAAGTGTGCTCCAAGACGAACATAGGAATATCCAATATACAGATTATGAGAAGACATGATCCGTACGAGTACTTGTACCCGTACGAGCCGTACTACTATAATCATTCACCAATGCCGAGGGCTTGGTACTCGTACCTGGCTTGAGCTTCTTGATCTGCGTCCGAAGGTTCGCCTTGATGTCATCTTGCACGACCCCTGCGTGCCCTGAATCAGAGGTCCACTGAGCTCCACTGAGGTCCACCCAAAACGGCACTCCCAGCCCCACTTTTTGGCTTTACCCCTCTATCCGTCCGACTCACAGCAAAGTTATTATTTGCTTGAACAGCGCATCGCCAGCCTCAGTTTTCAACCTCAACCTCAACCTCAAAAGGTTCGAGCTGAAGCGTATTCCCATCTCGACGACAGAGAACTCCCGCACCATGGCGGAAGCTAACAAAGCGACTCGGGGTGCACGCCCTGTTCTTGGTGGCATGCGCGCCAGCTCTTACCTTCAAGAGCACCAGCAATACCGACCCCCACAACCCGATGGACACGAGGGCATCGATAGCATCGTCGAGCGGACGCAGAGCGCAACCATCGCTACCACCCCCCCAAAGGCAATCTCCAGGTACAATGGCGTGCCATCACCCTCTTCTCCGCCCAAGATTGTTGACAGCGGTCTCAATCACACCTTGTCGCACTCCAACTGCCAGCCTGCTCCAGGTACCAGCTCGGATCGTTTGATCGCAACCATTCTCTACAAGTCGAAATCTCCCCGAGCCGCCATTACCGACTACCCGGTCGATCGCAATCCCTCTCCCACGAGAAGCCCAACAAAGGCCTCTCCCTCAATCCCACCAAACATGGCACCAACCCGAACCCTTTCGCAATTTCCCCTGGAGCCACCTCCACCAGATCCAGAGCCACTTGACCATCTCTATGGGAGCTATATCTCTCCTCTCTGTCTCACCAGCTTCCTTCACCTCGTCTCTTCGCTTCCTCATAAACAAGGGTCCCAAACTTTGACCTCCTCCCATCGATGTCTCGATAACCCAACACATCCCGCAGTCGTTGAATTGACCTTCTCCCCCACTCCTGATCCCGATTACCTTACTCTTTCTGATTTGCGCAAGCACGAACTTCTCTATCGCTTTGAGCGTGAATGGAATGTTGACGTTATCCTTCAGCCTGATACGATCCTCCGAAAATACCCACGGCTCGTGGTATTCGACATGGACTCGACCCTCATCGAAGAAGAAGTCATAGATTTGATTGCTGCAAGCATTGGAGTGGAGGCTGAAGTTTCCGCGATCACAGCCAGGGCCATGAATGGAGAATTGGACTTTTCTTCGTCTTTCCGGGAACGTTGCAAGTTGTTGAAGGGCGTGGACGCGGACATTTTTACCAAGCTTCGAGATGTGGTAACACCTACAAAGGGCGCAAGGGAACTCGTAAAGGCTTTGAAGAAAATGGGAGTTAAGAGTGCTGTTTTGTCTGGAGGATTTATTCCACTTACCTCTTGGCTCGCGAAATCTCTTGGAACTGATTACGCATATGCCAACACTCTCGAGATTGATACCACTACAAACACTATTACAGGTGAGGTAGTAGGTGATATTGTGAATGCCGAACGAAAGCGCGATTTGTTGATCGAGATTGCGGCCAAGGAAGGGATTTCTACAGACCAGGTATTGGCTGTAGGAGATGGAGCCAATGATTTACTCATGATGAAAGCTGCTAGTTTGGGAGTTGCCTGGAATGCTAAGCCTCTGGTGCAAATGGAGGCTCAGGCAAGATTGAACGGGGATACTCTTTTGGATCTTTTGCATATCTTTGGACTCACTGCCGAGGAAGTGAATGTTCTTATTCGATAGTTCCCTCTGTTTTTTTTGGCACTTTGTGCTATATACATAGCTGTCGTCTTTAGAGTTGGGCTTTGGGGATACATGCAAATATGTGGAGGGAGGGATTTGTGTGGTTATATAGCAGAGGTGGGTTTAAGTTCATGAGGTATGAATCTTTTTTAGAGAATGTTTCGTTGCGGGGTGAGTTTTGCTGGTTGATAGGTAGGTAGTTCGGTAATGTAGATATCCAATTGTTAAGCTTTTGAACTATTTTTCTTGCGAAGTTTTACAATATGTAGGGCCTGTCTGGATTAGATTATTTTAGCGATTATTTGTACAATCGCGAAAATAATCGCTAATCCAAACACGAGGCCGTATTATTCAGTTAAAGGGCCTGTTTGGCTCGCCCAATTTAGAGATTTGCACCATATAAAAAGATATGCATGCAAATCTAATTTGCATGTAATTTAGGATATGCGCGCTTGTTTGGATAGCCGCAAAAGTTTCTTTTGTACTAATTATAAATTCGTCACAAATCTAATTACAAATCTTTTTAGATTTACACCACCTAAAAATCTTTATAAAAGAATTGAACCCTTAACCCTTTAGTTTTAAGATTTACATAAATCTCCGTGTAAATCTTTCTCTATCCTACGCATAAAAATCGATAGATATATAACGAAACAAAAGAATCTTTTGCACTAGCCAAACAGTGGTGTATTTGTTTCGTCACAATAGTCTAATTTACATGTAAATCAGGAAACTTTTGCATGAGTCCTTAGGGGTCCTCTAACCCGTGCAAATCTAAGACTTTTACACCTGGTGTAAATCTCTAAATTGGGCGAGCCAAACAGGCCCTAAAAAATATAATCGCAAATAATCTGAGATATAATCGCTATATATAAAAAAAAAGCTCGTTCGAGGTAATAGTCCATCCGATTATATGCCTATTCACATACAAAGTACTATGAATTCTACAGTCAAAGTACAACACCTCTATATATAACACGTCTCGACACTTCTAATCTCACTATACTCGACTTATTACTATCGCGTGTACAGAGAGCACAAGTATAATAATAAATAAGGTGCACCTGTAATACAAAGTACATTTATAGGACAAGGTACATTCGTAGTACAAGGTGCATTTGTAGTGCCTGTCGTCTATATACGGCTCAAATGAGGCTCTATATAGACGCGTTTTAGACTATTCATGGTGTTGATAACAAGAATATAGTGAATAGACAAGGTGTGGTTCATGCTTTAGATAGTGAATTTTATACTTAAAAAATCGCAAATAAGCTGGCAAATTTATATAGCGATTATATCGAATAATCGCAAAAATAATCGCAAATATAATCGCTAACAAAAGTCTAATCCAAACAGGCCCGTAGACTGATACCATAAGAAGATTTCGGTTTCCTCGTGGTGTCGATTTTCTTTTCTTGCGCCAGAAGTGAATGCGGACTAAGCGACAACTGTTGAGTGGGTTTATATGTGCTGTGTGAATTGTGGGTTCTTGGTATGCGAGGAGGGTTCTATGAAGTATTTACACTGTCTCTTTTTGAGATGGTTCTTGCGCTTGTGCCTTGCGTAGTGGTTGATTGGGTATTTGAATATAATGATAGCGAGTAGGAGTTTTCGGTTGGTTTTTAAGGGTACTGAGTGGAGATGATACCTTTTAAGTGGTGAGTGATGAGAGAGATGAGATGCTCCCTTGGTTTATTGGAGTTGTGATGAGGTGTGTTGTTCTTTTCTTTGTGGTGTTGGGAAGAGGGGAGAGGGGAACGAGGCTTGGAGGGGTGATGTAGTTGGAAATCAGGGATCTTGGGAGGTATAGTAGGTAGGGGGTTTTGAATATGGATGGTCTCAAAGGGGGTTTTCTTGGTGGTATATTTGGAAGAAGACTAGGGCATGATATAAGAGTAAAGGAAATGTAGGGAGAGAAGCTAGCTACTGTGGAGGTTCGCTTTCTGTTTCCGTATAGAATTGCTAGTGTATGTAGTGCCGGATAGGGCTATCGCACAGTACGAGTGTCGTGACTTGTAGGAACTTCCTCCTGTCTGCTTGTGAGTATGATATGAAGAGTATTTGCCGAGGCTATGTATAGGTTTTTAGGTAGTAATTGGTGAGAGGAAAGGGATCATGAAATGTGAAAAGTAAGTGATGAGGGGTATAAGAGGGTGGGGTTTTCCCCACAGATTTCGAGCGGCGAGGAGGGGAGAGGGCTCGTTGAATGAATTGATTGGATTGAGAGGTAGGCTTGCAAGAGTACTTGGGAGGATGGTACTAGGATTTTGAGATATTGAACAGGATGAGAAACTACGATGGTGGGATTATTGAGATGGATGGCGATGTTTCATAAGTATTTCCTTGATTATGAATGAAATTCCCATTTTTCGGAGGAGAGGGGGGAAGGGGGTGCTTTACGAAGAGGAAAGTGTACCTTCGTCCATTACCGTAACTTGAAGCATATGAGTTTGATATAGTAACCTATCGTTAGATAATATATAATCAAGACGGCCTAGCCCCGGTCCTTTGAACTCCAATTTGGCGGAATACTTTAAAGAATTATATTGGTTACTACTAGCTACTTCTTTCTTAGAAGATTCCTGGATTTGAGACCGAAGGTTTCTATAACGCTCTATTTTGGGTTCGAGAGCTGCACCGAGTCTTTGGTGTCTGCTTTTGTATGGAATGATTTGTGTTTGTTTAAATAGGCTTTAGGTACGTGGTCCCCGCCCCCTTTTTGAAGCGAGGAGTTTAGGTGAGAGGGGTTTGGGTGTGGTGAGTTCTAGTAGTGATTAGTGTGGTACTGAAAAAGTGAGAGAGGTGGGGAGGTGAGGTTATGAACTGTATGGAAGTTAGCGAAGTAGAATATGAGAATCCTTCTGGATTTGATTTTGATTTTGTTTATATGATAACTTACCTAACTTTATTTAATAAATCTTTTTCCTTTCCCTTGCACCTGTTCTATTACCTTTTGAGTTAATACAAATTTCTTGAACGAAATATTCATCCAAGTAGTACCAGATGAGCTAAACACCAATCAATCTGATTCAATCATCTAAACATCTCAAGTTCGTTAAATATAGGACGGATAGCACCAGTAGATCTCTTAACTTTACCCTTGAAGGCTTTCATGAGAAGTCGTTTATATACTAGGATATCCTACGGTTAATAACAAGAATCTACCCCCTTTGCAAGTATGGCGATAGATAATTACATTCTTCTCTCACCATCGAAATATATAAGTAGAGTATCAACACGTTGGCTTATGGAAGTAACGAAGATGAAGGAGGGCGAAAGATAAGAGGAATATGAGGAATGTGAGGAAGGCCAATAGTAAGGAAAGCAGTGTGTGAGAGTAGTATTGAGCAGATGGCAACTGGTTTGAAAAAGAGAGCGAGGATTGAGATAAGCGGAGTGAGAAAGGTGTTAAGGAGAGAGGGGATCGATATAGGATAAACTGTACTCGTATGGAATGAGCGACTCAGCGAGTGTATAACATATACTCTGTTTATACTTGCCTCGTTGTCGCGAAATAAGAAGGTGTGAGAAACTTTAGATAACCGTAAAATTCGTTTACACCTACGTATGAACTCGAAATACTGCATCTATGAAGTATTCGATATCTAGGCATGTGGACAATTTCTCTCTGTTTACTGTAGACCATTCCCCAAGTGTATGGAAGGATCTTTATATATATACATCATGTTGGAGAATAGATTCTTTATACTTTATACTTGAACAGAAACTCGGTTTTTTTTACCACTGCGTTTTTACTTTATCTTGGACCAGATCTGATCTCGTCACTATTCTGTTGTTCTTCTAACCCTCCTCTCCTCTCATATATCTCATATGTAAAACTCGGACATACCAACCACCTCCATCCCCCTTCCCCAAATTCAAGTGTAAGTATAAGTATAAGTATAAGTATAAGTATAAGTATAAGTATAAGTATAAGTATAAGTATAAGTATAAGTATAAGTATAAGTATAAGTNTTCCTATTGTTGATCACGTCCCGATTAGAAAGGAATGCCAAGACTGGAGGAGTCGTATGGCGAAGATTATATTCCTCCAAAGGGATTTTTCTCTTTCAAAGACTGATGCAGGTTGATGGTTGTTCTTACGTAGAAAGCCGTTTAATCTCAGCATTTAATCTTCGATCAATATGTGTTACTTAGTCCCCCCCTTAAATAAACGACCTCCCATCTCACCTCCCCCCTCCTCAAAATACCCCTCCTAAAATACCCCTCCTAAGAAACCCCCATCAAACCACACACCCCACCCCCAAATAACCGAAGTCCAAATAAACATCCCCATCCAAAAATCGTGCTCCGATTCCTTAATGACGCGCTCCCCAAACCCTGCACCCCAAGACTCAGCCCTAATTAAGCACACCATCGTCCCCGAACACGCTGTGCTGCAAGACATACACTGTAAGGCATCGGACTTGGTTCCCCACGAAAGGGACATGACGCCACGATACCACGATACTACTGTGCGGGCCAAGAGAAACATGGAATCCATGGGTTTTTTCCGACGACAGACGTCAACTGTTGAGGGGAGAAGGGACGAGAGAGAGGAAAGGGAGAAAGGATGAAGATGTCGGGGAAGATAGGAGGAGGATAGAAAGAATGGTTAAGGAGGTGGGGTTTTTGATGAGGGTAAAGAAATGCAGCGTCGCTGCAGTACATACTGTACTGTATCCCCTCACAGCCAGTGAGCGACGAACCCCTTGAATACTTTGATGCATATAATACACACCACCACAACACACAATACAACCACATTAGCTTTACTACACCGTCGTTATCCAACCTTCCCTAACCCTAACCCTATAACCTCAACCTCAACCTTAACCAGGACTAGAACCTTTCAACTCAGAAGAAGACAGGTACAAAGATGGAAGGGACTTCGTCACAAGCCAAGTATAATTAATCTTTTCCAAAAAAGAAAAAGAAAATAAAAGAAACAAGTCAAAATCGAACCGTACTTTGTCAACACGAAAGTCGTACATGTACCTACCTACTTACCTTCCAGAAAAAAATAAGAAATAGAAGGTAGGTAAGTACTATAGGTCATTACAAACTCAAGTTAAATTCTCACTACCATACAGTATATATTCCGAGCTTACATCAAGCTAAAACATAAACAAGAACATCAACAAGAACCCAAGAAAGAAAAGAGAGGAATCCCTCATCTCATCTTGAAAACGGGGACTATAACTGCACCTACTTACTTACCTACCTACCTACTTACTTACAGAATAGAAATATAGAACGACGAAGATGGTGACAACCGTGATCTCTGAGAAGCTGATTACCCTTTACTAGACCTGACTTTGTGTGTGATGAGATGATATTAAAGACTCCATATAAATCACCCATTTGTGCTGTAGCAGAGAACTAATATAATATACACTATATACTAGAAAGCAAAAAGAATACCATATCACAAGCATTCATTCCATCGTGATGAACCTACATCACGAAATCTTCAAGAATCGAAAGGTAGAGAGAGAGGTGTCTAGGCCCTAGAGAAACTACTACTCCTTCTGGACTTTGATACCTGCTGAGAAGACTATTCATCACCACCAACATCATTATTATTTCTAGCCGGCCAGCAAGCCAGACAGAAAGACCATCGCACATCTGCCCAGGACGGATATTGCTTTCCAGTTAGCTAGCTATTGTAGCTCGTCCTAACCTAACCTGATCTAACGCAACGTAACTAAGCGAAAGCTGGCGTCTCTATAGGAATATAGTAGTATCTTACAGAGAGCCAATTTTCCCTTTTTTTCGAAATCGTGAGTATGATTATGACCATGTACTCGTCAGAGTACTGTACTCTATCCTCCTTCTTCTCTTGGACAGTATGTATGGAGGACGCGTCGACTTCGAGATAGGAGTCACAAAGTCACTTCTCGACTCCACTCTAGGAGCGACTTCGCGGAAAGAATGATGAGGTGAGGATGAGGTAGAGAATAGTGAGGGAGTGAGAGAGTGAGAGTGGTGGGTCAAGATCAAGACGAAGATATGATGGGATAGGATGGGATAGAAAGGGAAGGAAAGGGAAGTAAGAAGGGTCCATGTAATCTCCCAGACAGGACAGGACAGCGATGTTACGGTATGCGACCTTGATGCATACATACACATACATACATGTATGCAATACCACGATACAATACAAACAAACACCCCGAGGAGGCTGAAAGGGGATGGTATTGTGGCCAAGTGGTCAAGTAATCAAATAAAAAATAAAAAATAAAAAATAAATAAATAGATGAGAAAGATAAGCTAGTAGCGTACCAAGAAAAACACGGAAAGGAACCACACCCATATCCAAGACCCTAACTAAACACGAGAAAGCTCTATGCCATAACATAACATAACATACCATACAAACACCCAACCCAACCAACCTTCCCTACCTTCCTCATCCATCACCCCTCCCCCACATCCGAATCCGCACGCGGAGGCTCATCTACCAACCAGCCCAATGCGGATCTCTGACGGTGAGATGGGAGTTTCGAGATCAGCAGAGGAGAGGAGGGAGGCTCTGTGGTAGGCGGTTCGTGAGATCATCAGTCAGGGTGGGGGATGAGATCTTGTTTTCTTTGGATGGGGTTGTGGGTTGGATTGAGGTTGAACTCGCTTAGGGGCTGGGTTGTTTGCGTCATTTTCGGGGGCGAGGGGAGGGGGTGAGGGGATGTAGAATTGGAGGGGGAGGAGGAATTCTGTGGGTATGTACTGGATGGTCGTGATTGAGTTATCTGGTTGTGGGGATGAGTGGAGTGGAGTTTTCGAATGGGGGATCTAGAACGAAGTGATGACAATTGTCGTGGAGGAATTGGTAATTGACTGAAGACTTGGCGGATATGTAGAGTGAAAGTGCGGTGGATTTGGGAGATGGTATTGAGATAGGTTTGTTCCTCATCCCATCCGCATTTCTATGTGGTATGTAAGTGACTCCAGAATATATAGCGAACCCAAGTTTGCGTTGTCGGCGGAGAGAACATAGAACAACTACGTCTTCACACATCTCGTACCTCACTTCGCATTTACTCTCTTGGTAAAGTGTCTTAATTACCAAAAAACAACCAGCTCCAAAGTCCCCTAATCCACAGCCGACCAGCTCAAGCATCGATAGACAACACAGCAAAAAAAAACCCTGCATGATTTCAAGCACGGTGCGCCAATCAGCGACTAGCGTCCATCACACAGCATCTGTAGATGAATATATAGATAGAGAAGTTACGACGACCAAAGTTCTCTCATGGGGGACGAAGATTTAGCTTCCGCATCGGGGAGTGGTGGAATAAGCGACGACACAGTGCACACACATGTGCAGATCCACACCCAGCACCTGCCCTGCCTTGCCTTGCTTCGCGGGCTGGCAGCAGCCACATCTCGATTGTACTGTACACAGATAAGAATGACCTAGGTGGTATTAGGACACGTGTGGACCCTGGGGTACTGCAGGTCATTGAGGTAGGATACTCGCCGAGGGGTTGGGGAAGCTTCTAATTGTCGTCTTTCTGAGTTCGAGATTTGATGCTTGTTTTTCTTTGGGTGGATGTAATTACTCAGATGCCTTTGAGTGCTAGAAGATGGCAGGATCTGGAGTGTCCGAAGTATTGCATACCACTGAAAGATCCTCATGTCATCACGACCGTAGTCTACAAGATCGTCAACACCGTCAGATATGCCCGTGAATATCAATTTGCGACAGAACAGTCAGATCCCAACACCAACCCCCCTCGAATGAATCATCAACGAAAGGGTCCCCTTCTGATCACCATCAGGTATGGAAGCCATGACGCGGCACTCACCACCCAGCTTCCAAGTGCCGTAGATGGGGGGTTGATCTAGAAAAAAAGCTCACCTGCCTATTATGTATACCCCAATGGCAAACAATCAACTGGTTATAATCCATCGAGAGTTTCAGAAGCGAGCAGAGAGGCAAGAGAGAGCATTGGTCAACCACCCATCACGGTGTGGACCCTGCCAAGAAGAAACGACCCAAAAGGGAAAGAGCCTGGATCCGAAAGTTTGCCTGTCCCACGTAAATGTACGAAAGGGCAGCTAGATGTCTAAAAGAAATACCTTGGATGTGACACTGGCCATCCATCCATTTATGTCCTGGCTGGTGTACTGTGGGACATAGTACAGCCAGCCGCGAGCGTCGCGTGTTGCTATATACCTGTTCCAGTTAGCCCTGAGCTTTTATTAATATAGTGCTATACTTGGGTCCTAGCGACAGCTTGTGGTACGCATGTAATACCAGCTCGTCGGTACGAGTCGCATGAGTTTATTATACTCTTGTCGCATGACTCGTAATGAAGCTTGGCTAGATTCGTGGATTGCTGTGGACTCGTGAACTGGCACTGGAAATTTAAACTGCGGGGTAATACCGTCACTCGAGCAAAGAACCACGTCTGCGATAATGAGTGCCCTCTCTAAGCTGAGAAAGATTTTATAGTAAAAAATTAGAAGGTTGAAATATATTGAGAGTTTGAGCTGAAAGAAGTCATGGAGAAAAAGATGTCGAGGTGAATGCGAAGAGGTTGCATCGGTAGCGGATCTGCATCTCGCAGCAAGGACGTCATGGAAACCCTTGTTAAGCGAAGTGAAACTAGACCTCACCTCATCAATAGGGGTATCAGCGACTATCTTGCCGAGTTTTCATATCAAGATTCACTGTGACTTTGAACAAAAGAAAATTTCGAAACAAAGCAGCGCAGTGATGGAACAGGAAGACTTTTTGTAATATGAATTTCTTTCGTATGTACTATTTGAGGCCCCGCTCGAATGAGCTATTCCACCAAATATCCATCCATGTTCATCTCTCATCCCATCTCAACATTTTGTGTTGCATCTAAAAAACAGACTTGGAAGCCACGCGAACCAATCTAGACTTCCAAGGAAAGAAAATCGTCCTCGACAAAATGAAAATTGCGAATCTCTAATAAAGACATGAAGAGGTACAAGTGGTATAATCATGTACCGTGATGAAAAGAGTGAAAATCCCAAACGCCGTCATTAAAATACAGAGTATTTGTATTATGTGATGTCTCGCTCGCTCGCTGTTGTGACAAATGGGGTTGATGTAATTCTAAACCCCCATGAACGCCAAAAACATATCTCATGTCATTAAAACTTTGGAAAAAATTGAGAGCGAGGGATCAATCAAGCCTCGATGGCCACAGACTCGACTCGTTGTTCGGGGTGCTCAAACTTCTCCTTGGCAGCAGCAAGGTCGGAATCGAATTTGGTCTGCTCAGTGGTTGGAGCTGCGACGGCTTCGGTTTTGTTCTCCGAAGGGATCACAGCGGGCTCAGACGATGTTTTACTTTCTCCAGCAAAAGAAACATGAGCTGGCTCGATGACTTTGATCTGCTCGATTGGCGCTGGTGCTGGGATCTCCTCCAAGGTAGGCACTTGCTCTTCAAGAAGTTGGTCTTTCTCTAAAACCGAAACCTCAACTCCATCCATGGCTTCAACTGGTGGCGTCGATGGTGGGGTCAACTCAACACCCTCCATAGCCTCAGACTTCTTTTCCACGGTTCCTGACAAAGGCTCCATGGGATCAACCTTTTCCAGCTTGGCAGCAGCTTCAGTTTGGTTCTCGGTATTTTCAGGCGAAGCGGGTGGGGATGGTTGGACTTCAACGACCTTCAAGGCAGCAGAAAGCTCTTCCTGTTGACGCTTTTGATCCATCTCGAACAAGAATTGAGCATACTTGCTTCTCTTGTTGTGGATACCACATTCAGTCTTGGCTTGTCCCTTCCATCGTCCAGCACGCTCATCCTCGCCTTCCTTCACTGGTTCGGTGCTGTGCCAATCACCGACACTCTTGTATCCTCGATCCAAAAGTTCGTTGTATGGGACGTTGTGCTCCTTGACGTAGTCCTGAACTTGCTTGAAACTCCATGAAGCGAGAGGATTGATCTTTATCAGGCCAGCTTCGTCAATTTCGATGATGTCGAGACTCTCACGTTTGGAACCTTGCGATCGTCTGCGACCTGTGAGGACAGCAGCCACAGAGAGATCCGAATAGGCGCGTTGGGCAGGCTCGACCTTGGCCACCCAGTCGTAAAGCTTGTCATTGGACTTCCATAGCTCCTTTCCGTGTCGTGCTTCGAACTCGGCAGTGGTCTCAACACCTTCAGGCTTGTAGACATGAAGATGGACGTTGGGATATCGTGCTTTGGTCTTTTCAATCAGAGCATGTGTCTCCTTGAAGTGATATAGTGTATCAAGGAAAATGGCGTCAATGGTAGGGAGGTCTGGAGTCTCGGAATGGATCTTGGAGAGCATATCCAGAGTGACTAAGCCTGAAATTCCGAAGGCGGTCGTCTGGTAGAGGTTGGGGAAGGTAATCTTACACCATCGTAAGACGTCAATGGGGGCGAGGTTGTTAAGTGCTTGGTTCAAGAACTTAAGGTGTGGTTTGGCGAGAACAATTGATGGGAGAGAGGCGGATGATGAGGCACCGGAGGCATAACCGGACTCGAGCGACGACTCCATGTGATGAGGACCCATTGTGATGGTATTGCGGAGAGTTTGGGGTGTAGGGGGTAGTTTTGTTGTTGACGTTGAAATCTGGGGAAGAAAAGCTTTTTGGGGGGAGGAAAAGTCGGATGGTGCAATCCCTGTTTGCGATGGTGCAATCCTGCTTAGGAACAAAGTGAAGCTTGGATCCGAGAGGGAGCTAGCGAGGCGAGGGTTGGGGTGAAAGAGATGGAGTGAGGAGAAAGAACTGGGGATGTGGACAAGAGGATTGTTGGTGTTGTGTGAGGGGATTGTATTGAGTGGAGATGTTGTGAATGAGTTGAAAGCTTTGAGTGATGCTGATGGAGAAGAGAGATGGGAATTGAGGGGCACAGAGGGATGTATAAGTAGAAGAAATAGAAACACCGCACATTGTGAAATGAGTGGAGATGGAGCTAGAGCTGGAGCACAAACTCACACTTGCACCGCTACGCACCCACACGCGACATTACCAATGCCAGATTCCTACTATGGAATAGCATCGTAGATTAAATCCAAGCTGATTGACTGGCAGAGGAGAGGAGAGGAGATCGATCAGTCATCCGTGCTCTCTCCATTGCTGGGGGCAAGTGAGGATGTCGAGGTGAGCGATGTCTGTCAAAGCCTACCGAGCCGCCTCTTTTTCCAGTGTACGATTACCGCATTAGGTTTAACGCTCGTCACGCCATCGATGTGGGGTGTGGCCTGAGGCGGTCAGGCTGCCACCATTTTTAAGCTCAGGCACCACATGGCGCTGATTGGACGAGGATGACGGTGCCGCTCTATGTTCCGACTGCCTCTTTGGTTGGAGTTCCTACAGTTTCAAAGACCAGCTGCGGTCACTGTGCAGCCGGTCACTGTGCAGCGTGGTCCATCTACTTCCCTCGTACAGAACGATCCTCGCCCACGCACAATGGCTGAGGGAAGGTCTACGAGACACTGAACTATTGTACAGTACAGTACCGACCTCATCAGTTCAGCTAGTTTGGCGCCGCTGTGTCACAAAAGCCTAATCGGATCGCGACTCTCAAGCTTGTCTGGCACATCGCTGCAACTGCCAGCGAAGAGTTGGGATCCGTCCAATGCTCCCGCGCTTATGCTTATGCAAGCTAACCTTCTCTACCATGTTGACATTTGATGGATGGTGCCATACCTCGTGACCTGGACTTCTTACGCGACCTCGAACTCTCGTCCATGACCCATTGATTTCAAAGGGACAGACCACATTTCCATCCAATCAAAGCTCACTGGTGTCATTCCACGCGATACCGACTTCTGAGATACCTGGGTACTTCCAGAAAAGTCTTGGGTCCATACAGAACAACTCGTTGTCAGCCTTGCAGGCGAGGCTCGTGGAATAGGAAGGTGTCTGCAGAGGGGTGACGGCGATTTTCTCCATCATCATTCTGCATGTGCTTCCTATCCTACAGCTTACCAAATACCTATGGTCTGGATCTACACAGCTACAAATCAATGCTCAACTTCTGTCCCAGATATATTACCTGATTGAGCAGTGTTGATCGGTAGAGTCCCAGTGTTGTTGCTGCTACTATTTTGGACTCCATCAGTCTAAGTAGCAAGATGGAAGGTGCAGATCCCTATCAGAGAGCTAGTTCTTACATCACTCCACTAGTTACACCAATCTGTACAAGGCAACTCAGTATTCCCAAAAAAATGGATACTCAGTTTCCTCGACAATGATACGTGGGAACATTAAACATTGATCAATGTTCCTTTCAAAGCGTCAACAGGAACCAGTAGTTCCCTAGTTCTGCTATAATTTATCAGATCACGACGATCCCAAAACTTAGGGGTTCGTCGTCACAATGACAGGAAATACCCTCTTGCATCTTGAAGATCTCTTACTTGGACCCTGTAACTTCAGGGTCTTGCAGCTCAACTCTCGTCATGAGATTTAGGGGTCCCCTCTTCGGGAACACTTTCTGCACATTCGCTTCATTCACTTTCTTGCATGCCTGCATTGTATGATGACCTCCTATCAACAGAAATATACAAGCTGTCAGGGGTACAACACTTGTCATATTATGGCAGTCACGGTAAGATATGCTTCAGATGGTCTCAACAAGTTCCCCATCGAGAAAGATATCAGCCTCATGTTTTCAGCGCACCACTCGGTACTTGCTCCACCACGCGAAAACTCCTTCTGTTTTGATAAAAAGATGAACCCTCAATCTGCAGAACATCATCATATACTTCTCAAACAACACACTTATGACACTCGAACAAGCGGAGACCCATTTCTCCTGAGTCTCAGCGCCATGACGACTCAGCCTCTTTGAGCGATTCAGATGCTTGTTCATGAGAGTATCTTTTCCCAACTTCGCACCCAATTCGGTCACAGAAAAGCCAACGAAAGCCAACCAACACGGCCAAGCGCTTACATCTGCACTATCTTCCGAAAAGGAAGGACTAGACTACCCACGTCAAGATCCAATATATCAGCATCTTGAACACAAGGACACGAGAACCTTAGCGTTCGGCCTCTCTTTGCTGAAGAGGAATCAGCCGCTCATGGACGGTGAAAGTGTTCCAAGTTTCCCTTGGCGAAGCACTCGAGGAAGCTCTCCCTATCTCGATGTTTGATTTCAGGACTTCCAGAGCTCCACTCGGAGTCAGAATGGAAAGGGAGATGGAATATGGTCGCGGATTGGGACGTTTGTAAATTCGGCAGATAGTGAGGGGAAAACTTGATGGTCCCTCCTTCAAGCTTTGGGAGTCACTGATGTCATGGATTTGCTCTCCTGCCACTTCAGCGTATTTCTGTGAGTGGGACCTGAATTTGGGTCTCGAACTTGATGTTGGTAATAGTATTGACTCGAGAATGGTGACCCACTTAGCTCCATATCCAAATATATCTGTTCGTCTTCGAATGCAGTATTCACATCTTGCCACTTCAGCGTATCTCTATGAGTGGGACCAGAATTTTGTTCTCGAGTCCGATATTGTCATATTGGTAATACCATCGACTCGAGAGTAGTGAGCCACTCAGCTCCTTTCGAATCTAATATTCAGATCTTGCCACTTAAATGTTCTTTCTGTGGTTGAAACCTGAATCATCTTCTTCAGTCCGGTATTCTCAATTCCTTGGACTCAAAGAATCCCGAGCTACTCAGCTCGATACTGTACCCAAATATATCTTTTTTCCAATTCTTCAGACAGACCGCGTCTAAATTAAACTCCTCCGTGTGACAACCAATACCCACGCCCACACCCGACATCTATCCAAATACTGTACTCGTACTGTGAACCCATAGTATGATCTCCCATCCCATCCCATCTCATAACCTAGTAAGTATTCTTCGAAAGAAATGTCTCCCCAATCATCCTTCCCATTCCGCCAAAAGAAAACAAGAGAATCTAGGAGATGGCATGTATGTATGTATGTATGTGGATATATATTGTATCGATATCGTACTACGTTGTCCCCCCCTCCCCCCCAACAACCTATTTTTATACGTTNAAGAAAACAAGAGAATCTAGGAGATGGCATGTATGTATGTATGTATGTGGATATATATTGTATCGATATCGTACTACGTTGTCCCCCCCTCCCCCCCAACAACCTATTTTTATACGTTGTGAGACACTCGTAGAATTTTTCTTGTGATCGAATCTGGATTCTAGACTTTATATGTTTCTGATGTTGTGGGTGTGTTGTGCTACTGTGGTAATGTGGTACGCACTGTCGAGCTACTGTACTACCACTGTCTCGCTATAGTAATTCAGCCTCACCTCCTTCATGGTGGGGTGTTTACACGACATGATGAGATGTGGGACGTGGGATATGAGATGTGGGAGGAAGCGAGTGGCCAGCTGGCTGGCCTGGTTGATGGGACAAATCCAGGCGTTACGCACGTGGGTGCTACACTTGTGTATATACTTGTGTATATACTTGTGGGAGTTAGTGTGGTAGCGGCGTTTATTTTTTTGTTTTGTTGTAGGATGGTGTGGTGTGTGTAGTGTAGTGTAGCGTAACTTAGTGTAGTGTGTGGTACGGTGTAACCTTTCTAGAATAATTCCCGTGGTAGTATGTATGTGTGAGAGGCCAGACCTCGAATAGCTCAAAGGTGTGGTTTCGAATATTCAATTAAGAAGTGCGTGAAGACTACATACATGCAATCTCTTCCTCTATATATAGAGAGAGGAAGAGTTTCTGGAGTCTTCCAAGAAACTGTTTGACAAATACGTGACGTCAAAAGAATAGAGTAGAAAAGTGTAGAAAAGGAGAAACCAATTTAGCAGTGGAGCAATGGCCAATGCTGAGCGGGGACTTTGGTCAGTGCTTAGCGAGGGCATGGCCCGAGCCTCCATCATGGGTTCCAACCCTCACAGTATGTATGTGTTTATATCACAGTATTACAGTATCACAGTATTACACTTCTTCGTTCCTCGTTTCTTGTAGGTGGTCTTTGGTTCGAGGAGAGGTCTTTGGTTTTTGTATAAGTGGCGGTTGATGGGGTGCTATAATACGTAGGATTACAGAGTGTGTATACAATACCGTACTGTATAGTCCACCATGGTTGGGTTGGGTTTGTCTCTTTGAAAGTATGTATGAGGATGAGGATGAGAGTGGTTGAGGCTGAGGGGGTAAGTATATATGGATATATGTAGTAAGGAGGCTGGGCTGGGCTCGGCTGGGTTGAGTTGAATCGTTAGTGTGTTATGTGAGATGTGTTATGAGTTACGTGAGATGTGGTACGTACGTGTTATGAGTTTGGGAACTTTAGGATGGATTCTAGGAAAGTAAAGTGACACTTTGACTTTCATCTTGTGATTTTGTGATTGTAATGCACGTGTGAGATATAATGGACCTACCTACATGCCTACCTTATAAGTTTAGATGTTTGAGACTTATTATTATCGTTATAGTTTTAGTTGTGCTTTTGCTTTGGCTCTTGTAAAGTTTGCTATTCGTTGTTTTTGTATGTCTTGACATTATGGTGGGTTTTAGTGATACTGTAGCGGGGGGTTGCTGTATATGTGATGGCTAA